GACACACACACACATATATATATGATTTGGGCAATCAATAATGACCGTGCACCCTGTTCGAAGGTTGGTATGAATATGTAAGAAGAATATTTGAATATTAATCATGGAAGGGGGTATTTTGCAAATGGCAGCTGAGTCTAAACACTTTTTGCTTCCCCTCAGCACCTTGTGTCTTTACAGCTTGAAGGCCTTTTCAAGCTTGATGTTGACCATGAGGCTGTATGTGTCACAAAGCAGAGGTGACACTCTCTCAGCCACAAATTCTGGGGGAAGGGGTGCATAAAAGAAAACTCTGTTCAACTCTTGAGTTGGTCTCTGGCATTGGACTTTTATTGGCTTTGATTTGCTTCTCATCAGGCAGCTGGAGGTCGAGTGTCAGGGCCAGGAACGGCCCTCCCCCTGGGGTCATCTTCGAAGGTCAAAGATCTGACTGGGCGGCTGATCATCGTCCTGTCGTTGGAAACAAAGATGGAGTATTAGCTCTCCCTCCCAATTTGGGATCACCTGTAAACTTGATCAGCATGCCCTCTAAACCTTCGTGCAAGTCATTCATAAAGGTACTGGATGGTACTGGGCTCAGAACCGAACCCTCTTTATGGCACCCCGTTATTCATCACTTCTTTCCTGGATGAAGTGGAACCATTGGTGAGAAGCGTTCTTTGGGTTCGGTCACTCAACCAGTTACAGATCCACCTAATAGTAGCATTCCTAGCCCACATTTGATTAATTTGATGACTATAAGGGTCGATCCTATTATTTGTATTCCAATCTAGATCTCCTAATTTAAGATTTGGGGGGGGGGGCAATATTACCTGGTAAAACGGAAGTCCTTTGTTCGGTGGAGAGGGTTGAACCCCATAAATGAGGGGTGACGCCCCCCGGGGTTGAGCATCAAGGGATGGTGGTCAACTATGCTATGGAGAGAGAACTACAATGTAAATAGCACGAAGAGGCCAAGATAATGTGCCTTCTTCCAGCTCTTCCCAATTACTTCCTTTGAGGCTGAGAGAGAGTGACTTACCCCCAAGGGACCGGGACCTACCTCTTTTGATTGGCAGGCAAGAGGCTCGGCTGCGACAGGTTCAAACTTGAGGCATACCTCTGGGCCTGGGGAAACAAAGGGAAAAAGACTCACTATAAGGCCAAATTGGGAACTTTGTATACTAACGGTGCTGGTACAAACAATGACTTTGGGATTTATCGTTTTGGGAGCTGAGCTGGATTTTCTAGAGAGGCCAATGATCAATTATGCAGAAAGTCTAATTTTTAAAAGCCTGTGATTGATTTCCTACCAAGCTGGCAGCAAGAAACTGGCAACCCAGATGGGACTCACCCAAAGCCTTGCTATGATTTGGCAATAAATAGATAGATTAATTATTAAATACAAATAATAATTAATATACACATATTTTTAAAAATGAATTGGATTAAAATTGGATTCAAAGAGAGCTGTTATGGCAGCAACAAATTGGTGACCCAGAAGGGACTCACCCAAAGTCTTCCTCTGAATTGGTACTTATGGATAACATGTTAATAATATTGATATTACTATTAATACATAAATAGAATGAAAAGCCCAAGGCACCAACCGGACTTGGGTAAGAGCCAAAGATCCTGGGCAGTGGCAGAGGGGTCAGTTCTTGCATGCTGGCTGGATTGGGGCCCAAATGTCCGCTGGTCCACTCCCGCAGGTCTAAAGGCCAGGAGGAGGTCCGCTTGGCTGTTGGAAAGGAAGGCAAAACAATATTGTGACGAAATGTACAAAAAATACTGTCTGAAATAGAGGAAAACAAGGACATACCCAAAGTATAGTTGCGTGCCCTCTGCATCTCCCATTTGAGCTGCTCTGCGTCTTCTCGTAATTCTTGCATTTTTATCGGTGTTGTGTCGTTCAATTGCAACCTGGAAGAGAAATTGTGACATTTCCCTGTTGTGTGTATTGCCTTTCCCAAATCAATTGGGCTTTTTGTATTTGGGATATTGGATGTTCCGGGCTGAATATTGCATATTGGACATTACATGTTGTGGTGATTGACTTTTCCCTGCTGGAATTTTGCACGTTATAATTTGTGTACAGAATTTTCCTTTTTGCTTGCTGCATTTTCCCAGTGTCTCCACTTGTACTACCATATTATTCTACACTAGTAAAGGAATATTCGGTATTTTCTCAACCTGGTTTCTTTGTGTATATGGTTTTACACCTGATATTGACCTATAAGGCTACTCTACCCCTTCTCCTGTTTGGCTTCCTTCTCTAAAATACGCTCAACCCCTCCAATACCAGATTGCAAGAATAGGACTCATCCCACCAGGTGTCAGTGATGTGGCTCCTGCTTGATCTCGGTGGGAAGAAAGGCCTTGTTGGGAAGTCTCGGTGATGCGTTGTAAAGTCCTGTGGAGAAACCCGTCAGCAGGAGGAGAGGTAGAGTGGCAATTCGATGTCAAACGTGCCCAGAATCTCCATCACAGGCCGGCCTGAGCAGGGCAGAATCGGTGGTTTGGAATTGGTTTCCAAGGCTCTTGGAGCCCTTCTTTTCCTCAGCCCTGGGCCCTTTCCCTCCACCATGTTCCATTCTTCTCTTGGCCCTACCCCTTTGACCTGGCCCCTGTCCTTTTCTATGGACCCTGCCACCTTTCCCTTGTTTTTGTCCCATTGCTCTGGCCCCGCCCCCTCTCCCCTCATTTACCCCCTTTTGCTCTAGCCCTACCTCTTTCTTTACGTGGCCCTCCCCCCTTTCTCTTGCTCTGTCAATTTTTCACTTGGCCCCACCCTTTTTCTACCAGCTCTTTATCTATTAGCCCCACCCCTTTGATTGCCCCACCCCTTTTCCTTGGCCCCACCCCTTTGCTTTGGCCTTGCCTTTCTTTTGCCCCTTTGCTCTGCCCCATCTGTCCATTATTGTTTCATAGATGTTTATGTATTTTACTGTGTATTTTTTGTACTATTACATGCTTTTGTAAGCAGCTCCAAGTCCCTTCGGGGAGATGGTGGCGGAATATACATTAAGTTTTATTACATTACTAGCCGTCGCCTGCCACATGTTGCTGTGGCCCAGTCTGTGTATATGTGTTTTGTGTGGGTATAGATATGTATATATTTGTGTTTGTGCATATATATGTTTTTCCTATATATAACGTATATACGTATATATAAAACCACATATATACGTAACGTACGTATATATACGTATATATGTGGTACGTATATATACGTATATATGTGGTACGTATATATGTGGTATGTATATATACGTATATATGTGGTTTTGCGCATGAGCTGTAATGTAATTTTTTTTGGGCTTTTTAAGTCCCTTCTGCTGTGTTTTTCAGTGTTTTTATGAGTGATGGTCACTCATTGGCCTGATAGGTGTCTTGTGTCCACATTTGGTGTCAATTTGCCCAGTGGTTTTTGAGTTATGTTAATCACACAAACTAACATTACATTTTTATTTATATAGATTACTAGCTGTCCCCTGCCACGCGTTGCTGTGGCCCAGTCTGTGTATATGTTTTGTGTGTGTATATATGTGGTTTTGTGCATGCATTGATATGTATTTTTTATTTTTTGCTTTTTAAGTCTCTTCCACTGTGCTTTTCAGTTTTTATGAGTGATAGTCACTCATTGGCCTGATAGGTGTCTTGTGTCCACATTTGGTGTCAATTTGCCCAGTGGTTTTTGAGTTATGTTAATCCCACAAACGAACATTACATTTTTATTTATATAGATTGCTTTGGTCCCACCCCTTTTTGTATTGGCCCCACAATTCTTCTTTCCCCTTCAGTTTTGTTCCTTTTCTTGTCCCCACCCCTTCTCCTATTGGTCATATTGTTTTCGCGGCTGTGCCCCCTTTCCCTTGCCCTGTAAATTTTTCTTTGGCTCCACCCCTTTTCCTCTTGGCCCCTCCCATTTACCTTGGTTTTGCCCCTTTGCTCTGGCCCTAACCCTTTTCTTCCTTGGCCTTGCCCCTTTTTCTATCGGTCCCACCCCTTTCTCCTTGATCCTGTTCTTCTCTTGGCCCCTCTCCTTTTCTCAGGTGACGCCCCATATTTATTTTGGCCCCACCCCATCTTTTTTTTCCACCTCGCCCCCTTTCCCCAGATCTTGCCCTTGTGTGGTGGCCCTGCCCCCTTTCCCGGTTCTTGCCCCTTCGTGGTCCCTCTTCTTCTTTTGGCTTGGCCCCTTTACTATTGGCCCTGCCCCCTTTCTTCCCCAACCAACGGGGCAACACCATTCTGTTGAATGGGCCACACTCACGCCCTTGGAAGTGTGGATCAGGGCTGGAGGGTCATCCCGGGTGGGCAAACCTCTCTGGCAGCCAAAGACTAGGTCCCACTGACTAGGAGAGGCTGAAGGAAGATTCTGCAAAGCAGCAGAGTTGGATTGTGATGTCACAAAGAGAGCATCCAATCAGGCCTACAATGAGGTCACAAGTTTGACAGCCATTCAGGCAAGGAGATTGGTCATTGCCCTGCCATGTCTCCAGTGTTAATTGGCCATGCCCCTTTACTTCTTTATCCCACCCCTTGTTTGTTCTTATTCCCACCCTTTTGCCTTTAGCCCCGCCTCCTGTCCACCTGGTCCTTCCCCTTTTGTCCTTATGCCCACCTTTTTTGTCTTTGGTTCCACCCCCATGCCAACGTCCAACAATTGCCCATTCATTCTCATGTATTTTGGGGAAATATTCCATATATATATATATATATATATATATATATATATATGGATGGGGAAAGTTCCCTTTCCAGTCCCATTCTGCATCTATGCAAATGGATTTTTAATATATTAATTCCAATACACAACAATTGCCCATTCATTCTTGGGGAAATGTTCTCATTATATGGGGCAAAATGGTACAAAGGGGTGGAGCCAAGGGAAAGGGGAGGAGCTAAGGACCAAGGGGGCGAGGACAAGCTTGGGGATCTCTTATTCCTATTAAAAGAGGAGTCAATGGAGATTTCCCCCTACTCCCCACCCAAAACACCGAGGCTAACAACAGGTATTTCCATAAACAATTCAGTGTATTCCAATACTTTTCATCACAGTCTAAAGAGGCCTAAGACATGGCAGGAATGTCCAGGGAGAGATCAAGAACAAGGCACTGGGTCTCAGCAAAAGACAACAGTGATCTCCCAGCTTGGGAGGGAATCCGGTCCGTGTTTTAGTCCAAAACTAGGCCCGAAAAAATGATATTTCTATATATATATTTGTGCGTTAGAAGGATTTGGAGATGATTTCTTCCTCCTTGCTCTTCTTTGTCTTCACTGCAACGGTGAGATCTTCAAGGGGATCATGATGCGGGACTCCATGCTCCGGACCAGAGGCACTGCAGAGACAGACAAGGGGGGGGGGGGTCAAGAGGGCAGGCCAGAGCTGAGCACCAGGGGCTTGGGGTGTGCAGGTCCATAGGACTGAGTGGGGTCCCATGGGGAATACCGGGGCTCAAAAACGGAGGACAGGGCTCATAAAGAGAGGACTCTGGGATCCAATTGGGGGGGGGGTGTGTAATGGAGGGCCACTGAGGAGGTGGATACAAGTGGACCACAGCAGAGAACGGGGTCTTGGGTCGGAACACAAGGAACATGAGGGTCTGATTGGGGGACTAAGTGAGGTGGCAGAACCAAAGGAGGGGTAGGCCTGGGGCCTAAGAGAGGGAGTGGAGTCTGAGAGGGGCGGGACCAAGGTCTCAAAGAATCGGACTGGAGGCAGGGTCTAAAGGAGGAAGCGGGAACATGGTCTGAAATTGTTGGACTAGGGAGCTGGGTCTAAAGTAGGGACTGGGAGAGGTCTTGAAGGATTGCACTGGGGGGGCAGGCCTTAAGGGAGGGGAGGAGCTAAATAGAGGGGTAGGCCTGGGGTCTAAGCGAGGGGGTGATATCAGGGTCTCTAAAGGTTGGAAGAGGGGGTATAATGGAGGTATGGAGTCAAAGGGAGGAGGCGTGGCCTAGGGGAGAGGGTGGGATGAAGGTCTGGAAGCGTCAGACCAGGGGCAGGGCCTAAGGGAGGGGGCAGGATCTGGGTCTGAAAAGGTTTGTACTGGGGGCAGCGTCTAAGGGAAGGGGAGGGTCTGAGGGGGGCAGGCCTGGCATCTAAGCAGGCAGTATCAGGGTTTCTAAAGGTCAGACTGGGGAAAGGGGCGTCTAAAAGACGGATGGACTCAAAAGGAATGGGAAGGGTGGGATCAGGGCCTCAAGAGGCTGGACCGGAGGCAGCGTCTAAGGGAAGGATGGAGCCAAAGGCTCAGGGTCTAAGGGAGGGGGTGGAACTGGTGTCTTGAAGAGTCAGACCAAGGGTGGGGCCTAAGCGAGGGGGTGGAGTCTGAGAAAGGGGCGGGACCAAGGTCTCAAAGAATTGGACTGGGGTGGGGTCTAAATGAGGGGGTGGAATCAAGGTCTGAAATTGTTGGATTAGGAGTGGGGCCTAAGGGAAAGGTGGGGCCTATGAGATTAGGCAGGATCTAAGGGAGGGGGTAGGACTGGGGTCTGGAAGGGTTGGACCAGAAGCATGGCCTGCGGGAGGGGTGGAGTCAGAGAGAGGGGTGGGGCGGGACCAAGGCCTCAAAGGGTCAGAATGGGGACATGGCCTACGGGAGGGGGTGTGGCCTCCCGGGAGGCCTGACCTGTGTAGTAGACGTTTTCATCCCAGCCCCGCTTCCTCCAGGCAGCATTTCGGGTCTCCTCTCGTGACTGCAAATCCCGATAAGCTGCAAAGAGAAGGAGAGAGGTCCCCTGACTTCCAAGACCTAGATCCCAGTCCTTGGGCCTTTGTGGTTGGGGGATGTGGGGATTTATGGCCAAACTCAAAATGGCCACTCACCCCACAAGTGGTGGACAATGTAGAGCTCCCCAATTTGGGAGAAGAAGCCCCCCACGGCCTCCTGGTTCTCCTGGCGGTACTTTATGGCCCGGGCCCTGCAGAAATCAAGGTAAAGATAAGAGCGAGAGTAACACAGGTTTGTTTGCTTGTACCACTAAAGCACCTACTTGGCTTTAAGGGATTGGGACCATAATGGCGCAGACAGATGCGTTATCTCCCAACTTAAATTTATGTCATTTTGCAGTCCCTCATTTAAACCAGTGTCAAGCCAGAAGTTTATTCTGCACAAGACATTTCTGTTAGAAGGGTCATGGATGTTCTGGCTCTTCCGGGGATTTGTCTATACCAGGGATCCTCAAACTAAAGCCCGAGGGCTGGATATGGCCCTCCAAGGTCATTTATCCAGCCCTCGCTCAGGGTCAACCTAAGTCTGAAACTACTTGAAAGCACACAAGTACAATCCTTTCTCATCAGCCAAAAGAAGGCCCACACTTCCCATTTAAATACTAATAAGTTTATATTTGTTAAAATTGTTCTTCATTAAATTATGGTACTGTTTTTAAGTGGTTTTTGCACTACAAATACGTGCAGTGTGCATAGGAATTTATTCATGTTCTTTTGAAATTATAATCTAGCTCCCCAAGAGTTTGAGGGACTGTGTCCTGGCCCTCTGATTAAAAAGTTTGAGGACCCCTAGTTTTTAGAACACCTCTTGCTGCAGATATTAAGGCCAATAACTAGCAGTGTCTGTCCTAAATGAACTGTTGACAACCAAGTATCAAAAGCCATGGGCTGGGTTAGAATTTACGCTGGCATATCCAAAGGAATCTCCCCTCAAAAGTATTGGAGAATGTGGAATTCAAAGACCTCTTTGGACAGGCATTGAGGTGATGAAACCAGATATACCAGTAGCAGGCTCCAAGTTGAGGGAGCAGTTTTAAAATATGATGCCTTTGCAAAACATTGCTTTAGTAACTAACCACCCTGTGAAGCAACAGATTTCTTGGTTTGAGTCCTGACAGTCTGTGTAATGTATTTAAACATTTAAATAAAAATGATTTTCTGGAAAAAAAATATGGGTCTTTCAAGTATAAATAGACTGTGAAGAGATTGGTGGGTGGGTGGATAGATGGATATAGATAGATTAGTAGAAATTATGGCTAGATTAGCGGATGGATGGCTAACTAGCTAGAAGGAAATGTGGATAGATTAGTGTATGGATAGATTGGTGGATGGAAGAATTGATAATACAGAATAAAAGGAGGAAAATATGCATTAATAAAGAAAAATATGTAGGAATAAGAGGAAAATCTGTTTTTATATATATATATATATATATAAAATAATTTTTTATTATAATATCATTATTATATTACATTATTATTAGTATATAGTCTTATATATAAGGTAAAGGTTTCCCCTTGACATTAAGTCCAGTCGAGTCTGACTCTGGGAGGTGGTGCTCATCTCCATTTCTAAGCCAAAGAGCCGACATTTCCATAGACACCTCCAAGGTCATGTAGGTGGCATGACTGCATAGAGTGCTGTTACCTTCCCGCCGGAGTGGTACCTATTGATTTATTCACATTTACATGTTTTCAAACTGCTAGGTTGGCAGAAGCTGGGGCTAACATCGGGAGCTCAACCCACTCCCTGGATTCGAACTGCCGACTTTTCGGTCAGCAAGTTCAGCAGCTCAGTGGTTTAACTCACCGTGCCGCCAGGGGCTCCTAATAAAATATATAATAGTAATAATAATGATGATATTTTTGGAAGGGAGTGTTACTTACCAGTTATTTCCCCATTCAATCATGGTCCCAGGCTGAAAGCAAAACACAGAGGAATCATTATTATTTTAGTAATTTTTGAAATCGTATTTTTCATCCACTGTTTGCTTACTTTTAAGTTATATGTCCGCAATTCGTAAATATTTGGCCCAGAACGAGGCAGAGGTTCATTCCAAAAACTGAACTCCAGCAGCAATTGGTTCCTCCGAGAAAGCAGCATCTTGCTCCTCTCCTTACGGAATTCCAAATATTCCTAGAATGAATATACAGATATATGTAGATATAATATATATATGAATATAATTAATACATTGACTCATCATAATAAATTATAATAAATATAATGAACACATGGCAGCATCATACTGATATATAATATGATGAATATATAGTAATATATATATATATATATATATATATATATATATAAGCAATGTAATGAATACATTGCATAATACAAGTAATAAAGTGATATTACTAATAACAATAAATACAATGAATACATTATGACTACAATACATTGCATAATAATACAAATAAAAAAATGACAATAATAATCATCATAAATATAATGAATACATTATAATATGACAACACACTGCATACATAATAATACAAATATTAAAGTGATAATAATGTAATGAATACATTGCATAGTAATACAAATATTAAAGCAATAATAATAAAGATAGTACATTATAATGACTGCAATACATTGCATAATAATACAAATAATAAAGTTATGATAATAATAATAATAAAATATATAAATATAAATATAATGACTACACTGCATGATAATAATAAAACTATTACGATTTAAATTAATTGAAATAATAATCATCTTAATTTCAAGACCTTATTCTGTTTCAACTTGTTCATGGAATCCATCAGAGCCGGGTAGCCGCCTGAAAACCGCCAAAGGTGAACTGCAGAAATAATAATAATGTTACAATAATAATAATAACAATATTAAATACACCATAATAAATACATAATAATGAACATATAATAATAATAATACTTTTAAGATGGTAGCTCATTGCTAATTTCAGTGGATGATGGGATATATTATCTCTCTTCCTTACCTGCTTGGTCCTGTTCGCCGTACCATGTATTCCAGTTTCCAACCAAATCGCAAGGATAATTGGCATCCAAGTGCAATTTCGGAAGGACTTCCTCCCTGAGGAAGAAAGGCAGGAAGAACTACATCTCCCATCATCCCCTTCTATAGGAGATGAGCAGCTGTAGCGAAGGGGGGGCGGGCGGGGTTACATCATGACCAAGAAACAGTGTGGTTCTGGCTTCCATTAAAATAATAACAACAATATAATATTAAAATAATATTACAGTACAATAGTAATAATAATAACAACATTATAATATAGTAATAGTAATAATAACAATAATATAATAATATAACAATAATACTACTAGTAAAATAAAGAATATAATATAAATAATAAAATATTGAGCATAAATATTGCAGACTAAAATAATAATGTAATAATAATGAAATACAAAAGAATAATAACACTGTGATAGAACATGAATTCTTGCTTAATGAAACCCATTGAGAGGCAGACACGAGGAACAAGAAACGATATCAAATATTTTTAGAAATAAAATATCTCTCTCTCTCTCTCTCTCTCTCTCTCTATATATATATATAGATATTACTATTACTATAGAGCAGGCATGGGCAAACTTTGTAACTTGGGGGCCGCATGCTAGCACTCCCTGCTAGGGGACTGGCTGCTCAGTGATGGAAAGAAGGAAGGGAAGGAGGAAAGAAAGAGAGAAGGAAGAAAGGGAAGCATGGAAGGAGAAAGAGGGGAAGGAGGGAGGAAAGGAAGGAAAGACAAAAGGGGAGGAGGAAGGAATAAGAGAAGGAAGAAAGGAGAGAAGGATAGAAGAAAGGGAAGGATAAAGGAAAGAGAGAAGGAAGGAAAGACAAAAGGGAAGGAAGGATGAAAAGGTGGAAGGAAAGGATGAAGGAGAAAGAGAGAGGTAAGGAAGGAGGAAAGAAGGAAGGAAAGAAAGAAAAGTGAAGGAAGAAAGGATGAATGGGAAGGAGGAAGGGAAGGGAAGGGAAGGGAGGAAGAGAAGGATGGAAGAAAGGAAGGGAAGGATAAATGAAAGAGAAGGAAGGAAAGACAAAAGGGAAGAAGGGAAGGAGAAAGAGGGAGAGAGGGAAGGACAAAAGGGTGGAAGAGAAGGAAGAAGGGAGGGAAAAAGAGGGAGGGAAGGAAGGGAGGGAAGGATAGGATGGTTTGAGAGAGGAGGGCCTGAGAAAAGAGCCCAAGGGGCCACATCCGGCCCCCGGGCCTGGGTTTGCCCATACCTGCTATGGAGTTATATTCCTTTTTTCCCCCAATCGAGAGACTTACGTCAGGCTGTTATAAGCCTCCAAGCATTCGGGCTTCACATTGTGGACTGAAACAGAGAGAAAAAGCTATGAATAAATGCAAAGAGCAAAGCTATGAATGCATGTAAAGCTATGAATGAGTACAATGACTATGAATGAATCTGAATATCAATCCGATACTTGCATTGGATTTTATAGAGGTGGTTGGTTTCCTTTTTGGACAAGAGGGTGGAATGGGCATCCTTCCGAGGGTCCACCTTGTGCACAAAGAGCGAGCGGAACCAGCTGCTTTCACCCTCCTGGGAATAATGCCTGCAAATAATATTAATAATAAAATAATAAAATAATATATTATAATAATACTGTTGCGATGGTAGCTCATTGCTCATCCCAGTGGATGGTGGGAAATGCCGTATATATATGCATGTATGAGTATATATAGATGTATGATGACATTTCCATATATACACATGGAAAAGAAAGGAATAACAATTACAAAGGAAGCATTTTGTCATAGGCCCAATGAGGACCAGAGGAATGAGGCAAAGCTGTAATAATAATAATAATATATATATAATATTACTATTATTCTTACTAATATATATGTGTGTGTGTGTGTGTATTTCAGTATAATTACTATTATATATGCATGTATATCACAGTACTATAACATATATGTGTTTAATATAAATATCAATAATATTACTGTTATTATTAATATATTATAATTATTACAGCTTGGGCTCATTGCTTTGGTCCTCATTGGGCCTGTGATAACAAAAACACCACTTTTACATTATTAAGGATTATTATTAGTATTATTACTATTATATATGTGTGTGTCTGTGTATATATATATCAGTATTACACAAACAGAGACATATATATCAGCATTATTACTCTTATAATTACTAATATAATGTATATATGTATATATTGGTATTACTATTACTATTACATATGTGTATCAGTATTACTATTATTATTACTATTATATATGCATGTGCGTGTATCAGTATTATTACTATTATATACTATACATATGTGTGTATATATATCAGTATTATTACTATTACATATATATGTATATATATCAATATAATTACTATTACATATTAATATTACTAAGAATACTATTAAATACTAATATTACTAAAACTAATAATAAGTAATATAAAAGTATTGTTATTATTATTATAATACTAATATCCCACTATGGATAGGCGCCATATCCACAGATTCTGTAATATTCCCCGAATTGGAAATATTCCGAATAAAACAATAACAATTTAAAAAATAGTATAACCATAATGGAAATCTATACTATAATAATATTATATTATAAAATAATAATAAAAGCTAGGAATAATATAAACATAACATAAAATCAAATAGAAATGCACCCCCATTGGCCTTGGCTGAGACCTTTGGCCTGAAGCGGGCCATTCATTAACTTTGATACAGAGAAAGGAAACATTCAAAGTATTGCAATATATATAAAATATATTTCTAAATATATTAGATATATTCCTAAATATATTAAAAGTATAGCAATAATTTAGGAATATTAAATACATTCCTAAATATGTTCTTAAGTATATCACTTATATTCCTAATTATATTAAAAGTATTGCTATATATATTAAATATATTCCTAAATATATTAGATATATCCCTCTCTCTCTCTCTCTATATATATATATATATATATATTGTGTGTGTGTGTGTGTGTGTGTGTGTGTATATATATATATATATACACACACACACACACACACACACACACACACACACACACCCCTAAATGCATTCCTATAAAAAGGTAAAGGTAGTCCCCTGACATTAAGTCCAGTCATGTCTGACTCTGGTGGCGCAGCAGGTTAAACCGCTGAGTTGCTGAACTTGTTGAGTGAAAGGTTGGTGGTTCGAATCTGGGGAGTGGGGTGAGCTCCTGCCCAGCTTCCACCAATCTAGCAGTTTGAAAATATGCAAATGTGAGTACTTCAATAGGTACCGCTTCTGCAGGAAGGTAATGGCATTCCATGCAGTCATGCCACCCACATAACCTTGGAGATGTCTATGGATAGCGCCGGCTCTTCGGCTTAGAAATGGAGATGATCACAACCTCCCAGAGTTGGACACGATTAGACTTAATGTCAGGGGAAGCCTTTACTTTATATTCCTAAATATATTAGATACTAAATACCTTGAAAGTATTGCTGTATTATATATATATTCCTAAATATATTAGAAATATCCCTAAATATATAATATATATTTATACAAGATATATTATATATTAAAAGTATTGCTATATATATATTAAATTTATTCCTAAACATATTCCTCAATATATTACATTCCTAGATACATTAAAAGTATTGATATATGTATATATATGTGTGTGTGTGTGTATAATCTATTCCTAAATACCTTAAATATATTAAATCTATTCCTATATATATTACATATATTTATATTATATAATATATATTAAAAGTATTGCTACATATATTACACCTGTTTCTAAATCTATTCCTAAATTTGTTGTTGTTCATTCATTCAGTCGTCTCCGACTCTTTGTGACCTCATGGACCAGCCCACGCCAGAGCTCCCTGTTGGCCGTCACCACCCCCAGCTCCTTCAAGGTCAGTCCAGTCACTTCAAGGATGCCATCCATCCATCTTGCCCTTGGTCGGCCCCTCTTCCTTTTGCCTTCCATTTCCCCCATTGTCTTCTCTAGGCTTTCCTGTCTCCTCATGATGTGGCCAAAGTACTTCATCTTTGCCTCTAATATCCTTCCCTCCAATGAGCAGTCGGGCTTTATTTCCTGAAGAATGGACTGGTTGGATCTTCTCGCGGTCCAAGGCACTCTCAGAACTTTCCTCCAACACCACAGCTCAAAAGCATCGGTCTTCTTTCGCTCAGCCTTCCCTAAGGTCCAGCTCTCCATAATAGGTACTACAGGGAATACCATGGCCTTGACTATGCGGATCTTTGTTGCCAGTGTGATGTCTCTACTCTTCACTATTTTATCGAGACTGGACATTGCTCTCCTCCCAAGAAGTAAGCGTCTTCTGATTTCCTGGCCACAGTCTGCATCTGCAGTAATCTTTGCACCTAGAAATACAAAGTCTGTCACAGTCTCCACATTTTCTCCCACTATTTCCCAGTTGTCAATCATTCTTGTTGCCATAATCTTGGTTTTTTTGATGTTTAGCTGCAACCCAGCTTTTGCGCTTTCTTCTTTCACCTTGATTAGAAGGCTCCTCAGCTCCTCCTCGCTTTCGGCCATCAGAGTGGTGTCATCTGCATATCTGAGGTTGTTAATGTTTCCTAAATATATCAGATATATTCCCCAATATATATTAAATCTATTCCTAATACTATTGCCCAATATATTAAATCTATTCCTAAACATATTAAGAGTATTGCTGCATGTATGTAACATGTGTATATAACATATATTCCTACCGGAAGCCCAGGCTAGAAAAGGAAAAGGCTGCTCTGCCCCGAAGAGCCTCCAAAACCAGCTTCCGCGTAGCAGCCATTTTTTCCCTCTCCGAACCAGGAGGCGAAGGAGGGCACGCCCCTTTATTTAGGGGCGTGGCTTGGTCTCAAGAGGGGCGGGGCCGCGAGGCCTTGCTTTGGCAACAAACGTCATTCGGCCTTTCTTCCTCGAGGGGGCGCTCTTTCCCAGCCAGCCAATTACAATGGCCTTTATGGAGAGGGCGGGTCTTTGGGGGCCAAATGGCAGGCGAACGCACCAATCGGAACACTCATTACCATTTCCCTTTAAGACAGACATTTAACACTTCGGGTTTCGTTTGAAAAGCTGAGGGGGAAAGAGTTGCTTTCCATTTTCCCGCCTCGCAAATGGCGCCTCGTTTTTCTATCGGCACCCGGAAGTATAACACATAAGCCATCTCGTAGGCACCTCTATGTCTCCTTAAAATAGGATTCCAAAAGAAGAGGAGAAAGAATTGCCCGCTCCGCCTCCTCGGGGGCGTGGCCTGTTTCCCCTCCACAACCAATAGCAAACGACGAGGAGAGGCAACCACTAGGCAGCGTTCGGCCTCAACCCCGCCTCCCGAGGGGGCGTGGCCAATGCCAACCAATCGGGAGCGGGAGAGACGAGGAGTGGCAGCTCCGGCTCCGGCGGCGGAGGTGAGGGCCGATTTCTTTTCCTTCGGGGGGGCTGTTCCCCCTTCCCTCCCCCCGCGCTTTCAGGGGGCTGTTCCGTATACCCCCCCGCACCCCTGATTTCCCCCCCTTTCCTTCCGTTTTTACCCCAAAACCTGAGGGAAACGGCTTTCCTAGGCCTCCCTTCCCCCCTCATCTCCTCTTAAGATTGGAAAAAAGCCGTTTATGCCCCATAAGTGGCCTTTTTTGAATCAATCAATAGATAATCGATATTTATTATATCCTCGAAGGAAAAGAAACTCTTCCCTCCCCCCATTTCCCCTATAAAGCTCTCTTTGTCAATAAACCAAGCCAGAGTTTGGCTCCTCCCCCTTCCAATCCTTCCTAAAACTATTCCAATCGATCCACTGATTGATCCCTTGTTCTGTCTCTTCAATACGAACCATAGGACAAAGGTCTCCCAATACAAAACGCTCTTTCAGTCAATTGATGAATCAGTCAATCGACGGACTGATCAATTGATTGATCAGTACTCTTAATACTCTTAATATGTTTAGGAATAGATTTAATATATTGGGGAATCGTTTTAGGAATAGATTTAATATATATTCAAATAGTTTGACTATATTGAGGAATATATCTGATATATTTAGGAATAGATCAATTGATTGATTGATGGATTGATCAATCAATCAATCTGTTAATGGACGGATTGATCAATGATCCTATTCATTTCCCTCATAGGCCAAGATAGACACTTCTTTACCCCAAGTCTCCCAAGAAAATCCCAATAAGCATCTCTTTCAATCAATTAATCAATCGATTAATTGATCCATTGTCCCACCCATCCCTGGAGAACCATTGAACACAGGGGCGGCTCAACCCATTACGCAAAGTAAGCATTTGCAGTATAGTTGATTTTGCCCAGGGGCGCTCTTGGGGGAAAATAGACCTTGACATATGCAAGTTGTAGTTACTGGGATGTATAGCTCACCTACAATCAAAGAGCATCCTGAACTCCACCAATGATGGAATTGAACCAAATATGGCACACAGAACTCCCACGACGAACAGAAAATATATATCAGTGATTGGTTGGGGCGCCACAATACTGTTTGCTTACCATTGAAAATTACCTAGGGCCGCCTCTGATTGAACAAGATATTAAAACCTTTGTCCCGATAATGACTCGTCTTTCAATCAGTCGCTCCAATATAAACCAATGCTTCTAAACCAACTGACTGATCGATCAGGAATCCCATCCATCCATTCAGAGCCATAAAGGCTATAGAAAGCTTTCTCAACCTCAATAATAACCTCTCTTTCTATCAATCAGTCCAACATAGTCTCTCGTTTCACCAAGGCCCCTGCATCAATCGTCTCATCCCTTTGTTAAGAATTATAGGACAATAGAAACCCTCCCAATCAAAACCTTATCAATCAAACCCTCCAATGTAGCCCCTTCCTCTACTAATATCCCCCCAAACTCTTAATTGATTGATTGATCGATCAATAATAATTTGATCAATCATTGTATCTAGCGGTTAAGAACCAATATAGCACCTTTCTCTCCCCCTCCCCCAAATCCTCTAAATCACTCGGACAACTCGGCAGTCAGTCAATCTGCCTATAAATCGATTGGTTAGATCAATTGATTAATTGATCAATTGTCCCCTCCATTCTTTAAGAACCATCAGAGAATAGAAACACTCCTTTCCTCCAATTCTCCCATTTAAATCATTCAACCCGCCAATCAATCAGTCTCTGAATTGATTAATCGATATATTGATCAATCAATCAATGTATTGATTGATCAGTTCAGAGACTGATTGATCAACTGATTGATCATCCCAAGCATCCTTTAAGAACCATAGGACACTATTCTTCTTTCTCCAATAACACCTCACTTCAAATCATTCAACCGGCCAATTAACCATCCAATCAATCATAGATCCATTTATAGATTGATGGATGAATCAATCTATACATTGATCAGGCGATTGTTCAAGTAATCCCTTCTATTCATTAAGAAGCATAGGTTAATAGAAACCCTCCCAATAAAAACCTCTCTTTGAATTAATATATCCAGCATAGCCCCTCCTTCCGCCAATATTCCGAAATCATTCAGTCAATTGATCCACAACTGAGCAATCAATAGTCTTATCCATCTACTCAGAATATAATGCCTTTTCCCCCAAAACCTACAGATCGAAACATCTCTTTAAGCCAGTCAACCAGTCAATCAACCAATCAACCTCTACATTGATCATTATGTCCGTCTTTTGAGATGTCCAGGGCCGGATAAAGCCTTCTTTGCCTCAACCCTCTGCCCATTCCAATGGATCTTTTGGGGGACCCTTTGGTTGCCCCCCCTTGGCGCACTTGACTTTCTGGTGGGGCCAATTAGATCTCCCAGAGGCCCTGAAGATGGCCGGCGCCATCGCCTCCCGGATGAGCTTCAGCTCCTTGAAGAGAAAGCAGCCCAAGACCTTCACCGTCCGCATCGTCACCATGGAGGCCGAGATGGAGTTCAACTGCGAGGTGAGCCGGGATTTGTAGTGTGGCCTTGGGCCGGGATTGGGTTCTGTACAGGAAAGGGCCCAAGGACACTGTTGCATGGGTGCCCTTGGACATCATCTGAACGGCCGTGACTCAGTGCTGCAGGATCCTGGGAGTAGCCCTTTGTTTTTGGGATGTATAGTGCAGCCATATATAATTTCTGTACAGGAAATGGCTGGAATAACGACGAGGGTTCTTGCGCGAGAAATCTCCAGGATGGCCTAAGCCTAATGGCATTATGGGATTTGTCGTTGGGCAAGGCTGCAAAAAAATATTATTTATTTTTTTCTACATTTGTATACCACCCCTCTCAGCCTGCAGGTGACTCTAGGCCTTGGGAAACTACAACTCCCAGGGCCTTGTAGCATTACAGTGGCGCCCAACTGTATTCTAGCAGTGTCGATGGCACCCTTGGACTCCGGTAGTGATAGTTTTCCAGGGGGCTTTGAGGCCAGAAAAGCCTCCAAAAACCAGGCAGTATCCATGTTACAAACACCTGACTAGTTAAGAACAGGGGTGCTGCAAAGCAAAACCATATATGGAGAGAGAGTGTGTGAGAGAGGTTGGATAGATCTTAGCTGCCTTGAGTCCCCATGGGGAGAAAGGTGGGATATAAATAAAGATTTACATATATATAGACACACACACACGTATACGTATATGTATATGTGTATATATGGCTGGAGTTCCCCTTAAAAATGGATGTGTTCCGACTTACATACAAATTCCACTTAAGAACAAACCTAAAGAGCCTATCTTGTTCAAAGCAACAAAGGGAAGGCAATTGCTGATAGAGTACGACTTCAATATCTGCACAATGGCCAATGGAATATGTCCCCTTAAGGCATTTTCTAGGTCCTCCATTCCGCCTCTATGGTCTTCCTGTGCAGGACATCCTTCATTTTAGCATTTATCAGTAATTTCAGTAGGTTTTGCTCTGATCTGTGGTTTCATTTGTCTCTTTCTGGCTAAATATGTCACCTCCCTCTAGGCATTTTCTAGGTCCTCCAGCACAATTCTGTGGTATTCCTGCACAGGAAGTCCTTTCTTCATTTCCCCAATTCACATATCCACACAAAGTCTGGCCCACAGTACTCCACCTTGGTTCAGATGAAACACATATTGCCGGCTCCTTGGACAGCAGAAATGGCTTTTCATTTCAAAGTCATGATTGCTTCATCGCGCCGCAGAAGTAGATTAAAATTGTGTGTTGTGCGGTGGAGCTACGTGACTTTTTTTGTGTAGTTTTTGGTGGAATAAATGGATGGGAAACTCGCAAACCCCTCTGTTAGCTTCTAAAATATTTGGGCACATTTACTAGTAGCATATTTGCGCTGTCCCATCATATGGCCTCTCTAGTCATTTTCTAGGTCCTCCATGTCTACGTCTAAGTCTTGTCCTCTATGGTTGTCCATTATTTCAGTAGGGTCCTCTATTATCCATAGCTTCATTTATTCAAAATACTGTACATCCTCTCTAGGCATTTTCTAGGCCGTCCATTGTGACTGTATGGTATTCTTGTGGCAGAAATCCTTCATTTCAATAGGGATTTCTGGGTAAAGGATACTCAACCTGGTGTATAACAAACATCCAACATCCAGTTTCTATCCCAGAAATGCGAGTATTTCCCAAAAATTTCATTTGTGAAATGTGTTTTTCCCCCAAATTGTGAGTATTTCTCATTATTAAGAGCCTTTGGTTTGTGACGCGTTTGTTAATAAGGAACGAGTGCCTACTAATAGATCAAAAGTGGCTCAATCTGCCAAAATGATGCATTAAAAGCACTCATAAATGGCAAGTGTCATCACACTTTCCATTTATGAGTGCTTTTAATGCATCATTTTGGCAGAATGAGCCTTACCTTCTTGTGAGTGCTTTTAATACACAGTGATTAATGATCTTTGTGAAGTGTCATCACACTTCACAAAGATCATTAATCACTGTCCAGTGGAATAGCATCCCCACAGTCATCTCATTTATAAGGAGGTCATCCATGTAGTTCAGATGCATCTTAACAAGATAAAGCTAGCGGAATATCCTATGTATGGTATGTATGCTATGTGTCTCCCCGAAGTTCCCATAGAGACATGCTTGCAAATTCATCTCGGTATTTCCATAGAGTCCACAGGAAGTGACCCTAGACCCCTCTCTAGGAATGTTCTAGGTCTTCCAGCAGGACTTCCTAACCCTTGGTTTTCTGCCACAGGTCAAATGGAAAGGGAAGGACCTCTTTGACCTTGTCTGCCGAACACTGGGGCTCCGCGAGACATGGTTCTTTGGGCTGCAGTACATGATCAAGGACACCATGGCTTGGCTCAAAATGGATAAGAAGGTAAGGACGAGGTACTTGACCATTTGTTTTTATGGATCTGAATGTTCATTCACTACCTGTGTCAGGTATGAGACAAATGAGACACGCGGCTAGAGAGAGACTGAGTATCCTTAGTCTCTCTCCAGACTGACATCTTTATCTCGTTTCCTGTCTCGTCTGTTTGTTTGTTACTTGTATCATTTATGATCCTCAAAAATGCAAAGAGTTTGAGGATCTATGAAATGGTGAGAATTGAATCGTAACGCTCAGTGTACATCCTTACATTTTACTGTTCCATGGATCGTCAGCCTTTCTCCAGCCTCTTGTCTCATTTGTTCGTGTCTTGTGTCATGTGTGATACCCTAGACTGGAGAGAGACTGGGGAGTGGTGGGACCTGAATAGTAGTGTTCAGTGTGAATCCACACTTCTCACCATCTCATAGATCCCCAGTCCCTCTCCAGCTTCACGTCTTGTTCGTTTGTTACTTGCATATATATGATACTCAAGAATGGGGAGAGACGGAGAATCTATGAAGTGGTGTGAATCCAAGTGTAGAGTTCGGTGTGAATCCACATTTCCCACCATTTCCTCTCTCCAGCCCCATATATCCAACCATGTATCTTGTTCACTAATTTGTTATATTTGTTATGTCAAATATGATACAGTATTTCAGACTGGAGAGGGATTGAGGATCTATGAAATGGTGAGAATCGAATAGCATGAATCCTCATGTCCGACTGTTTCACGAATCCCCAGTCTCTCTCCAGCCTCATGTCTCATCCATTCGTTACTTATGTCAAATATGATACAATATTTCAGACAGGAGAGGGATTGAGGATCTATGAAATGGTGAGAATCAAATAGCATGAATCCTCATGTCCGACTGTTTCACGGATCCTCAGTCTCTCTCCAGCTTCGTGTCTCATTTATTGGGTACTTATGTCAAATATGATATTTGAGACAGGAGAGAGACTGAAGATCTATGAAATACTGTGAATCCATGCCAATTTTGCAGGTCTTGGACCACGATGTCCCGAAGGAGGAGCCAGTCACGTTCCACTTCCTGGCCAAGTTTTACCCAGAGAATGCAGAGGAGGAACTGGTCCAGGAAATCACGCAACACTTATTCTTTCTTCAGGTACGTAGAGAATGACAGTCTCCATCTTTGGAGATCTCCAAACAGAGCTCAGGTGGGCATCTTTCAGGGATGATGGAATGTGGTTGGACTAGCTGAACCTTGGAGGGCCGCTTCCAACTTTAGGATTCTGGGAAGGCTGGGAGTTGTAGTCCAAAGCTGTCCCTGTTAAATCCGGCACATGAAAGGTAGACTTCTTGTTCTTCTTGCAGGTCAAGAAGCAGATTTTAGACGAGAAGATCTACTGTCCTCCTGAAGCCTCCGTCCTTCTCGCTTCTTACGCAGTTCAAGCCAAGGTAAGCTCGAAATTATTATCTGAATTCTCTTTTTCTTCCACTTTTGATCCGTACTAGACCTTAGTTTTTGTTTCTTTGACATTCCAAGTGCTGTGGTGTCAAATTAGGATTTATGAATTTGGAAAGAAAGAAAGGTGAGATGTATATGAGGGGAAGGCAGGAAGGGATGAGCAAGCGATATTGTCATGGAGAAATTGTGTGTTAACTCCACTTTCAGAACTGGAAAGGGGAGGAAGTAGGCCTTCTTCTCAAAGTTGGAGAAGGGAAAAAGAAAGTCTCAGAGCTGGAGAAGGGAGAAAGTAGGCCTCCTTAGAGCTGGAGAAGGGAGGAAGTAGGCCTTCTTCTCAGAGCTGGAGAAGGGAGAAAGTAGGCCCACTCTCAGAGCAGGAGAAGGGAGGAAGTAGGCCTTCTCAAAGTTTGAGAAGGGAGGAAGTAATGTTTTAAATGGATATTTTATAATTTAATTTTATAATTTAATGTTTTAATTAATGTTTAACTAGTGTTATATTGTTTTGTTGTATATGTTGGCATCAAATTGTTGCTGGTTGTAAGCCGCCCTGAGTTCCCCCTCGGGGGTTAAGAAGGACGGGGTACAAATGTTTGAAATAATAATAATAACACATAATTCCTCTCAGAGCTGGAGAAGGGAGGAAGTAGGCCTTCTCAAAGTTGGAGAAGCAGGAAAGTAGACCCACTTTCAGAGCTGGAGAGGGGAGGAATTAGGCCTTCTTCTCGGAGCTGGAGAAGGAAAGAAGTAGATTTTCTTCTCAAAGCTGGAGAAGGGATAATGTAGGCAGGCAGATGTCCCAATGACCCCTTGGAAACATCAGTAGATATGCTAGTAATGTATAAAGTGCAAGAAAACCACAGGCCTATGAAAAAAGACAATAGCAGTGTTCTGGATTTCATGACAGAAAATATTAAGCTTTGTGGGGTGGAGGAGGTCATTTACTATTTGACAATGAGCCAAGCTTCAATATTTTTGCAAGAAAATTGCACAGTGTTGCTCTGAGAGAGGCACACTGGGCTGCCGTCCAACTGGTGAAGCCCTGCTGCCCACCTAGCGGATTGAAAATAGCAATGTGAGTAGATGAATAGGGACCACATTAAGTGGGGAGGTATTTTAGGTATGGCATTTCGGAGGAAAGTTTACATACAAAGAAAGCTCTTTAGAAAGGAGATGAAGCGACAGCACAGCCTCCAAAAGATGCTGAATTATGAGAAAAAGCCAAAATATGCCTCTATCTGTTGTCTATCTTGTCATTGTATAATTGGCATTGAAAGTTTGCTGTATATGTGTTCTGTGATCCACCCTGAGTCCCCTTTGTGGTGAGAAGGGCGGAATAGAAGTACTTTAAATAAACGAAGCCCCGGCTTTGGCATGTCCGTCTGTGGTTTGTTGTCTGTTGGCTGCCTTTCCAAAGTTGGAGGATTGAGGGTCCAAAAGCAAAGTCTCATAAACCTCGGTTTGCCCAGCTCTATATTACATTAAGTTCCAAGACATTGCAGTTATTATGACTCTTAGTATCATTACTATGGTCTGTCTTAATTTACGATACGTACATACTGTTGTATTCCAGGACAGGAAACATCTCTGTACTTAACCACTACACTCCAGTCCAATGTAAATCAGCAAAGAGGTTTATTTAAAAATATATAAAAAGCAGTTCAGCAAAAATAGTAAAAACATCTAAATGTATGAAATAGTCTATAAGATTCAAGGTAAAATGGTTGCATGAAAAATCAGGAATGCAAAAGAATCAGGATATACAAGGCAGCATTAAATTCAATGCACAAAATTCTAAATCCTTTAAACTGGGAAGCATGGAACATGAACAACTGGGAACATGAAACTAGAATTCCCATAGCAGGCTTGGCTAGGACTTGGCAAGAGATGTTATTTCAAACTCCAATGTTGACCAGACTGCTGAAAATCACTTTGGTCTCCCTAATAGAGCCATGAAATCACTCCATTTTCCCTGGCAAACTGATAACGGCTTTTTTTTCTCACAAGCACTGTGACCTATGTGGCGTAATGTAAAATAAACCACGTGTAGTTCCTGTTGGATCAGCCCACACACTACCTTGCCAGGGAAAGAAAATATGCCATGCAGGTGAACAGTAAAGAACAAGTAGTTTCCTCTTCTTAATTTAGAACAACATATGTACAATACGATCAGTTGCATCAACTCACTAAATGCCCTTTCATAGAGATTTAAAATGATATTTCTTTGTCCATATGAAGAAACCTTCTTTCAGCAGCCAAGAAGCAAATCATTCTGTCTCTCTCTGCTTCCCTCTTCTCTCTGACTTCTCTCTGACCACCTGCATAGCTCAATCCTGTGAAATGCAACAGTATCCAAAAGTTCCAGGCTCAGGCATCACCCTGTGCATTGCCTGACCAATCGGCTTCATGCACTTGATTTTGCAGTTGACACACACTGATTGCTTGCATTCTCTAACAACCTTTGTCGAGTCTGTGAATCAGCTCAGAGTTTGCGAAACTAAGTCTCCTATCTATAAGCTCATTATCCTCTCCACCTGGCAGTTCATCCTCTGAACTCGCCTCCCTAGAGAAAGTCTTCTCTGGGCCCCTCTCTGGAATGTGACCTTCACCTTCACTAACTGCAGAAGACACAGAACGCTCAATTTCAGGACTTAAAATCTCATTCTGGCTCGCAGGCTCAGAAATCTCATGATCCACTTTCTCATTGACAGTAGGTACAATCAATGGCTGAATTACAACACATACATATATCTAAGACATGATTTCTGTATGCGATGTGGCCCAATTGTTCGTTTGGTTTGCAGGTGACTAGGACATCTAGAAATTGTATTTTTCCTTCAATTTCTTTTTTCATGGCAAATTGCATGTTTAGTTCTTCTTCTCTGTGGCTCCAAATGATGAATGTGTCATCCCCATATTGGAACCATACAGTGGACTTTTTTCGGTGCTGTTTCTAGGGCTTGCTCCTCAAAGTGTTCCATGTAAAAATTTGCTATGACCAGACCATCGCGAATAGAAAAACCACATCAAAGCTGATCCGTTTGTCGTTGGGGTTGAGTTTAAGATTGCTGCTTTTCTCCTTAATGTAGTGTGTAGTAAGTCCAATATGGGTTTGTAGTTCTGCAGCCAGAAATGTTGCCAAATCGTATGTAGGGGATCCGATGGCACCCCCATAAATTTGAATTAAATTAAGCCCTTGTGGATTTTTTGGAGTCCATAAAGCCTGTGAGGGAGATCTTCTGATTTGCATAATTGTTGGCTTATGTTAGGATTCTTTTCTTTTTTTAATTTTTTTTTTGTCTCTGCAGTATGGAGACTACGATCCCAGTGTCCACAAACGTGGTTTCCTTGCTCAGGAGGAACTGCTTCCGAAACGGGTAAGGACTTTGTGTTTCCAGTTTGGCCTAGTTCTGACCAGTAGACTGCACTGGTCCATACTGGGAGAACCCTCCAGGTGAGCTAAATGTCTTAGTTTTGGGGTCCTCCTTCCAGGTAATAAACTTATACCAGATGACCCCAGAAATGTGGGAGGAAAGGATCACCGCTTGGTACGGTCAACATCGAGGAAGAGCCAGGTGAGATCAAGGAACGGCCACCATTTTGGATATTTGGGTGTGTTTTAGGATAAACCTTGATAGAAGGAGACCAACTGAGTAGAGAGCCGAGATCCTTGTTTCTGTTGCAGGGATGAGGCAGAAATGGAGTACCTCAAGATCGCCCAGGACCTCGAGATGTACGGCGTCAACTATTTTGCAATTCGGGTAAGGCTCTCCAGTTTGGCCCTGAGCATCCAATGACGGTTGGTGAAGGGTCCCCCCACTTTCACTTGAGTGTTCAAAGGTGGTTGGGTAAGGGTCCTCCCTACTCCTCCAGAGTGTTGGTGGGATAGGGGTCCACCTACTTCTCTGGAAAGATGATCAAATAGGGATCTCCCTACTTCTCTGGAAAGAGGGTTGGATACTAGGTAGGGCAAAGATCCCCCTACTTCTCTGGAGCGTCCAATGAGTGTTGGGGAAGGGTCCCCCCACCTCTACATTTTGCACTGAAGGAAAGCGGGTCAGTTGCATGACCGTATTCTCCTTTGCAGTCCACTTTGCCCTGACCCAGTTCTGCAGGAAAGGATTTTATGGGGAAGATATTTTTTCCCTCTTCTTTTTCCTGTAGAATAAGAAAGGAACCGAGCTGCTGTTGGGAGTGGACGCCTTGGGTCTCCATATCTATGACCCCGAAAACAAGCTGACCCCCAAAATCTCCTTCCCGTGGAATGAGATCCGCAACGTCTCCTACAGCGATAAGGAGGTAGGCAGGAATCCCTTTTTGACAGGGATTTATCGGAACCACAACCCATTATTATGATTGCCATGCCACCACATCTCGCATGCGGCTAGCTTTGAGAAGGCCCGCTTTCCTCCTTCTCCAGCTCTGAGAACAAGACCAACTTTCACCTTATTCGGTTTTGAGAAAAAGTCCTGCTTCCTCCCTTCTTCAACTTTGGCCATTCTCCCTCTCTGAGAAATAGGCCTTGCTTTCCCCCTTCTCTAGCTCTGAGGTCTCTTTTCCCCAGTACTGAGAAGGCTTCTTTCTCCCTTCTCCTACTCTGAGAAGAAGGCTTACTTTCTCCCTTCTCTAGGCTGGAGAGGGCCTGCCTCACAAGATCTCTATGGGATCTCTATGCTGGCCACCTGCTTTCCCCCTTCTCCACCTCTGAGAAGAAGGCCTGTTTTCTCCCTTCTCCAGCCTCACAAGATCTCACTGGGACTGCTGTCAACCTGCTTTCTCCCTTCCCCAGTTCTGAGGTTTATTTTCTCTTTTTTCCAGCTCTTAGAAGAAGGCCTTACTTTCTCCATTCTCCATATATATGTATGTTTTTCTTCTCCTCCAGTTCACCATTAAGCCCCTGGATAAAAAGATTGATGTCTTCAAGTTCAACTCCTCCAAGCTCCGGGTCAATAAGCTGGTATGTACCAAGGCACAGAAAACGGAGGCAACATAATCTTGGATTGGGTAAGATGCCATTTCTTCTCCTTGTCTCTCTCTTCTCGTTGGGACAGATCCTCCAGCTCTGCATCGGGAACCATGACTTGTTCATGAGGAGGAGGAAAGCAGACTCCTTGGAGGTCCAGCAGATGAAAGCTCAGGCTCGGGAGGAGAAGGCCCGCAAGCAGGTTAGCAAACAACATCTGTTCCCTCTAGGCATTTCCTAGGTTCTCCAGCACACCTCTATGGTACTCCTGTGCAGGAAGTCCTTCCTTTCAATAGGGTTGGCTATTATTCATGGTTTTGTTTGCCCTCATCTGACAAAATATGCCCTCCCAAGGCATTTTTTAAATATTCTTTTAGATTATCCAGCATGAGTTTATGGGGTATCCTTGAGTTGACTATTATTCATGGTTTCATTTATACACGTCCAACAAAAAATGACTTCTGTAGGCGTAACCTAGGTCCTCCAGTACAACTATATTTTGACCCAAGAATACCATCAACTTACACTGAATAGCCTAGGATATCCTAGAAGTCCAACATTTTAAAATGGTCCACTGTTATCCAGGGTGTCATTTTTCCATGTCCAAAAGACTATGTCCTCTCTAGCCATTTTCTAGGTCCTCCAACATGACTCTGTGGTACTCCCGCGCAGGAAGTCCTTCATTCCACTAGAGTTCGCTTTTATCCACAATTTTATTTGTCCACATCTGATTAAATAGGTCATCTCTAGGCATTTTCTATGTCCTCCAGGGTGACTCCATAGTATTCCTGCTCAGGAAATCCTTCGTTTCAATGTTATCTGAGATGTTATCTCTCCGTTGCCATGGACCGACCACCACCTGGTCAGATTTAGACTTACTGCACCCCCCAACCTCTGCAGAGGTGGAGGACCCATTAAGCTGGTCCGCCCCAGGAGGCTTATGGATCCTGATGGATTCCTGACGGCTCTTGGGGAATTTCCCGCCACCTCGGTTGGTGATTCTGTTGATGCCCTGGTCTCTCTCTGGAACAGGGAGATGACTAGGGCAATAGACACGATCGCTCCAAACGTCCCCTCTCAAGTAGCCGAGCTAAACCAGCCCCTTGGTTCACCGAGGAGCTGGCAGCGATGAAGCGAAGGAAGAGGGAACTAGAGAGTGTGTGGCGTCTCGGATCCGAGCGAGCCAAATCGAACACGGTTTGTGTCCTTTTTAAGGGCATATGCCGCGGCAATAAAAGCCGCAAAGAAATCTTTCTTTGCGGCCACTATTGCGTCTGCAAAGAACCGTCCGGCTGAGCTGTTTCGAGTTGTCAGAGGCCTTTTGAATCCCACTACCCAGAGTGGGAGCCCTGACAATGCAACTCGCTGTGAAGCTTTTGCTCAGTTCTTTGCAGACAAAGTCGCTTTGATCCGCTCTGGTCTGGATACCATATTAACGGCAGTCTCTGAGGATGTAACACGAGCATCTGCTTGTCCAGTTTTGATGGATTCATTTCAATTGGTGAAACCCGAGGATGTGGACAAGGTGCTTGGAGGAATGAGGGCTACCACATGCATCCTAGACCCCTGCCCATCCTGGCTTCTAAAGGAGGTCAGAGGGGGATTGGCCGAGTGGGTGAAGGTGGTGGTTAATGCCTCCCTTCGGGAAGGCAAAATTCCAGCCAGCTTAAAACAAGCTGTGATAAAACCGCTGTTGAAAAAACCATCACTGGACCCCACTCAATTCGTCAACTATCGGCCTGTTTCCAATCTCCCCTTCTTGGGCAAAGTCCTGGAACGTGTGGTGGCCTCACAACTCCAGGCATTCTTGGTAGACACGGATTATCTAGACCCGGCACAGTCTGGCTTTAGGCCGGGACATGGTACCGAGACAGCCTTGGTCGCCTTAGTGGATGATCTGCGCCGGGAGCTCGACAGGGGGAGTGTGTCCCTGTTGGTGCTGCTGGACCTCTCAGCGGCCTTCGATACCGTCGACCACGGTATCCTTCTGGGACGCCTCGCGGGAATGGGTCTTGGAGGTACTGTTTTACAGTGGCTCCGCTCATTCCTTGAGGGTCGGTCTCAGAAGGTGTTACTGGGAGACTCCTGTTCAACCCCACAACCTTTGTCTTGTGGGGTTCCTCAGGGTTCAATACTGTCTCCCATGTTGTTTAACATCTACATGAAGCCGCTGGACGAGATCATCCGGAGTTTCGGAGTGCGATGTCATCTGTACGCAGATGATGTCCAACTCTGTCACTCCTTTCCACCTGCTACTAAGGAGGCTGTCGAGGTCCTGAACCGGTGCTTGGCCGCTGTGACGGTCTGGATGGGGCGAACAAATTGAAATTGAATCCAGACAAGACAGAGGTACTCCTGGTTAGTCGTAAGGCCGAACAGGGTATAGGGTTACAGCCTGTGTTGGATGGGGTCGCACTCCCCCTGAAGACGCAGGTTCACAGTTTGGGTGTGATCCTGGACTCACCGCTGAGCCTGGAACCTCAGGTTTCGGCGGTGACCAGGGGAGCATTCGCACAGTTAAAACTTGTGCTCCAACTGCGCCCGTACCTTGGGAAGTCTGACTTGGCCATGGTAGTCCACGCTCTGGTTACATCCCGTTTAGACTACTGCAATGCTCTCTACGTGGGGTTGCCTTTGAAGACGGCTCGGAAGCTCCAATTAGTCCAACGCTCGGCAGCCATGATACTAACAGGAGCGGAGCGCAGGGAGCATACAACTCCTCTGCTGCACCAGCTCCACTGGCTGCCGATTTGCTACCGGGCTCAATTCAAAGTGCTGGCGTTGGCCTATAAAGCCCTAAACGGTTCTGGCCCAAGCTACCTATCTGAATGTATCTCTGCCTATCAGCCCGCCAGGACCCTAAGATCTTCTGGGGAGGCCCTGCTCTCCATCATGCCTGCTTCACAGGTGCGGCTGGCGGGGATGAGAGACAGGGCCTTTTCTGTGGTGGCTCCCCGGCTGTGGAACGCCCTTCCTATGGAGGTTAGATCAGCCCCCTCGCTAATGGTGTTTCGAAGAAGGTTAAAAACTTGGATGTTTGAACGGGCATTCGGATCAACAGTGCAATGAATGTGATGATTACAGGAATGGAAATATGGACGACGAATTGGATCACGACTCTAGTTATGAGATGTATTACGCTGTCTTATTGTTATGTCAATTTTGTATACTATGCTCTTATGGTTTTAAATTGTTTATCACTGATTGTTTTTTATCCTTGTTGTAAACCGCGTTGAGTCGCCTATTGGGCTGAGAAACGGCGGTATACAAGTAAAGTAAAGTAAATAAATAAATAAATAAATACATTTCAGTTGTTGTTTTATTTTTTCTTATCAGGGGTTTCATTTATCCACTTCCGGTGAAATATGTCCTCTCTAGGCATTTTCTGGGTCCTCCAGTATTTATTATTTATCAATTCCCAGCAAAGTATGTCCTCTCAAGACATTTTCTGGGTCTTGTAGTGCAACTCTATTGGATTGTTGTGCAGGAAGTTCTTCATTTTCAAAGCAAGAAGACATGTGCGAACCTAGAAGGTCCATCTTGAATGATGTTCAAGGATGGTATCCTGAACCCTACATCGAGAGTGGCCATCTTGATTCTCTCCCACCTTTTCTTCTGCAGATGGAACGGCAGCGTTTGGCACGAGAGAAACAAATGCGGGAAGAGGCCGAACGAACCCGAGATGAGTTGGAGCGGCGGCTATTGCAATTAAAAGAAGAGGCGACCATGGCTAATGAAGCCTTAGTAAGTCTCTTGACGTCTTGAGAAGCAAGTTTCCTTCTTGCGGGGATTTGATGTTATTTTGTAATTCAGTCTGTACGGGTTTATGGAATGAAATTGTCTTCTGTCCCTGCCTGGAGAAATGTAAGCCGATTGTGGTGAATGTTTATAGCTAGGAAGTGCTGAGCCGTTTTCTGGAGGGGATTGTTTTGCTTTCCTAGATGCGCTCAGAGGAAACAGCAGACCTGCTGGCTGAAAAGGCCCAGATCACCGAAGAGGAGGCAAAGCTCCTGGCCCAGAAGGCAGCTGAAGCAGAGCAGGAGATGCAGCGGATCAAGGCCACGGCCATCCGGACTGAGGAAGAGAAGCGACTGATGGAGCAGAAAGTCCTGGAGGCCGAGATGTTGGCGCTCAAGATGGCGGAGGAGTCTGAGCGGAGGTCAGAAGAGTGCCTGCATTTGCATTCGGGGCCTTGGGAAACTACAAGTCTGTGCTAAAACCCCTAGATTTAGATCCAGCACTAGATTTAGGAAGCTGAAATCAACTGAACTATCATAAAGAGATACAGTAATACCCTCTCCTGCTCTGAGGAGAAGGCTGACTTTCCCCTTCTCCATCTTGAAGAAGGCCTATTTTGTCAATTCTCCAGCTGAGAAAAGGGCCTACTTTTCCCCTTCTCCTTCTCTGAAAGTAGGCCTACTTTCTTCAGCTCTGAAAAGAAGGCCTACTTTTCCCCTTCTTTAGCTCTGAGAAGAAGGGCTACTTTCTTGTTTCTCCAGCTCTGAGGAGAAGGGCTCCTTCACAATTTCTCCACTGCAATAGGGCTCTATTTCTGCCTCTTTCCTTCCTTCATCCCTTCTCCTCATACACATGTCCTCCTTTTTTCCCAGTGATATCACAGAGCGCCACTGCACCTAGTATTGGGGGGAAGGGGCGGTTGTACTGCTGGCAACTTAATTAAGAGTTAATAAAGATTTAACCCTCCCTTGTTTGTGTGGATGCTGCGTGCAGGGCAAAGGAAGCCGACCAGCTCAAGCAGGACTTGCAAGAAGCACGAGACTCAGAGCGACGAGCCAAGCAGAAGCTCCTGGAAATCACCAACAAGTCCTCCTACACAGTAAGAAGTCTCAATATGGTAGCTTTGTTCCTCCCAAGCCAGGGAAGTGGTCGTTCTCAGTTTCTAATCCATGTCTTCTCTTGCTTTGGGGTTCTGGCAGTGGCAATCAGGATGGAAGGAAGGCCCTTTGTCGGTCTCCAAACCCCTTGTTCTCTCCCATGAGTCCAGGACAGTGGCAGTCAGGAAAGGAGGATGGTCTTCTGCCTATTTTGAGGTTTCTTCTCCCTTTGGGGACTGGGCAGTCAGATGGAAGGAAGCCCTTTTGCCTGTCTCTGAACCTCTTCTCTGCCACAGAGGCCAGGGCAGTGGCAGCCAAGAAGTGAGGAGGGACTTTTGTCTATTTTGGGGCCTCTCTCCCTCTGAAGTTGGGGCAGTGGCAGTCAGGATGGAGAAAAGTCTTTTGTCTGTCTCCAAACTTCTTATTCTTTACCATGGAGGCCAGGACAGTGGCAGCTGGTATAGAAGGAGGGTCTTTTGTCTATTTTGGGGCTTCTTCTCTCTGATCAAGGTAAAGGCAGTGGCAGTCGAGATGGAAGGAGGGTCTTTTTCTGTCCCCAAACCTTTTCTTCTTTCCCACGGAGGCCTGGGCAATGGCAGTCGGGAAGGGAGGAGGATGCTTTGTATCTTTCTGGGATTTTATATCCCAACTGCCACTGCCCTCTCCCACGGAGGCGAAGGCAGTGGCAGTCGGGACAGAGGGAAGGCCTTTCATTCACCATGTAGAGCTCTGTTTTTATAATGAGAAATTAGAGACTCGGGAAACCCCACCAGAAAGTTCTAATCTCATATCAGAAAATTTTATTTTCGAGCACCCCGCTGGCGACGAGAGCCCGGCTCATTAGGGACTTGGCACAGGCGCCTACAGTTTCCAGGTTAAGAGCTGTGAAAACTATCCCCAAAATAGCAAATTAAGCATCCGTACAAGAGCAGCTGATTGATGTTTTCGTGTGAGAGAAACGAGCATGTGTCAGAAATATGAAGCTTACTGAGGTTTTTTGATTTTTAGCAGGCCATGAATGTGAGTCCCGCCGCCGCACTGCCTGCCGATTTGCCCTCTTATGGACTCATCAGCGAGAGCCTTTCCTTCGACTTCAAAGATACGGATATGAAGAGATTGTCCATGGAAATTGAGAAAGAGAAGTGAGTTGTCCTCTCTCTCGTCTCGCCACCACTCTCTCATCTCATGAAATGGATTTCGTTATACAAGGGCATTCCTGATTGGTCCCCGGGGCCCATATAATATTCAGTTTCTGTAGCTTTGGATGTTCCCCAGCTTCCGAATTGTAGATCAGGATTGTGTCAGTCATCAGCCAAGGTCAATGCAATCGTATCAGTTTCAATCTCCAGGCAGCACTTCAGGGATAATTATACAGAAATGTGTATGTTTCTGCAGAGTCAGCAAAACAAAGCGACGAATGACGGTCTCCCTCTTTGTTCCTAGGGTTGAATACATGGAGAAAAGCAAGCACCTCCAAGAACAACTGAACGAGCTGAAGACGGAAATTGAGGCGTTGAAGTTGAAGGAGCGAGAGACAGCGATGGATATCTTGCACAACGAGAGCAACGACCGGGGCAACAGCAAGCACAACACTATCAAGAAGGTATGGGAAAAGGCTGCCCTGTTGCTGAGATGCAACAACTGGGTTGGGTGGGAAGGCATTGGACTCTGTGACCCATGAGTCTCCTTCCAATTGGATCATATTCCAGAGTATCTACTTGAGGGAGTCGTTCTACATTGCTCTTCAAGCCCGGTGTTTGGCGGATTCCAAGAATGTGATTCATAGACTTATCACGCCATAATCCTATAGCACTTTGTCCCACTTTAATGACCATAGGACTTGTAATCCTGTGAGCCCCAAGAGCCCTGATGGATAATGAGAAATAATCCCTCTATAACAGTACAGAAACACTCAAAATGATGGACATCCAAGACTCTGACTCACACTTATCATGCCACAATGCTATAGCACAGTATACCACTTTAACTACCATTTAATGACCATGGGATTTGTAGTGGAGGGATGGAAGAGCCATGATAGTTGATGGGGAATAATTCCTTTATAACAGTATAGAAACACTGAAAATGATGGACATCCAAGGGTCTGACTCATACACATATGACGCCACAATGCTATAGCGCTATATCACACTTTAATTACCATTTTATTACCATGGGATTTGTAGTCCAGTGAGCCCCAAGAGTCCTGATAGTTAATGAGGGATTATAGCATTTTCACTGTAAAAAATGTTGAGAACGTTGTGATTGAAAATGTTGGACATCCAAGGCTCTGACCCATACATTTATCACACCACACTGCTATAATGCTATATACCACTTTAATTACCATTTAATGACCATGGAGTTTGTAGTTCAATGGAGTTGAAGAGGCATGATAGTTGATGAGGAATAATACCTCTATAACAGTATAGAAACACTGAAAATGATGAACATCCAAGGCTCTTACTCGTACACTGTAGCGCTATAGTGCGATATCCCACTTAACGGGATTAATGGAAGCTCTCTGCTCTTCCTTGAACTATAAATCCCAGAATCATTGGGATGTTTCCATGACAATTAAGGTGGAATAGTGTTGTTAAAATGGTATAGAGAGCTGTAGGTGAAAATGGTGGACATCTAGGGCTCTGACTCGTACGCTATAGTACTATATCACACTTAATCGTCCAGAGATTCTGGAGTTTGTCACCAAGTATGCCATATTTTTTTCTGGGACTTAGTGGATTTGGCCTTGTTAGTGCTCAGTTCCTTGTGCTATCAGACCCCCACTCCCAGAATCCACGCCCTTTGATAGGATGCTGGGAGATGTTGTTTAATGGCACCTGCATTCTCCACAACTGAGTTCTCCCACTCGGCAAAAATGATCTCCCCCTCGTATTTGGTTAGAAGTGGGCAACAAAGCTGAGGATAAAAGCCAACCCTATTGAGATGGACTTCCTGCACAGGAATATCACGGAGTCACCCTGGAGGACCTAGAAAATGCCTAGAGGGGGCATGATTTCAGAGAAACGATAGCCAACCCTATTGAAATGGAGGCCCTCTTCTGTTTGTTTTGCCGGTTTAGCCTCAAGCCCAGGGCAGAAGACCCATCTGCATTTGAGGCGCCCGAGTTGTAGGTCAGTCCAAAGCCAGTGCTTTTGTGTTTGTCTGGTGATGGTGGTGGGGGAACAATGGGCCACTAACCTCTGCATGAGCTTGCCTGCCAAGCATTTGCACCCTTGGAACCTGCAGCATTGATCAAAGGGAAAATGGGAGTCTCCTTCCCCAGGATTCCAAAGACCTTGGGAAATGACAACTTCCAGGACTCCATTGCATTGAGCAAAGTGGTGTCAAATGGCATTCGTTCTACATGTAGGTGTCCCTTGTATGTAGAGAATTCCAAAGACCTTGGGAAACTACAGCTCTCCAGGACTCCAAAGACCTTGAGAAATGACAACTCTCTGACCTCCATCTCCTTGCGCTAAAGTTGTGTTAGAATGCATTCATTCCTGTATGGCCCAATGGGATAAGACTGGATGGCCCAAGACCCATTGGATCCCATTGTATTCCTGTATGGCTCAATGGAGTTGGTCTAGATCAGGGGTCCTCAAAGTAAGGCCCGGGGGCCAGATACGGCCCTCCAATATCATTTACCCGGCCCTCACTCAGGGTCAACCTAAATCTGAAAGGACTTGAAAGCACACAACAACAACACCCTTTCTCATCAGCCAAAAGCAGGCCCACACTTCCCATTAAAATACCAATAAGTTTATATTTGTTAAAATTGTTCTTTATTTAAATTATTGTATTATTTTAAGTGTTTTTTGCACTACAAATAAGATATGTGCAGTGTGCATAGGAATTCATTCATGGTTTGTTTTTTTTTTAATATAATCCGGCCCTCCAACAGTTTAAGGAACTGTGACCTGGCCCTCTGTTTAAAAAATTTGAGGACCCCTGGTCTAGACCAGTGGTTCTTAACCTGTGGATCCCTAGATTTTTCGGCCTTCAACTCCCAGAAATCCTAACATTTGGTAAACTGTCTGGGATTTCTGGGAGTTGTAGACCAAAACACTTGGGGAACCACAGGTTGAGAGCCACTGGTCTAGATGATGCTTAGGGGTCCCCTCTTTGAACCTAAACTCATTGTATTCCTGTATGGCTGAAAGGGCTTGGTCTACATGTCCCTTGAGGGTCCCTTCTTGGAACCAAGGCCCATTGGATCCTACTGTATTCCTGTACGGCTGAAAGGTGTTGGTCTAGATGGCCCTTTGGGATCCCCTCTTGAACCTAAACCCATTGGATCCCATTATATTCCTATGTGGCCCAATGGGGATGGACTAGATGGCCCCAAAACCCATTGGATTGCATTGTATTCCTGTATGGCTGTATGGAGTTGGTCTAGATGACCCTGAGACCCATTGGATTCCATTGTGTTCCTATATGGCTGAAAGGGATTATCTAGATTACTCTTAGGGATCCCATCCTGGAACCTAAACCCATTAGAATGCCTTGTATTCCTATATGGCTGAAAGGAGTTGGACTAGATGGCCCCAAGACCCATTGGATTCCTGTATGGCTCAGTGAGGTTTTTCTTGCCTCCCTCCTGCGAGTGAGTCCATTGTTTTCCCTTGAGTAGGAAAGGCAAAGGACAGCAAAGAGGTGTTGCTCAACTGCCTTGGCTTTGTTTTTTTCCTAGGGACCGTTATGCAATTCCGCGTTCGCTTTTCTTGGGAATGTTGTGCTATTCTGGATTCACTTCACAGAGATCAGTCTGAAATCACATTGAATTTCTCTGTGTTTTTTTTTTCTCCTTCCTTTTTCTCCCCACAGCTCACCTTGCAGAGCACAAAATCCCGAGTGGCTTTCTTCGAGGAACTCTAAAGCAAACGAGCCGGAAGAGTCGTTAATTGACCCAATGCCGGAAACAAAGCCGCCGTCTTTCCTTTTACCTCCTTTTTGTACTGTTTGTTAACCTTTGTAATAACGCATGATGACGGCGCTCCGTTTTTTGCCACCGTTTTTCCTATTTCTCTCTTCTTTTGGGAGGGAATATTATATATATATATCTATATATATTTGTACGAATTGTTCCTCTTTAAGTCCTCTCCCTTGTTTTGGGGAAATGTGAAGAATTATTCCTCCTCCATGAACTTTGTTGTATTTTATCCCTGTTTATTTGGACTTTATTGCACCAGCTTGTTCAAGGAAATGGAAATATGTTGTTGTTGCGACAAATTGTTTTCTCACACTCCAATGCAATTGGTGCTTTTGGTGAAGTTACTTATTTGGTCATTTTCTAATTGCATTATTATTGTAATTTTCCTCCGCTTGCGATATCAGTATTGCAGCAGAACGAAACTATCTTAGAAGACATAGTCGTAGAATAGCAATTTTTTTTGCTATTTTTCCATTGTGTTATTCTCCTTTTTCAATCTTGCTATTTTAGCAGAAAGAAACTACTGTACAAAAAATAGCAATTTCTTATTTTCTCTTTTACAATTGTGACATTATTTCAAATATCAGTGATGCAGCAGAAGGAAATTACAACAATGAATAGTAGTGGACCTATCGACGGCTTTTTCTTGTCAAGAAGAAGAGACAATCTGATTACATTTCAAGCACAACGCAATTATGGCGTCGCACGATCATCCCCAACCGTTCAGTGCCTTCTCCTTTTGAACTGGATAAACCCTCTATAATACAGAACCCATTTTTGTTCCAGGTTGGCGTTCAGTTTCTTAAGAAAACCATTCTCCATTTCTGATTCCCCATTCTTGTTCCAGGAAATTGGTGTTTTATAAAGAAAGAAAAAAATGATTGAGAAGGTGGAAGACGAGGAAGTAAAATTCAGGACGGTGAGGAGGTCAAATTTAAGATGATGAGAAAATTGTATCCATTAAGACAAGGTATCAAAATTCGGGAAGACAAGTAGGAAATATTCGAGAAGACGAATTAAAATTCAGGAAGACAAAAAGGCAATATTCGAGAAGACGAATCGAAATTTGGGAAACCGAGATTAAATTCAGGAAGACAAGGAGGCAAAATCTGGGAAGATGAGATGAAATTTGGTAAGATACGCAGGCAAAATTTGGAAAACAAGGCCAAATTTGGGAAGATGCGGAGCTGAAATTCAGAAAGACGAGGGAAAATCCAGGGAGATGAGGATGAAATTCGGCAAGGTGAGGAATCAAAATTTGGGAAGACAAGGCCAAATTCAGGGAAACAAAGACGCAATTTGGGAAGGCGAGTAGGCAAAATGTGAGAAAACGGCTATCACATTTTTGCGTCACAGCACCCCTGATCCATCATTCTTTCCTTGAGAAAGCAATGTTCAGGAAAACTGCGATCCCTTTTGTAAAGCAATGCCCTCAATGCACAATATTTTCCCCAAATAAACCTTGCTTATTTTTCTAAATTGTGTTATTAACAAAATCCAGAAACTTGGGGTTTTTTTGGGGGGGGGGGGTCTTTTTAAAACAGGCCATACATCCCCCCCTCCCCAATCAAACATCTCATTTGACTTTTCTGTGAATTAGTGAAGACCAGAGAAAATAAAATAACACAGAAAAGGCCCGTTTTGTAAAACTGACAGTCAGATGGGTGTCTGCCAAGAGATTGAACTGAGGACACCTTTTTCTTCCCTGAATTTTTCTGGTATATTTTGATCATTAAAGTATAGTATATAAAGTAAAGGATGTCTCTGTGTTACATACAATACCTTGTCGAGCTCAGGCTTCCCTGTTCAGAATATTGTGTAAGGGGGTTTCGCCACATTTTCCAGCTGCGGGCTACAAGCCAAAGCTGCCACAAATCCCTTCTGATCCCTTTTTTACCTTGTTAATGGTGAAGTTCCCTTGTCTCCTCACTTCCCTCATCTTACTTCCCTCATCTTCTTACTCCCCTCATCTCCCTCATCCCCTTGCTTCCCTCATCTCCTCGTTCCCCCCTTGTTATCTCAAAACTGGGAGATTAAAATGCCTAGAGGGGACATGGTAGACTGGACATGGGTAAAGGAAACTATGGGTAATACCAATCCTATTGAAATGAGGGACCTTCTGCACGGGAATACCTTGGAGTTGCATTGGAAGACCTAGAAAATGTTTAGAGAGGAACATATTGGATGAGACATGGGTAAATGAAGTAGGGATAATAATGATCTTAGATGTCTTGTCGTGTCTCCAACTCTATGATTCTGTGACTTCCTGTGCAGGGATAACAGAGTCATGCTGGAGGGCCAAGAAAATTGGTAAATGAAATGATAGACAATAGTCTTATTGAAATGAAGGACTTCCGAGCCCAATAATACCATAGTCCTGTGTTAGAGGACCTAGAAAATGCCTAGAGGAGACATAGTTGGTCTGAAATGAATCAAAACCAGAGATAATAACTGAAATGTGGGGCTTCCTGCGCAGGACAGGGGCGGCTCAACCCATTATGCAAAGTAAGCATTTGCAGTATAATTAATTTTGCCCAGGGGCGCTCTTGGGGGAAAATAGACCCTGACATATGCGAGTTGTAGTTACTGGGATGTATAGTTCACCTACAATCAAAGAGCATTCTGAACTCCACCAATGATGGAATTGAACCAAATATGGCACACAGAACTCCCACGATGAACAGAAAATATATATCAGTGATTGGTTGGGGGCAAAATACTGTTTGCTTACTGTTGAAAATTACCTAGGGCCACCTCTGGTGCAGGAATACCATAGAGTTGTGATGGAGAACTTAGGAAATGCCTAGAGAGGACCTATTTTGTCAGGTGTAGAGAAAAGGGAGAGACTGGGGAAGGGGTGATGGCCAAAGCTTTGGTTTTCAACTTATTAGTTGAAAACTTGACCAGAGAAAGCCATTCAGTTGATCCACTTGGTCCAGAACGCCTCTAATTGGGTCCAGACCATTGGAATCTGGAGGATTTCCAGCCCCTGAAAGATGGTTGGATTTCAGAGAGAAGTTGAAGGCAAAGTTCAAGTGAAAATGCATCCTACATATCAGATGTTTACATTACGACTCATAACAGTAGCAAAATTACTTATAAAGTAGCAACGAAAATGCTGCTTTAACTGTTTTTAATTTGCTTTAGGTGTTATATTGTTATGTTGTGTTTGGGGCCTTGGCCTTTGTAAGCCGCATCGAGTCCTTCGGGAGATGCTAGCGGGGTACAAATAAAGTTAATAATAATAATAATAATAATAATAATAATAATAACAACATGAAGAACTGTATTAAGGGGTCGCGGCATAAGAAAGGTTGGGAAAAACTGTTAGATTGTATTCTTAGTATACTGTATTACACTAAAATATTATCAATATTATGTGCATATATAACAATATTAGTATTATATTGTATTATAATATGATCAAGATTCTATTATATATATATATATTATTAGCATAGCACATTAGTATTATATATTACTATATTGCACTACACTACAATATTATTTGTAATATTACATGTAATATATAATTATTTTATTATTATATATTATATTGTACTATATTATTATACCACAATATATATCATACACTACCAGTATATTATACTATTAGTATTATATATTGTACTATATCATAAGTTGTAGTATATATTAATATTGTATATAATGTATTAGCATTGTTACATTTTGCCTCATTTCTGGTTTCAATTGGGAAAATAGTCCAGGAATATTTAAAGCAAGGCCAGCTTTAACAACATTCGCCACTTTGAGGAAGGAGTCAAATAATAATATCAAAACACAACATGGTTTAACAAATTGGACTTTTATTCATATGTATAGATACAGATATTTATAAGACATTCACAGTTCCAAATACAGGCAGGTATGGGAATCCTAACAAATCCATGGATCCCTACTGTGCAGGCCTGGGCCAACTTGGGCCACAATTCCTACCGGCTATTAGGAATTGTGGGGGTTGCAGTCCAAAACACCTGGAGGAAGGGCCCAAGTTGGCCCATACCTGGTCAAGAACCTAGAAAGTCAAGAGCAACTTCCATTTTTAGGCCATCATCTTCAAAGCTCTTTTCCAACACTATAACTCCATGCTACAAGGATGATGGGATTTGTAGTCCTCAAGACTTGGGAAAAACTACAAACCCCATTATCCCTATAGCATTGAGTCAAACTGCAGACCTTAGAGAGAACTAAAAACCCTATCACCCATGTATCCTTGAGTAAAACGACAGGCTTTTGGGGGAACTACAAATCCCATCATCCATGTAGCACTGAATAAAAGTGCAGGCCTTTGGGAAAAACAACAAACCCCACCATCCATATAGCATTGAGTGAAACTGCAGACCATTGGGGAACTACAAATCCCATTATCTGTGTAGCATTGAGTTAAAGTGCGGGGGTGAAAGACCTTTGAGGAAAAACTAGAAATCCCATTATCCATGTAGCACTGAGTAAAACTGCAGGCCTTTGTGGGACTAGAAACTTTATCATCAATGTATCATTGAGTAAAATGGCAGGCTTTTGGGGGAAACTACAAATCCCATCATCCATGTAGAATTGAGTGAAACTGCAGGCAAACAACCTTTGGGGGAACCACAAACCACGTCATCTGTGTAGCATGGAGTAAAATAGCTGTAAAACATAACTGCAAGTAAAACAGCAGGCCTGCTATGGTGTGCCCCAAGAGCTGATCAATCAAGCTATGACCATCAAACTGGTGAATTATCACAGGAGCATCTTCCGAAGTGATGGGCAACGCAGCGCCACCTCTTCCTCTGCTTTCTCCTCCTCTGTGGCATCCAGCAATTGTTTCACATAACAGGAAGTGCCCAGCAAAACGTGGCCAGTGGCCTGCATGGTGAACAGCGCCCAGCGGAGAGCTTCCCTGCATTGCAAAGGAGACAGAGAGAGGGAGAGATGATCACCTTCACTATGGACCATGCTCCCATAAGTAACAACCTACCTATTGCTGGACCAGGCTGGGGATAATAACAACGTAATAATAATAAATAATTAAATAATATATAAATACTAGCCGTCCCCTGCCACGCGTTGCTGTGGCCCAGTCTGTGTATATGTGTTTTGTGTGTATGTGTGTGTATATATTTGTGTATATGTGTGTTTGCGTGTGTATATATATATATATATGGGGGGGGGGGGGTTGTGCATGCGTTGTAATGTAATTTTTGGTTTTTTGGCTTTTTAAGTCTCTTCTGCTGCGTTTTCCAGTGTTTTTATGAGTGATGGTCACTTGTTGGCCTAATAAGTGTATTGTGTCCACATTTTATGTCAATTCGTCCAGTGGGTTTTGAGTTACGTTAATCCCACACACGAACATTACATTTTTATTTATATAGATTAAGGGGGAACTGCTTTGAATTATTAATTACATCTAGAAATTCCCAGAGAAAAGGAGGCCCAAAGGGTCTCAAAATAATGCTGAAATTTAAAAGCACCCAAAAATCCTAATGTCAAGAGCAACTTGACATTAGGATTGGGGAACTGGATGGGATGGCTCACGAGGTCTCTTCCAACTCTATGATTCTAATGCCTCTAAGGCAGTTTTTAACAGTCTCTCTCTCTCTTTGAAGGACACAGTGTTCATCTAACTGATAAGGTGCTTGATGATTTTGTATAATGTTTTTAAAATGATTTTACTGTTTAATTGTAATTTTACTGTGTAGATGTTGTTAGCATCATTTGATGCTTATGTGAGGCCGGACTGAGTCCCCTTATGGGGAGAAGGGTGGGGTAGAAATGTACGAAATAAATACATAAAATAAATTGGAACAGAAAGAAGTGAAACTCCTCTGTTTCCCTGGGTCTTATCCCATTCCTATATTTTGTTTCATCGCTCTGAACTACAATGGACAATAGAGTACTTGTTAAAATAGCAACAGAATGTAACTCTGCTTACTCAATAATATTTCTACCTATTGCAAATAACGTGTGATTTTGGAAAGCAAAAATGTAAGCTTTGTTTAGTGTGCGCATGTCAGAAAAAGTTTATATCAAGCCGGCACACCTGATTTGAGCGTGAGAGTTGATTTTTCCAGCAGGAGCTAGGCTGTCATCATACTCTTGGCTAGCAGTAAACTTTCTTAAAATCATAATCTACTATTAGTCTGCTTTCTTCAAACAAATTTCTAGTGACCCCAACGTGATCTGGGCCAGGTGAGTTGAATCGAAACACAGTCATTGTAGCAACAGAACGATAGAACAAATATAACAGGCAGAAATAGCATACGCAATATATCAATCATAGCAATAATCACCAAGGTAGCAAGAGAATAACATACATCCCGAAGACAACAACCAAAGTATAACAAATCGAACAGATGTAACTGTCTGAAGTGTAATACTTAACCCAGCCAATGCAATAGCAATGTAATAACCGTAAATTATCGTAATTTGCACGGATGCACATGTAAACAGAATAAGAAGTATTGCTGTAATCTCCCTAAGTGTAATAATTCCACAGTTGGAATACATATATAAATATAACAATAAAATATATTTATATACTATGAAATATACAGTAATAACTTATATACTATAAAATATATAGTAATAGGGAAACTGGTTGACCACAGAGTTGTGCTGGAGGACCCACAAAATGCCTAGGGAGAGCACAAGTCTAGCTTTTCTAAGTCAATTTCCTACAGAAAAGCATCTCTGGACATTTTCTAAGACCTCTTACTTGACTTTTAATGACAGCATCCTAGAGAATTGCATCTCTAGGCATTTCCTCGGTCCTCCAGCCGACTCTCTAGTCACCTTCCACTGGAAGCATGCCATAGATTCACTCTGGAAAATCAATAAAATATCTAGAGAGGGCCTTTTCTTTTTGGTTGACTGACCTCATCATCCTCTTGGCCCCGTAGCATTGCATGTCATAGGACATACTGTATGTCCCGTAGAGTGTCGTCTTGATGTTCAAGCAGCCAATGAGGTCCTGAGGGTTGGTCTTGTAGAGGTCAAAGGTCAGCCGGGCCACGTCAATCCGGTGCCGGGGCTTCTGGGAAAGAGCAAGCCGGTAGCCAGGCGTCTGAGACAGAAAAGGAAGCAAAAGCATTGAGTTGAAAAGGACAGAGATGTCCTAGAGAGAACATCCCCATTGGCATTGGTAGGCGACCATGGGGTTAAACTGGAGAACCAAAAGATTCCTAGCTAGAAGACTTCTCTAGGTGGCCATCAGATTGAGTGGGAGGACCTCAAGGGAGTGAGAGAGTACTCCTCTAGGCTCATGGAGACCCGGCAGATGCTCTGTGGCCTCCTTGCTTAAAGGTGTAGTCCCCTCTTCAGAGGAGGCAATGGCCACCCACCTTCTCCGGTCGCCATTCCTGCCCTTTGGCCAGGGCCATGAGCACCGCTCCTTCCTCCAGCGTCTGGAAGAACTCCTCTGTCTCTACACTGGTGCCATCCTCCTCCAAGACGAGGTGGGCTTCCCCGGCAAGGGCCCAGGTGTGACGCACCTGAGGAGACAAAAGGGCCTTTAGAGGCAGGACCTGGGGGTGGTCCAGCCCTTGAACGGCCTCCCTCCCTCCTTCCCTCCCAGGCTCACCTTCTCCTGGAGGTCCCTCAGGTTCTCGGCCACTATGCCTTTGCGCACTGAGCGCTCACGGTTGGTCACCCGGAAAGGGCGGGGCCTCGGCGGAGAAGGAGGAGCCCCTGCCAAGACGCACCTGAGACAGGAGAAGAGGAGCTGTCAATGGAGGACCCTTCCACACTGCCCTCTATGCCAGGATCCGATCTTAGACTATCTGGCAGTGGAGACTCACATAATCCAGTTTACACATGTCAGTATAAAACGGTTTTTGATGTTTGAGTTAAAACAGCAATCAGTTTGAGCATGCCTATGAGTAAGAGATTGCAGTAGCTTAAAGAGTTAAAGCTCTAGAGGGGGAAAGCACATTTGAAGAATGCAAGCTATGTAGTTTGGGATGGGGGGTGGCTTTTCCCATGTGGCAAACGGAAGAGAAGGACTTTATAAGGACACTTTCACCATGATTTTCCTAGAGATCAAATGCCTTTTATGGCCGTGCTGTAAATCTTTGTAAATAAAACATAACACTGATCCTGTGTGGATCTGAAGAAAAGCTGCATTCATGAGTTATTTGAATCCTCATACCTAAAAGCGGCTGCTCGTGGGTTGAGAAGGAAATAAGGAACAAAGCTGATTTATGACGTTACAATCGTCTTATCTCAATTTTCCGTCAGTTCAAAGCACACAACCCGGGATCAGATCTTGGGATATAAGGATAGTGTAGAATGGGCTGGAGTTTCATGGATAGACAGGTCTCCAGGAAAGCCACATAGCCAAACCAGAGAACCTTATTTCAGCATCCAAAGGTTCTTCCAGCCAAAGGGGGCCATAGAGGACCTGGAGATTTGTAGAGAGAACTCCAGCCCCACTGGAGGATTCCTAGGTCTTCCAATCGGGCTAGAGGACCTAGGAAATGCCTAGAGATGCCATTCTATAGGATGATCTCCCTAGGGACCAGAAGATCCTTCTGTAGAAGGTAGCCATTGGATTGAGCTGGAGGACCTAGAGATTTGTAAAGAGGACCATTTTCTAGGCATCGGAAGGTCCTTCCAGTGGAAAAGGATCATAGAGTCGCACTGGAGGACCTGGATATTTGTAGAGAGGATGCCTTTCTAAGCATCGGTAGGTCCTTCCATCAATAGTTGACCATGGAGTTGCACTGGAGGACTTAAGAGATTCCTTAAAAATCACTTATCTGGGCATTTGTAGGTCCTTCACTACATGGCCAACCTCCAGTGCTAGTAACCATAAAGTTGTGATGGAGGGCCTAGAGATTTCTAGAAAGGACAGCTCCCTAGGCATTTGAAAGTCCTTCTAGTGGAAGGCAGCCATAAAGTTGTCCTGGAGGATGTAGGATTTCCTAGAGAGGACAATTTTCTAGACATCGAAAGGTCCTGCCAGTGGAAGGTGACCACAAAATTATATTGGAGAACCTAGAGCTTCCTAGAGAGGACGGTTCCCTAGGCATCGGAAGGTTCTTCCAGTGGGAGGGGACCTTAGAGTCACACTGCAGGACCTAGAGTTTCTTAGAGAGATTTTTCTAGATGTGTGTAGGTCCTCTATTGGCACTCTTTTGCCAATTTATGTGGGAAACGGACCACAGAGTTGTTCTGGAACACCTAGAGAGGACTAGAGAGGACACTTCTATAGGTATTTGTAGGTCTTCTAGTGACACTCTATGAACAACCTCCAGTGGAAGGACCTAAAGGTCCTCCAAAGCAACTCTATGATCAACCTCTGTTCGATGCTGACAATAAAGTTGTGATAGATTACCTAGAAATTCCTAGAGAAAACGATTATCTAGATATCTGTAGGTCCTCTTAATGGAAGCTGAGCCTTCTAATGAAAGCTGAGCCTAGCGTTGCATTGGAAGACCTAGAGATTCCTAAAGAGGAGACAAAACAACATTACAAGCAAATACTTACTTGGAAAGGGATTGCGGGGAGAGAAGGGACAGCGACTTTTTGGCGTAATCCATTCTCACAAAGAGCGTTTGATCTGAACTGTAAGGAGGAAAGAAGTTGTACATTTTAAATTTAATAATAATATTTTTATTGAGTCTAAGTGCTTCCTTTTACCCACTGTGATGTTGTTGTTGTTATTATTATTATTATTATTATTATTATTAATATTATTAATAGAAACACAACAAGATGAGTCCTCAGCAGACACTCTGCTGGCTGTTGAATTGGATCACACGTCGGACACTTCCCAAGTGTCTAGGACTGTGTGATGTATCGGCGAATAATGCGTGCAGATCCCAGTAAGGTGGCCTTCTGCAGCTGGCAGATGGTAATTTTGTCAACGCTGATTGTGTTTAAGTGCAGGCCAAGGTCTTTAGGCACTGCACCCAGTGTGCTGATCACCACTGGGACCACCTTTACTAGTTTGTGCCAGAGTCTTTGCAGTTCGATTTTAAAATTCTCATATCGTGTCAGCTTTTCCAGTTTTTTCTCTTCAATCCTGCTGTCACCTGGGATTGCGACATCGACGATCCATACTTTGTTTTTTAACACGATTGTGAGGTCAGGAGTATTATGCTCCAAAACTCTGTCTGTCTGAATCCGGAAGTCCCACAGGAGTTTGACGTGTTCATTCTCTTTAACTTTTTCCGGCTTGTGATCCCACCAGTTGTCATAGGCAGATGGTGTTTCTGGCACAAGTTCCAATGAATCATCTGAGCAACGGTGAGTGTTGTGCCTCTGCTTGTAGTCTGTCTGCCCAATCTTCTTGCAGCAGCTGAGGATGTGATCTATTGTTTAATCTGCTTCCTTGCAGAGTCTACACTTGGGATCTGTTGTCAACTTTTCAATTCTTGCTTTGATGGTATTGGTCCTAATGGCTTGCTCTTGGGCTGCCAGAATCAGGCCCTCAGTCTCCTTTTTCAGAGTTCCATTTGTGAGCCACAGCCATGTTTTTTCTTTGTCAATTTGGCTCTCAATTTTTGCCAGGAACTGTCCATGGAGAGCCTTCTTTTGCCAGTTTTCTGCTCTGGATTGTGTTTTTATGGTATTCCCTCTTTGTCTTTTGCACTTTAAGCAGTTTAATACTATTGACTTCCCTCAGTGTTGTTTCTTGACTGCCTTTCACATAATCTGCCAGTGCGTGTATCTCTTCTTCTACCGTTTGTTTCACTTGCAGAAGTCCTCTGCCTCCTGATTTTCTGGGCAGGTAAAGTCTGTCAACATCACTATGCGGGTGTAATGCGTAGTGCAGTGGTTCTCAACCTGTGGGTCCCCAGGTGTTTTGGCCTACAACTCCCAGAAATCTCAGCCAGTTTACCAGCTATTAGGATTTCTGGGAGTTGAAGGCCAAAACATCTGGGGACCCACAGGTTGAGAACCACTGGCGTAGTGGATTGTCATCAGTTTTCTTGTTTTTCTGTCCAGATCATTCAGCTCTGCTTGTGTCCAGTTTACAATCCCACCAGTGTATCTAATGATGGGGACGGCCCAGGTGTTGATAGCCGTGATCGTATTTCCGCCATTTAATTTGCTCTTCAAAACCTTTCTGACTCTTTGGATATATTCTTTGCTGACCACATTTTTCACATGCTTGATATTGTCCAATTGTAGTATGCCCAGATATTTATAGGCTTCAGGCTGATTGCACGTTATGGTTTGTCCTTTTGGCATCTCTATGCCCTCGCTTTGTGTAGTTTTCCCTTTCTTTAAAGCCACTGTGGCACATTTGTCTAGGCCAAACTCCATACTGATGTCAATGCTGAAGATTCTGACTGTGTTGGTCAGTGACTCGATTTCAGTTTCTGATTTTCTGTAAAGCTTTAGATCTATTATTATTATTATTATTATTATTATTATTATTATTGACACAAAAGCACAGTATGTCACAGCAAACGAGATCTATATGCTGGATTTCGTATCAAAAAATCACAAGTCGAACACTTCCCAAGCATCTAGGACTGTGTGATGTATTTTCGAATGATGCGCGCAGATCCAAGTAAGGTGGCCTTTTGCAGTTGACAGATCATGATTTTGTCAATGTTTACTGTTTCCAAATGCCGGCTGAGATCTTTTGGCACGGCACCCAGTGTGCCCATGACCACTGGGACCACCTGTACTGGTTTATGCCAGAACCTTTGCAGTTTGATTTTGAGGTCTTGATAGCGTCTGAGTTTTTCCTGTTGTTTTTCCTCAATGCGACTGTCACCTGGTATGGCAACATAAATAATCCAAACTATTTTCTTTTCCACAATCGTGATGTCTGGTGTGTTGTGTTCCAAAATTTTGTCAGTCTGGATTTGAAAGTCCCACAGTATTTTTGCATGTTCATTTTCCCTGACATTTGCGGGTTTATGATCCCACCAATTCTTTACTGCTGGCAGGCGGTACTTGTGACATAAGTTCCAGTGAATCATCTGGGCCACAGAGTTGTGTCTTTGTTTGTAGTCCGTCTGTGCGATTTTCTTGCAACAGTTGAGGATATGATCCATGGTTTCATCAGCTTCCTTCAACAGTCTGCATTTTGAGTCATCCGTTGATTTTTCAATCCTGGCCTTAACTGCATTGGTTCTGATGGCTTGCTCCTGAGCTGCAAGAATCAGGCTTTCTGTCTCCTTCTTCAGGGTCCCATTCATGAGCCATAACCAGGTCTTCTCCTTGTAAACTTTTCCTTCAATCTTCTCAAGGAACTGCCCATGTAAGTCTTTGCTGTGCCAGCTGTCAGCTCTGGTTTGAAGTGCAGTTTTCTTGTACTGACTCTTTGTCTGCTGTGCTTTGAGAAGTTTCCTATTATTGACTTCAATTAAAGCAGGTTCTTGGCTTTCCTTGACATATTCTGCCAGGACGTGTTTTTCTTCTTCAACTGCTTGTTTGACTTGTAAAAGTCTTCTGCCACCAGACTTTCTAGGTAGATAGAGCCGGTCAACATCACTGTGAGGATGTAGTGAATTATGAATGGTCATGAGTTGTTGTTATTATTATTATTATTATTATTATTATTATTATTATTATAATATTAAGTGCGCCCTTTTACCCATTGCAACATAGCTTTTCTTATAATTAATAAATTTATTAGAGCATTAATTTGAATTAATACTAAATTCAAAATTATTATTATTATATTGGGTATAAGTGCTCCCTTCTACCCATTGCTATATATCACTTTAAATATAATTAACCATTTTAATTGCCCTAAAATTCCCTTAAAATAAGAACTATGAATTAATTAGATTAGAATATTAATTCTAATAAAACTCCCTCCTCAGCAACATTAGATCAGCCCCCTCCCTCCTTGCTTTCAGAAGAAAAGTAAAAACTTGGCTTTGGGATCAGGTTTTCGGATAATAGTGCAGTACAATAATAGATTTGGAGTATCTGCAATGACTACGGGACATCTTTGGACTACTATTACATATGGCATGATTTTATATTGAATGTAATGTTTTAAAATGCCTTAAATGCTTAATATGTATTAATTTTAATTTAATTTTAATGTTAATGGAATTGTGTGTGTTTTAAGGCATTGAATAGTGTAAGCAACCTTGAGTCCGCTTCGGGGTAGAGAAAGGCGGGATATAAACAGGGTCAATAAATAAATAAATAAATAGTATCCTAAATTCAATTCAATACGATTATGCTTGTTACATAATAATAATAATAATAATAATAATAATAATAATAATAACAACAACAACAATAACACTAAATTCCTTTGCCTAAGGGATCAAACCCTAATTTAAATTACATTAAATAATAAACTTAAAATTCTCTTGACTAAGGAAAGGTCTTTTCGAATGAACTAGGGTGGAATTTAATCCTAAATAAAATAGTAATAATAATAATAATAATAATAATAATAAACTATTTCATTGTAATAGACTTAAGACATGGTCTTTTGGAATGAAATAGGGCTGAATTAAATATTACTTATTATTTATTTACTGTATTTGTATACTGCCCCTCTCAGCCTTCCGGCGACTTGAGGTGGTTTACAAGGCAAAATTCAATGCCACAAAAAACACAATTACAATATAAAAACATTAACATCAATAAAATCATAACAACAACAATAAAACATCATTCAATAAATACTCATTAAAACAATATCCAGTCCCATCATGTAGTTGTTCTGTTTCTTATGTCCGTTACTCAGTATTCGCAAATGCCTGCTTGAATAGCCATGTCTTGGGTTTTTTCCAAAATGCTAGAAGCAAAGAAGCCGATCTGATCTCCCTAGGAAGGGTATTCCATAGCCGAGGGGCCACCACTGAGAAGGCCCTGTCTCTCATTCCCACAAGCCGTGCTTGTGATGATGGCGGGACTGAGAGCAGGGCCTCTCCAGATGATCTTAAAGTCCTCGAAGGTTCATAAGGGGAGATGCGTTTGGACAGGTAAGTTGGGTCAGAACCGTTTAGGGCTTTATAGGCCAAAGCCAGGACTTTGAATTGTGCCCGGTAGCAAACTGGCAGCCAGTGGAGCTGGCACAATAGGGGGGCTGTATGCTCCCTGAGAGCCGCTCCAGTTAGCTACCTGGCAGCCGTCTGTTGGACCAGTTGAAGCTTCCGGACAGTCTTCAAAGGCAACCCCACGTAATAATAATAACAACATAAAATGTCACTTGCCAAATAAAGGCCTTTCACAATGAAATAGGACTGAATTAAATCCTACATTAATAATAATGATGATAATAATGATAATAATAATATAACACTACTAAGATAAAAACCTGCCCTTGCTTAAGGCATGGTCTTTTGCAATGCAATAGGGTTGCATGATATTCCGAATTGCATGTAGCTCAATGGACAAGCAGTTCCCAACGCACCTGACCTTGCTTCTTCTTCCTAGGGAGTGACTGGGCTGGAGCTGGGAGGCCTGGGCAGTGGGGCCTTTTTAAAGGGCCAGCCTCCATTTCCTGCTTACCTGCCTGCCCTTGGGCCGTCATCATGACGCAAGTGGACTTTGGATCCAGGGCAATGAGAGGCCTCCAACTCACCTCTAGCTCTCATTCTAGGCCAGGGCTGGGCCAACTTGGGTGTTTTGGACCTTCAGGTGTTTTGGACTCCAACTCCCACAATTCCTAACAGCCTACCAGCTGTTAGGAATTGTGGAAATCCAAAACACATGGAGGGCCAAAATTAGCGCGTACCTGGTCTAGAGAAAGTAAAGGGCAACTTCCATTCTTAGGCCTAGGCCATCATCTCCAAAGCTCTTTTGCCCATACTATAACTCCATGCTAGGGGAATGATGGGGTTTGTCGTCTCCCCAAAGATCTTTTGCCTGTAGCTTTACTCAATGCTACACAGATGATGGGATTTGTCATTTCCCTGGTCTGCAGTTTCACTCAATGCTACATGGATTTGTAGTTCCCCGCAAAGGTCAGCAGTTTTACTCAAGGCTGTGGAGATAATGGGATTTGTGGTTTCCCCAAAGCCTTTTGTCTGCAGTTTAACTCAATGCTACAGATAATGGGATTTGTGGTCGCCCATAAGCCTGCAGTTTTACTCAGTGCTACACGGATGATGGGGTTTGTCGTTCCCCCAAAGGTCTGTAGTTTTGATCAATGCAGTAAATAATGGGATTTGTGGTTTCCCCAAAGCCTTTCAATGTTCTATCACTGGAGTATATATTCCCCCTTGTGGGAAAGCTTGATTCCACAACTCCCACCATAATGAGCCCTCCTCCACAAACAATCTGTTTCTCTTTTATCTCACTGAGTTTTTTTAACTAGTTTTAATTAGTTCTTCTTTTAACCATTACATGTGACCCGCCCATTGTCACTGCGTTTGTGTTTATTGTAATTTTATATTGTTGTATATTCATATGTTCTTTGTAATTATGATGTTGTTTATTGTTTATTGTTTGCGTTTTCGGTTTGCGTTCGGTTGTTCTTTATTGTAATTGTTGTTCGGGCTTGGCCCCATGTAAGCCGCTCCGAGTCCCCATCGGGGAGATGGGGCGGGGTACAAATAAAGTTGTTTATTATTATTATTATTATTATTATTATTATTATCATCTGCTGTTTTACTCAATGCTACAAAGGTAATGGAATTTGTAGTTTTCCCCTCAAAGGTCTTTCGCCCCCGCACTTTAACTCACTGCTACACGGATAATGGGATTTGTAGTCCCACAGAAGTCTGCCGTTTTACTCAATGCTACACGGATTATGGGGTTTGTCGTTCGCCTAAAGTTGTGTAGTTTTACTCAATGCTGAAGGGATAATGGGATTTGTTGTTTCCTCCAAAAGTCTTTCGTCTGCAGTTTTACTCAATGCCACACGGATGATGGCGTTTGTCGTTCCCCCAAAGATCTGTAGTTTTACTCAATGCTGTAGGGATAATGGGATTTGTTGTTTCCTCCAAAAGTCTTTCGTCTGCAGTTTTACTCAATGCTACATGGATGGTGGGATGAGATTTGTCGTTTTTCTGGATTTAAGGCTGCGGCGATGGAGGGTTTTTGTTGTGTTTCCATTCACCTTCCGGGGTTCGACTCAACGCTGTGGGGATGATGGGGAGTGTAGTCTTCCGCTTTCCACAGGCATGGCTCCTCCTGCCTGGCAATCTTTCTCTTTTCAAATAAAAAGACCCCATTCTCTTCAACCAGTCGCCCTTAAAGATCCGAAACGACACATTTCTTGCCTGAGCAGGACGGGCCGGGCTCCGTATCTCCCGGGCGGGGTTTGTGCCAAAGTTCAGTCAGGCCTTGTTGTTTTGGGGGAAGGAGGCCGACCTCCGGAAGGGACCCGCCGCCACCGCCATGCCCTTCGTGGAGCTCGAGACCAGCCTGGCCGCCCAGGCCCTCCCCAAGGACCTCCCCGCCAAGCTGAGCCGCGCGGCGGCCGACATCTTAGGAAAACCCGAGGAGGTAGCGCGCCCGACTAGGCCGCGGGGGGGGGGGAGTGTGTGTGTACTCGATTGAGGCCGGCTTTCCGTTCACTTCGGTCGTCCTAAGCTAGGCGAGTCTGAGGTATATTGAGGACCACTAGGCCACGGGGAGTATAGTTTGTGGGCCTTCTCTGGCAAAGGCGCTTGAGGAGCACCAGGCCGCGCGTAGTTTAGGAATCACGCGAGGCGGACCTCTCGCCAACGCGAGTCCGAGGCTCCCGCGCGGCCTAGTGTTTTTGTATTCTCCCGCTTTCCCTCCCTCAGCGCGTGGTGGTGACGGTGAAGGGCGGCCTCTCGATGGTGCTGTGCGGACGCGCCGGGGACTCGGCTCCAGGGGCCTTGCTCTCGGTGTCCTCCATCGCGGTGGTGGGCTCCGCGGAGCAGAACAAGCAGCATAGCGCCCGCTTCTTCGAGTTCCTTCAGCGGGAGTTGGGACTCGCCCCAGAGCGGTAAGGATGAAGGGGGGGAAGCCTCGGGCTTGCGTCGTTCAGGAGAACCCCGACCTCGCCTAACTCAAAAGGCCACCTTCCCCTTCCCTCATGGGTCCGCGAGTCCGAAGCTTTTCCTTCGGGGACAGATTCAGATGATATATTTTTAATATTAATAACATCAATCTTTTATTTTCGGAAAGGATCGTGATCCGGTTCTATCCGCTGGAGCCCTGGCAGATCGGGAAGAACGGGACCGTCATGACCTTCCTCTGATTCCGGACCGCTTTTCAAAGCCATTCCGCAATAAATGAAATAAAAGAATGTGAGAGCAAATCCAGAAATGATTGTTGTTTTTTATTGATTGTTGATGATTATTGGCGAGGGCAAGATGGTTCACTCGAACTATGAGTGAGTCTGAGTCTTGTTGGCCCCGCCCACAATTTGCGCAGACTCAGAACGCCTCCTTTACGGCATTCTAGGAATGGCCTTTGGCCCCGCCCACAAGTTACGGATACTTAGTCTCGTCCGAATAGAGGCCCAATCTATATAAATACAAATGTAATGTTAGTTCGTGCTACCATCAGAACTCAAAAACCACTGGGGGAATTGACACCAAATTTGGACACAAGACACCTAACAGTCCAATGTATGTCCTTCACTCAAAAAAATTGATTTTGTCATTTGGGAATTGTCGTTGCTGGGATTTATAGTTTACCTACAATCAAAGAGCATTCTGAACTCCACCAATGATGGAATTGGGCCAAACTTAGCACACAGTTCTCCCATGACCAACAGAAAAAACTGGAAGAGTTTGGTGGGCATTAACCTTGAGTTTGGGAATTATAGTTCACCCACATCCAGAGAGCACTGTGGACTCAAACAATGATGGATCTGGACCAAACTTGACACAAATATTCCATATTACAGAGAGAGGTCAACCCTCCTCCACTGGCTGCCATTTTATTTTCCGAGCCCAATTTAAGGTGCAGGTGCTTACCTACAAAGCCCTGAACGATTTGGGACCAGCCTACCTGCGTGACCACATCTCCGTCTACGAACCCACACGCTCACTACGTTCATCTGGAGAGGTCCTGCTCGTGATCCTGCTGGCGTCGCAAGCACGTTTGGTGGGGACACGAGACAGGGCCTTTTCCGTGGTGCCCCCCGGTCTCTGGAACACTCTCCCCAAAGATCTTAGACAGGCCCCTACATTGGCAGTCTTCAGAAAGAACTTGAAGACCTGGCTGTTCCGATGTGCCTTCCCAGATTAGGAAATCTCCAATACCAAGTCCCAGACGCACTTTATTAGAATTAAGACTGCCGCACACTGCACTTGCCCTATAATCCTTACATATCACCTGTCACATCAGCACTTTTAATCCTGTACCCTTTACTCTGGCCCGGCCCAGTTTTATCTTGTTTGATGTATTGTTTATTGCTTGTGGTTTTTGTTGTTTAATTACTGCTTTAATTGTTTTAATTTGCTTTAAGTGTATTGTTATGTTGTGTATTGAGGCCTTGGCCTTTGTAAGCGCATCGAGTCCTTCGGGAGATGCTAGCGGGGTACAAATAAAGTTAATAATAATAATTAATAATAAAATGCCTAAATATGAACACAGATGGAGTTTGGAGGAAATAGACCTTGACATTTGGGATTTGTACTTACTGGGATTTATAGTTCACCTACAATCAAAGAGCATTCTGAACTCCACCAATGATGGAATTCAACCAAACTTGGCATACAGGACTTCCATGACCAACAGAACACACTGGAAGGGTTTGGTGGGCATTGAACTTGAGTTTGGGAGTTGTAGTTCACCTACATCCAGAGAGCACTGTGGACTCAAACAATGATGGATCTGGACCAAACTTGACACAAAAATTCCATATGCCCAAATATGAACACAGATGGAGTTTGGAGGAAATAGACCTTGACATTTGGGAGTTGTAGTTGCTGGGATTTATAGTTCACTACAATTAAAGAGCATTCTGAAACCCACAAACGACAGAAATGGGGCAAACTTCCCACACAGAACCCCCATGACCAACAGAAAATACTTAAGGCCATCCAGTCCAACTCTCTTCACCAGGGCAAGAAAATGTAATCAGAGCCCTCCTGACAAAGAGCCATCCAGCCACATATATAGATAGAGAGATATGATTCTCTCTCTCACACACAGATATAGTATCATAGATTGAAAGAGACCCTTAAAGAAGGACTATGATATGTGGCATATTCCAGAGTAGGAAACCAGACACTCTCCACATCAACACTGACAAAGAAACAGCAAGAAATACTGTTTACTCAAAAGAATAAAGGAATTACATCTATTAGAAACCAACACTTTCTCATTACTTGATTTTCCAGATCAACAGACTGGGCCACAGCAACGCGTGGCAGGGGACAGCTAGTACTCTCTTAAAGTTATTACTTTACAGACTGCTTCGGGTCCCGCCCACTTTTTGCGCAGCCTCAGCCTTCACCGTGACGTCATCGCCTGCAGCCAATAGCAACCCTCTCCGCCTCGTTATCTCGCCCCTCCCTCGCGGCGCTAGGTCCCGCCCACTGGCTGGAAAGCTATTTTAGGGGGCGGCTGTCAGTCAGGAGCGGCTTTGCGTATGAAATGAGGTCTAGAGAGTGATCCGGAAGTCCCGCCTATCACTTCCGGCATCAGACTGAAGCTTCTCAGGAAAGAAAAGGGTCTGATCTATGAATATATATATATATATATATATATATATATAATATTTATGATATGATATTTATTATAGTGAAAGGCTTCTATAGCTATTTATCTTATGCTCATATTATAGTGAATGGGTGATAAAGAGCTGCTATGCTTTCTTATTTCATTTTATTATATTATAATAATAATAGGAAATAATAAAAAGAAAATAATAGGAAATAATGAGGAACGGAATAAGAATAAAATGATGAAAATAAAGCATAGCAGATAAAGCATATATGTATACAACCCATTCACTTTAAGAATTTATCTTATTGTATTGTGGTGTATTATAATATATTTGGTCATTATTGTTATTACATTTCATTATTTAACCATGATTTCATATAACAATATTTTATTGCCTTGTTTTCTATTATTCTGAATTACATTATATTATTGTATTTGTTATGTTGTGAATATTATTATCATTATTATATTTGTTATACAATGAATTATATAATATATTATTATAATATATTTGATCACTAATATATTATTCTTATTACATTCACATTATATGTACTGTTATTTGCTATTATTATATTATTCTTGCTACATTTCACATCCTTATTATTTTTACCGTAACTTCATATTATTACCCCTAATTGTTCAGTTGGATCTCCAGCACTTTATTCCCAGCCCCGGACTTACAGTTTGCGTTTGCCAAGCCCTTGTCCTGCCCTATTAGTCTCAGATCTGCACATCCCCACTTCTCTCGGCTACTGGTTGTTTCGATGTTTGGTTCATGTTTTATAATGTCTTACATTTTATTGGTTTTATTGTTTAATATATTTTATTGCGGCAAGTTCTTGGTGATGCGGTGGTACCAAGGCACCTTGTATGTCTCCTGAGGAATCTGTATAACGACCAAGTGACAACAGTAAATAGACCATGGAACAGCAGACTGGTATGGCAGGGCTGTATACTCTCACCCTACATATTCAACTTGTATGCAGAACACATCAGGCGACGTGTGGGGCTTGATGAATCCAAGGCTGGAGTAAAAATTGCTGGATGAAACATTAACAACCTTAGATATGCAGATGATACCACATTGATGGGCAAAAGCAAGGAGGAAGTGAGGAGCCTTCTAACCAAGGCGAAAGAAGAAAGGGCAAAAGCTGGGTTGTAGTTAAACATAAAAAAAAACAAGTTTATGGCAACCGGACTGATTGATAAGTAGCAAATAAAGGGAGAAAACATGGGGGCAGTGACAGACTTTGTATTTCTAGGTGCAAAGATTACTGCAGACACAGACTGCAGCCAGGAAATCAGAAGATGTTTCCTTCTTGGGAAGACAACAATGACCAATCTTGATAAAATAGTGAAGAGTAGAGATATCACACTGGCAAGGAAGATCCACATAGTTAAAGCAATGCTATTCCCCTTAGTAATCTGTGGATGCGAGAGTTGAACCATAAGGAAGGCTGAGCGAAGGAAGATAGATGCTTTTGAACTGTGGTGTTGGAGGAAAATTCGGAGAGTGCCTTGGACCGCAAGAAGATCCAACCAGTCCATACTCCAGGAAATAATGTCTGGCTGCTTACTGGAGAGAAGAATATTAGAGGCAAAGAAGTATTTTGGCCACATAATGAGAAGACAGGAAAGATTGGAGAAAAACAGTGATGTTGGGGGAAATGGAAGGAAAAAGGAAGAGGGGCCAACCAAGGGCAGGATGGATGGATGGTATCCTTGAAGTGACTGGATTGACCTTGAAGGAGGTGGGGGTGGCCATGGCTGACAGGGAGCTCTGGTGTGGGCTGGTCCATGAGGTCACAAAGAGTTGTAAGCAACTGAATGAATAAACAACAACAGCAATATTTTATTGTTATAGATTTTTAATTACTTTGCAACCTTTGTTTATATTGGGTTTGGTCCATTATTTCATATTATTATGTTTCATTTCCTTATTTTAATTTATTTTTGTATTACTTTATAATAATAATAATAATAATTATTATTATTATTATTATTATCATTATTATTATAAAGTAATACAAAAATTATTATTATCATGTTTTAAATCATGTTAAAATAGTTGTATTATGTTATTCATTATATTATGCTTATTCTTTTACAATATTGTAGCATTACTATGTTATTCCCTCTTCATTCCATATTATTATTATTATTATTATTATTATTATTATGTCATCCCATTATTATTTTGTTACATTGCATTATTTCACATTCCCATGATTAGATTTTACTATTTTATATTTTTTTTGTATGGTTGTTATTATATTATATTATATTATATTATATTATATTATATTATATTATGTTATGCTATTATTATAATATCCCATTATGTTATATTATTTGTATATTTCTCATTGCATTATTGTTATTATATTTCATTTATTTCACACCTCCATCATTCTGTTTTAGCATTATTTCATATTATTATATTTTATATTGTTATCTTATGCTTATTTTTTATTTATTATTATCATGTTATATCATATCATTACATTGTATTTTAGAATTGCTCTTATTACGTTTCATTATTTCATATATTATTATTATTATTATTGCATTTTGTCCTTTCACATTCCCATCATTATATTTAACCATTATTCCATTTTATAATGTTTTTATTTTTATTATGCTTATTTTTATTTTATTGTTATTATATTAATATATTTTGTCCTTGCTATGTTATTTATCATTGCATTATTATGATTGCATTTCATTGTTTCACCTTCCTATTTTATTTATATTTAGAATTGTATTATTATTATTTTTATTACATTTCATCCTTTCATTTTCCCATCAGTATATTTAACAATTATTCCACATTACAATATTTTGTACTATTATTTTATTACACTTATTTTTATTATATTATATTTTAGCCTTTCAATGTTATTGTAGCAATATTATCACATTATATTTTACCACCGCTCTTATTATTATGTTTCTTTATTTCATGTTATATTTATCATTGCATTATTATTATTATTATTATTATGGTACATTTTGTAACATTTTTATTTTTATTTTATTATGCTTATTTTTATTGTTCTTATATTAATATATTTTAGCCTTGCTATCTTACTATATTTATTGTTGCTTTGTTATGCTTGCATTTCACTATTTCACCTCCTTATTTTATTTTATGTTTATATTTATTCATATTTATTATTTATTTACTAATATTGTATTTCATTCATATGTCTTATGTTGTGTAATATATGACATTTATTAATATATATAATATAATATAATATAATATTTAACATAATTAATATGTAATAATGTTTGTATTTGTATTCTAATTATATTTAATATTTATAATCCTTTTTTCTTTAGGTTCCTGAGAAGAAGCACTGAATTATCCCTAAACATGGTAAAATCCCATATTTTGCTATGCTTTTAAATGGAGAATCATATTAGCCTTTTGTGCCTCTGCATTTCTGATTAAAATTATTTATTCATTATTATTTTTATCAGATCCGTATAGCAGCCCTGAATGCAAGGGCTGCCATTGAAGATGATGAACAGGAAGAAACCTTCAAGAGCCACAAGACACAGACCAAGGAGGCCCAGGCAAATTATTATTATTATTATTATTATTATTATTATTATTATTATTAGATACAGTATATAGCTACATAGGGATTGCAAAGGCTTGCAGGGGGAAATGCCTATATATCTGTAGAAGAGATTAACAAATATTTCAGGGGAAAATGCTTTTATAAGATTAATGGATATTCTTGACTTTAGAGGGCTTCTCTCCCTCTCAAGTGAGCAAGGGAGGATTTGGAAAAGAAAACACACTGTTAAGGGAGGGGAAGAGGAATATATCATATATTGCAAGCAATGGCCTCCAGGCTCTGATCCCCGGCTTTACCCCATTATAAGCCGAGGGAGGCCTTTTCAGCCCAAAAACGGGCTGAAAAATTCCGCTTATCTTTGGGTATATGCGGTAATATTATTCCTATTTTTCTCTCTTTCTTCTTTTTGTAAGGGAACCTCTGCCCCCAAAAAAACTCTACATTCATCTTTTCCCCCATTTCTTTATTGTTATTAATAATTAATATTTAATAATATTTAATAAAATTTATTATTTTTTAGGAAGCAGAGGCCTTTGCCTTGTACCATCGGGCCCTTGACCTCCAGAAGCATGACCTTTTTGAGGAATCGGCCAAAGCCTATCACCAGCTCCTTGGAGCAAGGCTTCTGAGAGAGGTCGGTTATTACTATTGTTTTTTCTCTTTAATTTTTAATTTATATTTATTATATTTATATATTTATATTTATAATACTATTTTATTTATATATGTATCACTCTTATATTTGTTTTTATTATTATTTCCATTATTATATTTATTATTATATTGTATTGTTGTTACATTTATTATTTTATTTTTAATTGTTGTTATTTTATCATTTATTATATTTATATTTATTATAGTTATATTTTTATTATTATGTTATTATATTTATATATTTATCATTATTATATTTGTTCTTAATTTCATTTTTATATTGTATTATTATATTTACCAGAAGCATTTTTTGTTATCATTTTCGTTTGGCAGTAGTATCATTACTATTATCCTTTTTGTTATGTTACATTATTTATATAATATTTATATAGATTTCATCAGTTTATTGTTTTTATATATCTATTATAGTATTATAATAACATTATTTATATATTTATCATTCTTATATTTGTTATTATTTCTATTATTACATTTAATATTATATTGTATTATTGTTATTTTTATTTTTATTTTCATTATTATATCGTATTATTATTACATGGTATTATTATCATTATTATTTGCCAGCAGCATTTCTCTTACGCGTTTTTATTTTCATTTTTTAGATTTGATAATAGTCATTATTTTATATATCTGCTATAATATAATATTATTATTTACACGATTACTATTAGATTAGATTAATTATATATATAATTATTTGTCAGCAATATTGTTTTCTATGGTATTACTATTCTTACATTATTTTTATTTTATTTTGCAGCAATATTGTTTGCATCTTCTATGATTATCAGTATATTATATATATATATATATATATATATATATGTTATTACATATTTATATTAATTGCTATTCTTCTTCTTCTACATTATAATATTATTATTTTGCAGCAATATTATTTGCATCTTCTATTTATTTATTTTGTGTCAAAGGCCTTGCGTAAATAAGTATAAAACTGATAAAAATAGAAGGAGCAGAAGCGGCTAAATAATTTTTGACCAAAAACGGGCAATAGCAACCATATTATCTGTAACTTGAAACAGTTCTTCCCCCGTGCATGAGTCAGGGCATTCTTATTCAACTCAGCAGTTGAATAAGACAAGGCCAGAACTGATGTTCCTATTAATTTTGGGCTACCAGTAAGTTTCCTCGGGATGTTATTGCATGCAGCTACTTTGTGCTTGGTGTTTGCACAGTGTTTCCTAAATGTTAGTGTTTGATCTAAGTTGACGCCGAGACATTTAGGGTGGTCACAGTGTTTGAGCTTTTGGCCTTCTCAGGTAACCTTCAGTTTCCTGTTGGCTTCACGATTACGTAGCAGTGGTTCTCAACCTGTGGGTCCCCAGGTGTTTTGGCCTACAGCTCCCAGAAATCCCAGCCAGTTTACCATCTCTGGGATTTGAAGGCCAAAACATCTGTGGACCCACAGGTTGAGAACCACTGAGGAAAGCACACACTTGTGTCTTGGCAGGTTAGGCTTCAGGTGGTTATCTTTGCAGTTGCTGGTGAGATCTTTCAGGGCATTAGGAAGTTGGTTTTCAACTGTTTTAACGTCTTTTACATGTGTTGTTAGGCCAAGGTCATCAGCATATATACATGCCAAAAAAGGCATTGCATCTTCTGGTGGCGCATTGGGTTAAACCGCTGAGCTGCTGAACTTGCTGACCAAAAGGTTGGTGGTGCAAATCCAGGGAGCAGGGTGAGCTCCTGCTGTTAGGCCCAGCTTCTGCCAACCTAGCAGTTCTAAAACATGCAAATGTGAGTAGATCAATAGGTACCGCTTCTGTGGGAAGGTATCGGCGCTCCATGCAGTTATGCTGGCCACATGATCTTGGAGGTGTCTACAGATAACTCCCCCCAGAATCAGACATGACTTGACTTAATGTCATGGGAAATCTTTACTTTACCTTTACGTATATTTATAATATCTATATTAATTGCTATTATTAATAGTATTCTATATTATTATTTAAATGACAACAGTATTATATGATTATTTGGCTGAAATATTATTAATTTGGAAGATGAATTATGATTTTCTTCTTGCTATTGGCAGCAGTATTCTTCTTATTGTCATTGTTTTGCAGCTTATATTATGATTATTTTAATCATAACATATTCTTTATTATGATGATACAGCTATTATTTTGCATTATTATAATTATTTGTAATAATTAACTATCAATTAATATTAATATTTTTTTATTATTAATTAATATTTATTTCTTTGTTGCAGGTGGTCCCTTCCGGAGAGGGTCTGAGGCTGAAATATTCCACTTTCAAGAACTTGGCCCAATTGGCAGCTCAAAGGGATGACCTGGAGACGGCCATGCAGTTCTACCTCGAGGTGCAATATGGTTATCATATAATAATATATAATATGGATATTAAAATCAATGTTATAAATATATCTATATATTATAAAATCATAACATAAAAAATCCCACGTTAAAATCATAAAAGATAATATAAATAGTTATATATTCAAATAAGATTTTAAAAATTCCCACATTAAGGTCAGAAAAGATCATCATAAAAGATAAAAATTTATTATAAGATAGAATTAAAAAATCACGCATTAAGATCAGAAAGCATTATATATATATATATATATATATATATATATATATATGCATATAATAAAATCATGCATTGTGATCTTAATGTGATTTTTTATTATTATATATATATATATACTAGCCGTCCCCTGCCACACGTTGCTGTGGCCCAGCCTGTGTCTATGTGATTTGCGTGTGTGTATATGTGTGTGTATATATTTGTCTATATGTGCATATGTGTGTTTGCGCATATTATATGTGGTTGTGTGTGTGTATATTTGTGTATATGTGTGTTTGTGTATATTATATGTAGTTTTGCGCATGCATTCTAATATAATTTTTGTTTTTTGGCTTTCTAAGTCTCTTTTGCTGTGTTTTTCAGTGTTTTTATGAGTGATGGTCACTCAATGGCCTGATAGGTGTATTGTGTCGAAAACTGGTGTCAATTCGCCCAGTGGTTTTTGAGTTATGTTAATCCCACAAACGAACATTACATTTTTATTTATATAGATTTATATACATATATAATTGCGTTTTATTTTTGTTCATATATATATAAAATCTATTTTCCGATCTTTGTGTGGGATTTTGTTTATTTTCTAATTCCTTAAGATATAGCTATAACGTTTATTTTATGATTTTTATTATCTTTGATTATTATGTTTTCTGATATTCATGTGGGATTCTTTTATTATGTGTATGTATGTATGTGTGTATATATATATATATATATATATATATATATATATATTGATATTAATGTGTGATTTATAAACATGTATATAATATACATATATGTATTCTTATACATATACATATATATATACAATATAACAATTCCATATTATGATTTTTCTTACATTATTATATCATAGTAATATATAACCAAATGCTATTTTTCTATTATGTATTATATCATCATAATATAATACCATTATTCTTTTCTTATTTCATGCTTCTTGTAGGCGGTGCTGCTGGATGGGACGGATGTGAGCCTGTGGCACCGCATTGGGCGCCTGGCACTGCGTCTTATCCGACTGCCTTTGGCCCGCCATGCCTTTGAGGAAGGCCTCCAGTGCAACGCCGACCACTGGCCCTCCCTCGATGCCCTCCTCACCGTCCTTTATGCCCTCGGAGACTACCCCAGTGAGAACTTCCTCTTCTTCATTATTATAATAATATTATATTAGTATTATTCTATTATTATTATTATATTCCTCCTCACCATTCTCTATACCCTCAGAAACTACCCAAGAGAGAACTAATTATTATTATATTACATTATTATTTATTATATATTATGTTATATTATTATTATTATATTCTGCCTCACCATCCTCTACACTTTCAGAGACTACACCAGTGAGGACTCACTTCCTTTTCTTATTAATATGTTATTGTTAGTAGTATTATTATATTTATTATTTTATTCCATTGTTAATTGTATATTCCTCCTTACCATCCTCTATGCTCTCGGAGACTACCCCAGTGAGAACTTATTATTATAACAGATTATTCTATATAATTATTAATATAATTATTAATAATATATCCCTCCTCACTGTCCTTTACACTCTCAGAGACTACCCCAGTGAGAATTCACTTCCTGTATTATTATTATTGTTATTATTATTATTGTACTGTGACTGATCTGGAATGCATATATATATATAAAATATTTGATTGGAGCCCCCAGTGGTGTAATGGGTTAAACCCTTGTGCCGGCAGGACTGCTGACCGACAGGTCGGCAGTTCTAATCTGGGGAACAGAGTGATCTCTTCTCTCAGCTCTAGCTTCCCATGCGGGGACATGACAGAAGCCTCCCACAGGATGGTAAAAAACATCAAAAACGTCTGGGCATCCAATGAGCAACATCCTTGCAGACAGCCAATTATCTCACACCAGTAGCGACTCGACGTTTCTCAAGTCGCTCCTGACACAAATCTATCTATCTATCTATCTATCTATCTATCTATCTATCTATCTATCTAATTATTATATTCCTCCTCACTGTCCTCTATGCCCTTAGAGACTGCCCCAGAGACATTACTTCCTTGTATTATATGTGTGTGGACACACACACATATATAATGATTAATATGCTTACTAATATATATCTATGTATGTATTGCAGCCTGCCTCTACTTCACCTGCAAGGCCTTGGAGAAGGACTGCAAATACAGCAAAGGCCTGGTTCTCAAAGAGAAGATCTTCCAGGAACAGCCTTCTCTCCGAAAGGACTCCCTCCACATGTTCCTCAAGGGGTCAGCTATTACTTCTTCTTGTTGTCATCATCATCATCATCATCATCATTATTATTATTAATAATAATAATAATTTATTTTGTTATTTTGTTATTTTTATTTTATGTATATTTTTATTTTTATATATTTTAGGATTTATTTTGTGATTATGGTGTGCGTGTGTATATATATATTGTTTTATACTTTTTATTCTTTATTTTATATTTTATATTTTATTCTTAATTTTATATTAAATATATTATATATATTCTTTATTATATACATATTTGTTTCTTCAAAAAATGTGGGAATTGTATTGGCCTTTTGGGCCGCAGCATCACGGTCTCATCCATTAGTTTTTATAATATTTTAATTATATTATTTTTATTTTATATATTTATGTTAATATCTTCCTTTCTCCTTTTGTGGCGGAAGGGACCTGCAGGAGGCACCAAAAGTGGAGGAAGCGGAAGCAGCGGCCATTTTGGAGGAAGCGCTGGACCTGAGGAGGAAGAGGCGGGAGGCCCTAGAGGACAGGAAGCAGCAGCAGCAGGAGGCGGAGCTACGTTTGGCACAGCCCCTCCCACATCTCACGTAAATAGCTATATCATTCTTTATTATTCTATTATTATTATATAGTAGCATTATATTGTAAAATTATACTATTATATGACATATTATTTACTATGTTTTGGGATGTCAGATATGTTTGCCAAGTTTGGTCCAGATTCATTGGTGTTTGGGTTCACATTGCTATATGAACTCTCTCCCTAAGGACACCAGGCATGCCCCAACGCTGGCAGTTTTTAGGAGGAGCTTGAAAACATGGTTGTTCCAGTGTGCCTTCCCAGAATAAGGAAACTCCAAGCAATATGTCCCCAAATGCACTTTACTAGAGATCTAGGATATCTGCATGCCCCATCCCCCTCCAAATACCTACCCTTTTCACCTTGTCATGCCCAGCATATTTTTAAAATTTTAATTATTATATTTGGCCCTGCCATAGATTTTAATGTGTCGTCGTATGTTGTTAATGTTTATTGCTTTGTTTTGAGTTCATTTATTGTTGTATTGTTGTTGTTGTTGTTGTTTTTACTGATGTATTTGGGCTTGGCCTCTTGTAAGCCGCACCGAGTCCTCTGGGAGATGGTAGCGGGGTATAAATAAAGGTTGTTGTTCATTATTATTATTACTATTATTATCATTATCATTATCAATTGGTGAAACCCGAGGATGTGGACAAGATACTTGGATGAATGAGGCCAACCACATGCATCCTGGACCCCTGCCCATCCTGGCTTCTAAAGGAGGCCAGAGGGGGATTGGCTGAGTGGGTTAAGGTGGTGGTTAATGCCTCCCTTCGGGAAGGCAAGATTCCAGCGAGCTTAAAACAAGCTATAATAAAACCGCTGTTGAAGAAACCATCACTGGACCCCACTAAATTCGACAACTATCGGCCAGTTTCCAATCTCCCCTTCTTGGGCAAAGTCTTGGAACGTGTGGTGGCCTCACAACTCCAGGTATTCTTGGTAGACACGGATTATCTAGACCCGGCACAGTCTGGCTTTAGGCTGGGACATGGTACCGAGACAGCCTTGGTCGCCTTAGTGGATGATCTGCGCCGGGAGCTCGACAGGGGGAGTGTGTCCCTGTTGGTGCTGCTGGACCTCTCAGCGGCCTTCGATACCGTCGACCACGGTATCCTTCTGGGACGCCTCGCAGGGATGGGTCTTGGAGGTACTGTTTTGCAGTGGCTCCGGTCATTCCTAGAGGGTCGATCTCAGAAGGTGTTGTTGGGGGACACCTGTTCAACCCCACAACCATTGTCTTGTGGGGTTCCTCAGGGCTCAATATTGTCTCCCATGTTGTTTAACATCTACATGAAGCCGCTGGAGGAGATCATCCGAAGTTTCGGGGTACGGTGTCATCTGTACACGGATGATGTCCAACTCTGTCACTCCTTTCCACCTGCTACTAAGGAGGCTGTCAGGTCCTGAACCGGTGCTTGGCCGCTGTGACGGTCTGGATGAAGGCGAACAAATTGAAATTGAATCCAGACAAGACAGAGGTACTCCTGGTCAGTCGCAAGGCCGAACAGGGCATAGGGTTACAGCCTGTGTTGGATGGGGCCGCACTCCCCCTGAAGACGCAGGTTCGCAGCTTGGGTGTGACCCTGGACTCATCGCTGAGCCTGGAACCCCAGGTTTCGGCGGTGACCAGGGGAGCATTTGCACAGCTAAAGCTTGTGCGCCAGCTGCGCCCGTACCTTGGGAAGTCTGACTTGGCCACGGTAGTCCACGCTCTGGTTACATCCCGTTTAAACTACTGCAACGCTCTCTACGTGGGGTTGCCTTTGAAGACAGCTCGGAAGCTCCAACTAGTCCAACGCTCGGCAGCCATGATTTTAACAGGAGCGGAGCGCAGGGAGCATACCACCCCCCTGTTGCGCCAACTCCACTGGCTACCGATCTGCTACCGGGCTGAATTCAAAGTGCTGGCGTTGGCCTTTAAAGCCCTAAACGGTTCCGGCCCAAGCTACCTATCTGACCGCATCTCTGCCTATGAACCCACCAGGACTTTGAGATCTTCCGGGGAGACCCTGCTCTCGATCCCGCCTGCTTCTCAAGCTCGGCTGGCGGGGACGAGAGATAGGGCCTTCTCGGTGGTGGCTCCTCGGCTGTGGAACGCCCTTCCTACGGACATTAGACTAGCACCATCTCTAATGGTATTCCGCAAAAAGGTGAAGACCTGGATGTTTGTGCAGGCGTTTGAGTAATTTAGTGCAATCTGGTAATGGAACATAGGAATGGAACAATGGACGACGAACCTGGACTACGCTTGGATGATGAGAAGATTGGGTACGGTTGTTTTTTGTAATAATTGTGCATTGTAATTGCTTATTGGTAATTTATGAATAATGTGTTAAGTCAATTGTTATATGTTGTATGGAACCACTGCTGTTTCTACTGTTTTTACTGTTTGTGAACCGCTGTGAGTCGCCTTCGGGCTTGAGATACAGCGGTATATAAGCAAAGTAAATAAATAAATAAATAAATAAATAATGTTAAATTAAAATACACTGTTATATTAGATTATTGTTACTATATTATATTATACTATGTATATATTATATTATATTATATTATACTATATTATATTATATAGCTTATTACATTATATATTATCATTGTTATGTTGTATTTTATGATGTACTAGCTTGGGTACCTGGTGTTGTCCGGGTTATTTGAAAAAAATCATTTTTTTAATTGTACAAAATGCTCAAGGCTGTGGATGAACTACAACTCGAATCATGCCAGGTTAACCCCTTGAAATTCCATCAGCCTGTGCGCCTGCTGTGTGCCATAGGAAAGGGTAGGAAAGGGTTAAGAGAGGCTGGGGGGGGGGGTCATGCAAATTCCACACCAATGGAGAGAGTCAGAAACACTGGGATGTCCATTTTGGAGGAAAAACAGAACATCTAGGATGACATTGTCCCGGCATGAAAGCCTTCACTTGGGTGGTGGGCAGTATGATGTTTGGCAGGGGTTGGACTACATGTTCATGGCGCCCGCTGTAACCCGAAATGTCCTTGGAGGGAGGGCTTTTGGTGGCTCTTCATCACTGTGGGTTATAGCTGTTTGTGAAGGTGGGAGGCTTTCAGTGTGAGTGGACACCTCTGCCACATATACACGTACACATTTTAACTTTTAGGTATGTGGATAGAAGATATAGATTATATTAAAGTTACTATATGATACTTATTTTTATATTGCTATAATACTATATTTGTATATTATGTTATAATGTATATTATGTTATTATATTGCATATTATATTAATTGATACTATACTATGTTGTTATATTATCTTTATTTTATTGTTTTTTATATATATAATTGCATTATATTGTATTATTACTATCATATTATATCTTATCCTATATTATATTTATATTAATGAATACTATACTATATTATATTATCATTATCTTGTTATATATTGTTATATATTATGCCATATCATTGTATTATAATATATTATTTAATTATATTATATTATCATATACTATTTTATACTATATGATTAGATTATTATATTTAATATACCATATTGTATTCTTATATTTATACTGTATACTAGAATACTAATTATTATATATTATATTACTATATTATATACAGAAATGTAGCTTATTGAATTGTATCATAGATACAAATCTAACCCATTCCAACACATAATGGCAGAGTGATGCACTAATTTCTATTCATATATATTGAAACATTGAGTATATATTATATAATAAGTAAAAGTGTTGTGGTACAGCATGATAGTAACGTTACTACTACCGGTAGAAGGGAGAAGAGGGTTTTGTTTGGACCTTTTATATTGTGTTTGGCGTTCTTGAGGCTTCTGGGTCTTGACAAAAATAGTCTACATTTATGTATATAATATAATGTTACTACTTCTTGGACTTTTGGCTAAGATGAAGTGTAGTACATATAGAATAAGCAAAATGGCAGAACGATGTGCTTGTGTGTTGGTCAGTGAGATGGGGTGGCCATTTTGAGAGTGTGTCCCCCCCTTTCCTCTCAGGTGGAGGTGCCTTGGAGAGAGCCTGCTGGCCACCTACCGCTTGCTGACGACCTCCGACCCCCCGCGACCTAGCCTGGGAACAAGGGTTGATCTCTTTTCAGAGGGAGGGGCGCCCACTACCAACCCCAGTGACCTCCCAGCTCCCCCATCCATCCCGACGGCCGACCCCTCACCCACCTTCGCCCCGACGACCCCCACCTTCCTGGAGTCAGTTGGAGGTGAGCAAGATGCCGGAACCTTCCGGAAACTTCCGCCCGGGTTCATTGGGTTGAATGGTGGGTCTCTCTCTCACACACACAGGCGAGGCCTCAGCAGGGGACAAGGCCAGGAAGGCAGCCAAGCGGAAGAGGGCCACCGAGGAGAGCGGGGAGATGGTCAAGCGGCGCTCGGCCCGAGTGCGCAACACCAAGAGCAAGAAGGAAGAGAAGGTGGACTTCCAGGAGCTCCTGGCCAAGTTCCTCCCACCTCGGTACGAGGACAGCTTCCAGAACCTTCCAGAGCTTGTCCAGACCCATGATGGGGTTTGCAATAGTCTCTCAATCTTCCAAGTCTGACACAATCCTGTAGTTTTTCCAGGACCTTTGGGAACTATCTGGAATTTTCCAGAACCTTCCAAACATTTAAAAACTCTCTGGAGCTCTCCAGATCCACCCAGGATCCTTTTGGAACCTTCCAAATCTGACAAAACTCCTTCTGGAGCTTTTTCTGGAACTTTCTGGAAGTGTCTGGAAACTTTTGGACACGTCCATCAAATTGAATGATGATTGCATGATGGATCCTAATGCTTCTGGTTGCCACCCACAGGTTGAGGAAGCTGGACTCAGAGGAGGAGGAGGGCCCCTTCGGCGGGAGTTTTGAGGTCCAGTCCGAAGCCATAGAGGAGGCCCTCCATCCCTCAGGGGCTCTCAGCGACCCCCTCGACTCGGGCCCCACCATGGAGTCTGGTAGGAGGAGCCTTCCATAGCCAATCTAGTTATACTATAGTAGATAGACAGATAGGCAGATAGATAAATAGATTGAAACGGGGACCCAAATACCCATGTTTTCTCGTATTTGTCATCTATTCAAGCCATATTTTCTTGGTTACCTTTTCCTGTTAAGCTCAGCCCTATTTATACGTTTTTGGTGATCTGGGAGGAAAAATCACTTATGTAGCATATTATAGTATATTATACTAATATAAAATAATTATATATATATATATATATATATATATATATATATATATATATATATGCTTTGTTCATTTTGAGTGACATCATAACTCAAAATCCGCTGGACAAATTGCTGCCACATTTGGCCACAAGACACTAACCCAAGGAGTGACCATCATTAAAAAAATGATTTTGTCATTTGGGAGTTGTAGTTGCTGGGATTTATAGTTAATCAACAGTAAAAGAGCATTTTGAATTCCACCAACAATTGAATTGGGCCAAACTTCCTACACAGAACCCCCATGACCAACAGAAAATACTTTGTTTTCTGGTGGTCCTTGGTGAGCCTTCTGACACCCCCTTGTGACCCCCAGGTTTAGAAATGCAGCCTTAAGGCCATCCAGTCCAACTCCCTTCACCAGGGCAAGGAAATATAATCAAAACACTCCTGTCAAAGAGCCACCCAGCCATATATATAGATAGATCTATATGATTCACACATATGTATATGACAGATACAGTATCATAAATTTGAAAGGAACCTCTAAAGAAGGACAATTATATGTTGCATGATCCATAGTAGGCAAACCAGACAATGGTTGCATCAACACTGTCAAAGAAACAACAAGATATGTAATATATAATCTAATAATAATTAATAGAATCACCTCCGTCTCCCTTCTTTGCTTTCCTTCAGAGGAGCAAGGGGTCCAGCGCTTCCTGCTCTGCAACCGGCACAACGGGGGCCTCCTAGAGCTGATGCTGCGCTTCCTGAAGGCCGTCACCCGCCGCTTCCTCTCAAAATGGCCACCAGGGCTGGCAGAGGTGGTGCTGGGCATCTTCCGCAGCTGGAGGCCCCACAGCAGCAGCCTCCCCAATCCACTCCTCAGGGACTGCCCTGATGCACACATCCGGGTGAGGAGGGTGGCCATTTTGGGAGGGGGAGGAGGAGCAGGAGGGCAACCATTTGGAGGGGAACTCATGACACTTCCACTTCCAGGAGATGATGCTCATGAGCCTCTCCTGCATGGAGCTCCAACTCGACCAGTGGCTCTTGGCGAAGGGGAAGAGCTCCCTGGGTGAGCAGATCTCATATATGTACATATATGTTTTATTGTAATATTTTGAATCATTATTCTTGTGTATTCTTGTGTATTTCCCTGGAGTAGCGGCCATAGTCATATATTTTTATAATTATTATTATTATTGTTTTTATTATTATTTATATTCCACCCTATCTCCCCAGGGTTCAGGGTGGATTCCAACATACAAAAAGGCAAACATTCAATGCCTCCATTGAACAAACAAGCAAGCTTGTTATTGTATATTACATTAATAATATATTTAATAATAATAATAATAATATATATAATTTTAGTAACTCTAGTCATTATAGTGTCTCCTCAAAGTGTTGGCCATGTTAAATGATTTTTTTCTTCGTGGTCTCTGTGAATGCACACATGTGGAGTGTCTGCGCCTGCACAGGCTCGAAAGGAAACTTTCCAAGTTTAAACTTTTCAAGTTTTGGCGATAACCCCGCCCAGTCCCCGGCAGGGCATAAAAGGCGCCCCGCGCGCACGCTCCGCAGTTCCCTTTTTTCCTCCGCAAGGCTCGTATCGGAACTTGTTAGCTATGTCAACTACGAGATTCAAACACTGCACGCAGTGTTTGAGGAAGATTCCTGACTCAGACAAACACTCAAAGTGTCTCCTTTCTCTCTGCGAGACTCACATCTCGGCTTCGTGCTACCATTGCCAGGCTTTAACAGCCCAATCCCGTAAAAATCAGGCTTATCGATTGCGGTACTTCTTGTACCAGCAAACTTTGGCTCCTGTGTCGGCAACCCCTTCGACATCGACCTCGGCGGGCCCAGCTTCATCGGTTCCTGCAGTGCCGTCAACGTCGACAGCAAAGGCCTCTTCGGCCCGGCCATCGAAGGGAAAGAAGCCGACAAAGGTAAGGTTGACGATGTCGACAGCCTCGAAAGCCTTGAGGCAGATGAGACAATCCAAGCTGCCATGCACGGTGACGACGGAAACCTCAGAGCAGGGGACCATTTTGCATCAATAGACCTTCAAGATGCAAATTTTCATCTTTCTATCCGCCAAGACCCCAGAAGATTCTTGGCGTTCCGCGTCGGGGTTCAGTCTTATTTTTTCAATGTCCTTCCGTTCAGGCTCGTTACAGCACCAAGAACTTTCACCAAGTGCATGCCGATAGTGGCAGCACACCTCAGAAAGCAGAAGATCCAGGTGTTCCCGTACCTGGACGACAGGTTGCTGCCGGCCCACTCTCCCGAGACCCTGCGATCCCAAGTACAGACCACGCTGTCCCTACTGGAAAGCTTAGGCCTGCAATTAAATGACCAAAAGTCGCACTTGACCCCAACGACAAGGATAAAGTTTATTGGCGCCATGTTTGATTCGCAGACTCAAACTGTCTCCCTTCCTGAAGTCAGATTCAAGGCTCTCCGGCGCAAAATCCACAACTGCACTCGGTCCCGAGTGACTACAGCCAAGCGCATCCAAGTCCTCCTGGGCCACATGGCCTCCACGGTCATGGTGACACCGCTAGGCAGGCTCTGGTTCTGCCCACTCCAGCAATGGTTTCTCGACCACTTCAACCCGCTCCGCGATCAAAGTTCGAAGGTCCTCTCCATACCGAGGTCAGTAAGACTTTCCCTTCAGTGGTGGATGTCTCAACGACATGTCTGTGTAGGGATTACCTTTCACCCAACACAACCACCTCTCACACTGATGACAGACGCGTCAATGTTCGCCTGGGGATGCCATACAGGAGAACCCTGCGTCACAGGAGAGGACCCATCATATCAACTATCTAGAACTACTAGCCATGTTAAAATCCTTGAGAGCTTTTGCCCCTCTCATCACCATCAGAACAGTACAAATCCTAACGGACAATATGGTGGCCATGTACTATGTAAACATACAGGGCAGAACAGGCTCCAGAAAACTTCTAGCACTGTTGATTGCCCTTTGGGAATGGTGTGTGGAACACTCGACATCGATCTCGGCACTCCACCTCCCGGGAAGCCAGAACGTCGAGGCCGACGCTCTCAACTGAACCCGCTCTTCATCCCACGAATGGATTCTGGCACCGGACGAACTAGCGACCCTTTTCGACGACTGGGGCTGGCCGGACATCGACCTCTTCGCCTCACTGGTCAGCGCTCAACTTCCGCGCTATGGAGCACACCTCCCCCCGGACCCGACGTCGGGGTGTCTTGGTGACGCGATGCTCCTGGACCTTTACCTCTTCCTGCCCTTTCCCCTCATCCTCAGGGTGATTGAGAAGATTCAGGCCACTTGGGCGAATTGCATCCTCGTAGCCCCAGCCTGGCTGAGGCAGACTTGATATGCAGTGCTCCTTCAGATCTCCGAGGGTCAGTACCGAGCGTCTCCCCCCCCCCCCGGCATGATCTCCTCACAAGAGAATGGGGCCTCCTGCTGCATCCGGACCTCTCATCGCTCCACCTGATGGCATGGAGAATCCAGCTCTAACAGCACTTCAATCAGCGGTGCGCACCATCCTTTTGGCTACTCACAAACCTGCGACTGTCCGAGCTTACTCTGTCTGCTTGCCCGATTCCAAATATTTTGGTCTCGAGCAGACCAGACCTTCTCACTGTTGATACCGACGGTCTTGGACTTCCTCCTTTCTTTGGCTGAACGCAACCTTTCACTCTCATCGCTGAAGTCCTACCTACCCGGCGCATCCTTGTTCCAGAGTGCCATGATTAGAACGTTCCTGAAGGGATACAATAACCTACATCCCCCAGTCCACCCTCCAACGTTGGGCTGGAGCCTCGACTTGGTACTCTCCCGATTGACAGCACCGCCATTCGAACTTCTGGCGAAGGTCGACCTCCGGTTGGTCTCTTAGAATTACCTTTGCCCGCCGTCCGTCGGAGCTGGCGACCTTGAGGGTTGATGAGCCGTATCTGATTTTCCATACGGACAGGGCGGTCCTCCAAATGGATGTTTCCTTTCTACCGAAGGTGGTTTCCCCCTTCCACGTTAATGAGGACATTGTCCTACCCTCCTTTTTTGATCCCCGTCCACCGAGGCGGAGAAGAGACTACATCTACTCGATGTTTGAAGGGCCCTGTTCTATCGTGATAGGACCTCTCGATCCTGTAGGTCTCCGAGACTGTTCGTAGCCTATGCGCCAGACAAGCTGGGACTGGCAGTATCTTCTCAGTGCTTGTCGAACTGGATTGCATCCACCATTGAACTTTGCTATGAGCTAGCTTGCCACAAACCCCTGCCGGTTGTCTGGGCTCGGTCAACCAGAGCAATGGCAGCATCCACAGCTTTCCTAAAGGGAGTACCCATGGACTCAATCTGTAAAGCGGCCATTTAGTCCAGTCCCTTGACTTTTGTTTCTCACTATATATTGGACACTAGGCATAGGGACGATACCGCTTTCGAACGGTCAACCCTCTCGTCCTGCCCCCGGTGATCTCCCTTCTGTCGTGGGGGGCAAAGTGATGTTATTGCTTGTTCTTGTTTTGTTTTCAACTGTGCCTTTTTGTTTACCTCTCTTGCATATTGTTGTGTTATGAAAATGCAATACTTATACCTGCTTTGGTTATCCGGGTGCCAGAGTAACCTGTGTTGTTGTACTTACCATGCAAAAAACTAAAACGTGATGTCGATGGGGTATCCTCGAATCTGTTGTCAATTTTCATAATTGATATGGCCAATGTTTTTTGCTAGTAACCTGTTTATGACTGTCGATACCGTGTCCATAAGTTTGGACACTGAAAATGTGGGACCGTGTTTTACAATGCTTTCCTTTATTATACATGTTGTGTCCCTACCATGGGTTTCGGTGGGCATACATCTTGATGTTAAACTCGTACCCGATTGGGCCATCGGGTGTTTTCTTTTGCATTCCATGCTTAAAGATGGTGCATTGTCGATACTGTCTGATGTGCTTTGACAATAAATAATGTGTTTGGTCCTTCGAAAAGGGTCAGTTTGTTTTCTCCTGCCTCCGGGACCTTAGCTTGCTAATCTCCACATGTGTGCATTCACAGAGACCACGAAGAAAAATAGTAGGTTACATACCTGTGACCATCTTTCTTCAAGTGGTGCTTTGTGAATTCACACAAACCCGTCCAGCCTCCCCTCTTTTCAAACCTCCTCCTTTCTCGCTGCCTTGCGGCGTAGGAACTGCGGAGCGTGTGCCTTTTATGCCCTGCTGGCGACTGGGCAGGGTTACCGCCAAAACTTTAAACTTGGAAAGTTTCTGTTAGAGCCTGCGCAGGCGCAGACACTTCACATGTGTGAATTCAGAGCACCACTCGAAGAAAGATGGTCACAGGTATGTAACCTACCATTATATAATATTTTCCCATACTTATTCTTGTAGTTTCTCCCTGGAGTGATGGCCATATTAATATATATATTTTATATATATAATATTTTGAATAATACTTTTCATCTGTATAATTATTGTAGTGTCTTCCCAGAGTGGTGGTGATGGCCCTATATATATATATATATATATATATATAAATATAAATATAAATATAAATATAAATATAAATATAAATATAAATATAAATATATGTATTATAGTGTCTCCCTGGAGTGATGGCCATCTCTCTCTCTCTCTCTCACTCTAATATGTTTAATAATAATATTTTCAACCTTACTATTATTATAGTGGCCTCCAGAGTGGAGACACCAAAAATTATATATATATATATAAAATTTAATATTACTTTTAATCATTATTACATTGTCTCCCTGGAGTGGCAACTGTTGTAGTTCAGCCTGTAATTATGTCTGATGTCAATGGGGATGAGGTTTTTTCTGGGCCTGAGTCTAGCCCAGGCCTTGCTGAGAGGCCCGAGGTCTCTCATGAATGGAGTGCTTCTCCTGTAGATTCCCAATGTCAGATTCCTGGGAAAGGCACACATCAGTCTTTCTCTCAGAAACTGTCTTCTGAGGATGATTTGTCAGTTGCAGAATTTAATGAGTTTGAAGATTGAAAACAATACCTTTTAAAACTAAGACAAAGTTCTCAAGATCAGCGAAGTTCTGTCCGTCTGCTAGAAAAGGGAGATAAGAAATCCTTATCTGGCTGTAAGGGCAAATGAAATGCTTTCCTTTTGGTTCATGGGACAGGAAAAGCTTTATATGATACGAGGAAAGGATTTTAACTCAGTCTTGTCAACATTGGAGTTTCATGACGATCTTGCTTCCATGTGGATTTCTAGTTTTGAGTCCCCCTCGGGGTGAGAAAAGTGGTATACAAATACTGTAAATAAATAAATAATAGTTTCATGTTTCAAGTTTTGCCAGGTTCCTCTCCTGGGCATTGGATCGCTATACAGTCTTGTTCCTTTGGGTTTTGCATCTTTGGATCTTGTGTTTTTACCGTTGTATCCTGAAGTTTATGGACTATCTGTACTCTTTGGAAAATACTGTTTCGGACTATACTGTTTCTATCATTTTTATTGCTTTGCTTACATATGTCCTCCAATAACCTGCTTGCTGATTTTACTATAGTGGTGTGGTGTTTAAGGACAGAAGTGTTTCTGCTCTGGGATACAACAGCGACCATATTTTATATGTGAATGTATATGTGTGTGTGTGTGTGTATACACATATATGTGGTGAACATATTAACATATATATAATGTTTTTAATAACCTGTATAACGGGGTTTAAATAACCATTATGGTGTCATCCCAGAGTGGTGGCTATATATATATATATATATATATATATATATATATAAAATCTTTAATAATATTTTTGATCATTATTATTACAGTGTCTCCCTGGAGTGGCAGCCATATTACTATATATTTTTTATATATGTATAATATATTTATTCCTCATTACAGTGTCCCTGGTCCAGTGGCAATATTAACATATAATATTTTTAATAAAATTTTAAATCATTATTATGATGTCTTCCCAGAGGGGCAGACATATATATATATATATATATACACACACACACATAATTTTAATATTATTTTAAATCCTTATTATTACAGTGTCTCCACGGAGTGGCGGTGGCGGCCAGCTTAATAATGGCAAATTTGGGCCTGACTTCCCTGGGGCTCACTTCCTGGGGGACCTGCTGCAGCTCTCCTTTGCTTCTTCCCAGAGGGACCTTTTCCAGGAGGAATGGCTGCCTTTCGTGGCCCGTGTCTATTGGCTGAAGGCCCGCTTCTTGGCCCTACAGGTCAGCACTTCCTGGAACGGGATATCCCCTAGAGCAGTGGTTCTCAGCTTGGGGTCCTCAGATGTTTTTGGCCTTCAACTCTCAGAATTCCTAACAGCTGGTAAACTGACTGGGATTTCTGGGAGTTGTAGGCCAAAAACATCTGGGGACCCCAGGTTGAAAACCTCTGCCCTAGAGCGTTGTGTTCCAGAGGAGCCAAGAAATCCCTATCAGGGCCTCTTCCTTCCTCTCTCTCTTGTAGGGCGACACGGAGCAGGCCCTGGAGAACTATGACGTATGTGGGGAGACCCTTCGCAGTGGAGGTTTGGGCAGCCAAGCAGGGGGGCAGCCCCTCATCCTCCGCCTCCCTAACCTCCACCTGGACTCGGTCCTCTCCCTGGAAGAGGTAGGACTCCTTTTGTAGAGACCAGGAGAGAGCAAGAGGGTTCCGTTGCCCTCACATCCTGTAAATTTGGACGAGGCGACAAGCGACACATAGAGCCTTACATTGCCTTCCTTGTATTATTATTATTATTTGAAACATCACAAGATTAGTCAACAGCAGACACACTGCTGGCTGTTGTATTGGATCACACGTCGGACACTTCCCAAGTGTCTAGGACTGTGTGATGTATCGGCGAATAATGCGTGCAGATCCCAGTAAGGTGGCCTTTGCAGCTGGCAGATGGTAATGCTAACAGTATTGTACAGGGTTAGTCAAAATGAATAGGCCAATAAGAAAATTAATTTTAGACGAATGTATGTTTACTGTAACCAAACCACAGCTACGTAGCGACAGATAAACTATCAAAGTTTTTTTTGAGCAACACACATGTACGTTAATGCCGCTAGGCGTCGCTAGGGGTCGCTGTTTTCAAAATGGCGGAATCAAGCAAAGAGAAGGCGTTTTGTGTGATGACATTTGCTAAAACAATGTCAGTAATTACGGTCCAGCGAGATTCAAGGGTTAGGGTTAGGGTTAGGGATAGGGTTAGGGTTAGGACCTCAACGAACACCTTCCCAGACGTTGCTGCATTCGATGCCATTACGTCGGATGTGCTGCAACGGATGTGGAATGAACTGGACTATCGCTTGGACATCTGCCGTGTCACACGGGGCGCCCATATCGAACATCTCTGAAGGTGAGACAAAACTTTGATAGTTTATCTGTCGCTACGTAGCTGTAGTTTGGTTACAATAAACATACATTCATCTAAAATTAATTTTCTTATTGGCCTATTCATTTTGACTAACCCTGTATTTAAGGATTTCAGTTTCGTTTTTGCCATACAGCTTCAGGTCATCCATGTACAGCAAATGTGAAATTTTGTGAGATTTCTTAGACCTTTGATAGCTGAGGTTTGTTTTTTGTAAGATTGTTGACAAGAGGGATCGTGGCAATGATGAAAAGCAGTGGGGACAATGAGCCTCCCTGGAAAATTCCTCTCCTGATGTTGACAAGTCCATAGTTTTCATTTCCAACAAAAAGTTAAGTTTTCCAGTGCTTCATCATATTTTCAATAAAAGTGCCAACATTTCTACAAATCCCGATGGTGTCTAGGCACTTGATGACCCAAATGTGTGGGATTGAGTCAAAGGCTTTTTTGTAGTCAATCCATGTTATGTGAAGATTGGTTTTTCGGCTTTTGCAGTTCTCCAGAATCATTTTGTCAATTAATAACTGGTCTTTTGTGCCCCTGCTTTTCCGTTTGTTGCCTTTCTGTTCATCTGGCAAGATGTTCTTTTCTTCAAGATAATCTTGAATTCTGTCATCTATGATGCCAGTCAATAGTTTAAAAATAATGGGCAGACATGTTATCGGCCTATAGTTTCCTAGTCCTTTTGCTGGATCCTTTTGTATCAGATGTGTTCTCCCAGTTGTTAACCATTCACTGATACTTCCTTTTTGCAGCATCTCATTTAATTGTTGGGCCATTTTTCCATGTAGACTAGTCAGATATTTTAGCCAAAATCCATGCAATTGATCACTACCAGGCAATGTCCAGTTCTTGACTTTTTGCACTCGTTTGCTGATCATTTCAGTTGTTATTTCAATCTGTTCCATTTTGTTGTTCTTATTATTTGTCTGTACTGTCTTGTCTAGTTGGAAATGGGGATCGTGATTATTATTTTGATAGTTCTTATAGTTTAATTATATTTTAATTATTTGATTATGTTATTATATGAATAAATGCATTCTTTTCTATGATATAATAATGATATACTTATAATTAATATAAAATTAATATAAAATATACATGATTCTTTTCCTCAGATTGACAAAAACTTGAAATCCTTGGAGCGCTGCCAGTCCTTGGAGGAGATCCAGCGCCTTTATGAGGCCGGCGACTTCCGGGACGTGGTGGCCCTCCTCCGACCTACCCTCTCCTTCACTGGACTTGGGCGCGAGAAGCACCTTGACTTTGCCATCTCTGTCCCAGAGAGGCCCGCACAGCTTCTCCTTGTCCAGGTGTGGAGCCCCATTAGCATAGATGTAGTGATTTTTTCCTTCTTGAAACCTTAGAACAGATGGGTGTAAGAGTAGCTCAGACCCAGTTCTTGATTATTAAAAGATGCAGTTATTTCTTATTATTGTAAATAAACCTTTTGTGATTTTTTTTTGAGATTGGATTCTTCATGTTTGCCTCCTAAGCTCTGAATTCTTTGCAGCCACATCACATAGCACTTCATGCTCTGCTCGCTATTGTGCTGATGCTCAACTTTAAATGCCCTGTTTGTTTTTGCATGCTTTGCCTTATTTTAGGGTATTTTTTCCTAACCATTTTTACCTCAGAAAAGTTAGGTTTTACCCCATAAAATACCCAAATAGGCAATGTTTACTTCAGAAAATGTTTTACTTCTCAAAGTCTAGAGAGATGACATTTTCCTCAGAAAAGTCACCTTGAAGGGAGGTTTTACCTCAGAAAAGGCTAATGGAAATTACATTTACCTCAGAAAAACTCACCTGACAGCAAGACTGGATTTGTTCAGAAAGGATGTTATCCCAATTTGGTAAATGGAGACATATTTTGCCTCAGAAAAAGCAAACTTTACCTCAGAAAAGGCCATTTTAATCTCAAAAACATTAGGTTTTACTTCTTGTTTGCTGTCTTTCCTGGCAGGACTCACTCCTGAAGCTGGGGGACTTCCGCCAGTGCTTCACCTGCTCCGAAGTGGCCCTGAATGAGGCCTTCCAGCAGATGATCAACGTGACAGAGGCCTCAGCCAGAGAGGAGTGGGTGGCCACCGTCACCCAGTTGCTGCGTGGCATCGACTGGGCCTTGTCGGCAGATCCCAGTGTCCTGGATGACCCCAGCACCCTCCCCGGCCGGATCCGGCTGGCCAGCAACCTCATCCAGGTGAGGAGGAAGCACCTCTTGTCACAAAAAAGGCCAAAGGAGACAGGATTTCCCTGAGAAGAAGCCTCTTTTCCCTCAGAAAAGGGCAAAGGAGGCGGGTTTTCCCTCAGAAGAGGCCATAGGAGGCCATTTTCCCCTCAGAAGAGGCCAAAGAAGGCAGGTTTTTCATCAGAAGAGGCCTCTTTTCCCTCAAAAAAGGCCAAATGAGGCAGGATTTTCTTCAGAAGAGGCTAAAGGAGGCAGGTTTTCCCTCAGAAAAAGTTGAAGGAGGCAATTGTCCCCTCAGAAGAGGCCAAAGGAGGCAGGTTTTACCTCAGAAGAGGCTGAAGGAGGCAATTGTCCCCTCAGAAGAGGCCAAAGAAGGCAGGATTTTCTTCAGAAGAGGCCATTTTTCGCTCAGGAGAGGCCTCTTTTCCCTCACAGGAGGCCAAGTGAGACAGGAGTTTCCTCAGAAGAGGCCAAAGGAGGCCATTTTCCCCTCAGAAGAGGCCTCTTTTCCCTTAGAAAAGGCTAAAAGAGGCAGGTTTTCTCTCAGAAAAGGCCAAATGAGGCAATTTTCCCACCAGAGAAGGCCAAGGGAGGCAAGTTTTTACTTACCTGCCTCCTTTGTTGTTGTTTTATATGCCTGTATGTTTTGTTCAATTGTGTTTTATATTGTGCATTATTTCATATTTTGTTTTTTGGCTCTTGTGCCATGTGTAAGTTGCCCGGAGTCCGTTTGGGGAGATGGTGGCAGGATACAAAAATAAAATTATTATTTTTATATTATTACCAATGGATGTTGATTAGTGAAAACCTGCTGTTAAGCCAGTGATTTGTTGTCCTGCCTTGCTTTCCCTTGGCAGATCATCGACTGCAGCATGGCAGCGGTGGGGGAGGAGGGAAAGGAGCCCTTTGTGTCTTCCGTTGTTCCCTGGATCACTCTCCACCGGATTGTGAGGCATGAGGAACAAGTAACCGTTGGGTCTCCCATCTGCCCAGCAACCGAGGAACAGCAACCACAACAGCACCCCTACGAGGAAGGTGCTACTCATCTTGAATTATTACTTAATAATAATAATGTTTAAAATAATAATAAATTAAATTATTACTTAAATATTTTAACAGTATTGAAATATAATAATACAAAAGTGTTTAAAAGACTATATTGAAATTATGGAGAATATATATATATATATATATATATATGTGTGCGGGTATTCCATATAATAAAAGCGCTTCTTGTATATATTGAAGGCACTCCATGGAGTCATGCTGGCCACATGACCTTGGAGGTGTCTACAGAAAATGCCAGATCTTTGGCTTAGAAATTGAGATGAGCATCACCCCCCAGAGTTGGACACGACTAGACTTAACATCAGGGGAAACCTTTACTTATAATGGAAGACTCTGCCCATGTAACAAACAGGAAGTAGAATGCATCTACCATATTCATGCACTTTTTATGAACAAGCTGGAGTACATATAATCAATCCCCTACTGAGAAACTTACCGGCCAATCCAGTGAAATTTTATGTGAAGTTTTTACTTGGCGATGATCTTTCCCATGTGACCCTGGCTGTGCTCATAGCCATCCTGTATGGCTTCAATCAGTTTTAATCCTCTATTTTAATCAGTTTTAACTGTTGATAATTTCATCCAACTTTGTGCTAAATCAGTCAGCTGTTGTTAATCTTATTAACCTTGCATATTTTGTACACTTACGGAGCAAAATGGGTCTTTGGACCATAATAAAATATTGTTGTTATATCTCAATCATTAAAAATAGTTTTATATATGAACGATAAAAAACAATATATATATATAATCAAAAAACATCAAAAGTAATTTATATTTAAATTATATTAATTGTAAAAATATAATATAGAAACATCAAAAATGATTTAAATTATAAACATATAAATATTATACAAAAATATCAAAAGTATTTATATCTAAATGACATATTAAATGATAGATTATAGAATCGGAGGGGTTCAAATCCCCTTTTAGAACCTTCTAAAATATTCCCTCAGCCCAAATTGATGTAGAAATAACGAATGTCAGGTATTTCATCTATCTATCTATCTATCTATCTATCTATCTATCTATCTATGCAGGCCAAATACACCTGAATACATTTTATTGATTAGCCCATCACCATATCAAAACATTTGACAAACACATCATACAACCCACAGTACAACAAAAGTTAAAAAAAAACAACGAGCCGTTAACAAGGGGTCAAGATATATGTATATATATATTTGATTTTAATAATACAAATTAATTATACATGAAATATATATTTTAGTGCAATTTTATTACGGTTGCAGGGGCCCCTTCTCCGGAGTCTCCCCTTTTGCCCTCTTCCCTGATGCTCCTCAATACGGCACATGAATATCTCGGACGACGCTCTTGGTGCTGCAACTCGGATGGTGCCCTCCTCAAATTTTACGTAATTATTCATTAAATATTTCAATAAAGGATAAATATCAGCCATCAGTACTTGTTTTAGGAGGGATTTAGCTTCCTTTTCCATTGGTTCCAGGTGCGAGTCCTTCAGAAAGAGCTCCTAGCGTCCACTTCGGAGGACACTCATCCCTATAAGGAGGAGCTGGAGACGGCCCTGGAGCAGTGCTTTTACTGTCTCTACGGCTTTCCCAGCAAAAAAAGCAAGGCCCGGTACCTGGAGGAACACTCCACCCAACAGGTGAGGTGGCCCTCTCCCTTTTTCGGTGTGGGTTTTTCCCTCAGAAAGGCCAAATTTACCTCAGGAAAGGCCATGAAAGGCAGGTTTTACTTCAAAAAAGACCCAAAGAGACAATGTTTACCTTGGGAAATGTAATGTTTCCCTCAGAAAAGGTAAATGGGGAAGCCATGTTTACCTCAGAAAAGGCCAGATGAGGGGGTTTTTTTTGCCTCAGAAAATGGAACATTTCCCTCAGAAAATCTAACTTTTCCCTCAGAAAAGGCCCAAGGTGGCAATGTTTCCCTCAGAAAAGGCCAAAGGAGGGCTTTTTTTACCTCAGCAAATGTAAGCTTCCCTTCGGAAAAGGCCAATGGGTGCCATTTTTTCCCTTTGAGAAAGCATCGTTGGCCTCTGCTCTGACTCCCTACTTGCTATGGCAGGTGGATCTGGTGTGGGAGGATGCCCTCTTCCTGTTTGACTACTTCAAGCCGAAGACCCTCCCTGAGTTCGACAGCTACAAGACCAGCACTGTCTCGGCCGACTTGGCCAACCTCCTAAAGAAAATGGCCGCCATTGTCCCCCAAACAGAGAGGCCCACCTTGAAGATGGAGGAGGTCTCTGGCTACATCGAAGGGACCCTCAGCAAGGTGAGCAGCAGGACCTGGAGTCTGTGGTGGAGAACAGGGGGTGGGGACTCTTTGGGGGGGAACAGGAAGAGGGATTATGAAAAACAGGAAGTGGGTCTCTTGGGAGACCGAAAGTGGGGGCTGCCCTTCCACTTGCTTGTTGTTTGCTAGGCCCCAGCTCTCCCCGAAGGGGCGGACGACAGCCCTCCGGTGGTGACGGAGCTATATTACCTCCTGGCGGATTACCATTTCAAGAACAAAGAGCAGGCCAAAGCCATCAAGTTCTACATGCACGACATCTGCATCTGTCCCAACAGGTGTGTCAGTAAGCTCCATGTCCCATCATCCCCCTTTTCCCCTCATTTCCTCCAGTAGGTGCAGCAATGCCAGTTTCCATCTTTGGTACCAGGGTGAAATAGGAAAGGGTGATTACTGTGGTGGACTACAAGGCCCATCCTCCCTTTGCTGATTGGATATGTAGCTCCATATGTAGTAGTAGCTGGCTCCCTATGATGGTTCAGAATAGGGAAGGTTGATCACTGTGATGGAATACAAGTCCCATCTTTCCTCAGATGATGGGCTATGTAGTCCCCCTGCACCCACTCTCTCTTTCTCTCTGGGCCCAGGTTTGACTCATGGGCGGGAATGGCTCTGGCGAGGGCCAGCCGCATCCAAGACAAGCTCAACTCCAACGAGCTGAAGAGTGACGGCCCCATCTGGAAGCACTCGGCTCCCGTCCTGAACTCCTTCCGGAGGGCTCTTGAGATCGATGCCTCCAACCTCTCCCTCTGGATTGAATTTGGGGCCACCTCCTACGCCCTGCACTCCTTTGCCTCCCGGCAGATCAAGCAACGCAAGGCCCAGATGGCCCCCGAGACCCTCACACAGGTCAGGGGTGGGGGCAGTGGGCATTTCGCTTACTATTATCATGATTATTAGAGTGTTATATGGATGAGTTTTCTAAATATAGCCCTAACTTAACTCTTTGAAAGCCATGTTGGACTCATTCAGAAACAATGAGATCCCAATTTGGTCCATGGAGGCCAGGTTTATCACAGACAAAAGCAAACTTTGCCTCAGAAAAAGTCAATGGAGGCCATGTTAACTTCTCCCTTAGGTACGTTTTCCCTCAAAAAAAGACCTCTTTTCCCTCAGAAGACCAAAGGAGGCAATTTTTACCTCAGTAAGGCCTCATTTCCCCTGGAAAAGGCCAAAAGAGGCAGATTTTTCCTCAGAAAAGGCCGCAAAAGGCATATTTTCCTTTGGAAGAGGCCTCTTTTTCTCCAGAAAAGGCCAAAGTAGACAGGTTTTCCCTCAGAAAAGGACAAAGGGGCACATTTTCCCTGAGAAGAGTCCTCTTTTCTCTCAGAAAAGGCCATAACAGGCCATTTTTACCTTGGAAAAGGCCAAGGGAGACTGGTGTTTCCCCAGGAAAGGCCAAAGGAGGTAGGTTTTCCCTCAGAAAATGCAGACAGAGACACGTTTCCCCTCACAAGTTGGCCATTTTGTGTTCCCCCTCCCCCCTGGTCACAGATGGAGGAGCGGCGGGAGGGAATGCTGGCGACGGCCAAGCGGTGCTTCTCTTCAGCCTCCAACTGCGAAGGGGATGGGGACGAGGAGGAATGGCTGATCCACTACATGCTGGGGAAAATTGCTGAGAAGCAGAAGGAGCCGCCTCTGGTCTACCTCCGTCATTACAAGCAAGCCGCACACTTCCTGCATGAGGAGGCTGCCCGATACCCCAAGAAGATCCACTACCACAATCCTCCAGAGCTGGCCATGGAAGCCCTGGAGGTAGGGGGTGGTTTCTGGCATTTCCCCCCAAAATAGGAAGTGATGTCTTCCCATTTCCTGTTGGTGAAAAAGGCTCTCTGGGAGGTAGAAAATTGGGATATAATATTGGCCTATCCCCGCAAACAGGAAGTGATGTCATCCCATTTTCTGTGCAATTTTAGGTGCCATTTATAATTTGTTGTTTGATGTCGATTGGTGCTGGGATTGGGTGGGTTGTTAATTGTATCCTTGTCTGCTTTTGTGATGAGGCATTGAATGTTTACCTCTATGTGCTTTGTAGTGTGTTGTAATCTGCCCTGAGTCCCCTTGGGGAGATAGGGCAGAATATAAATAAAGTTGGGTTTTTAAAATTTTTTCCATTCCTCGATGAGGAAACGGGGCAATTGTCTCATGCAAAATTATGGTAATTCTAGGACTGTCTTTGTCCACTTCCTGTCCCCCCAAGGTCTACTTCCGCCTCCATGCTTCCATCTTAAAACTGGTGGGGAGTCCCGATTGGGGTGTCGACGCGGAGGTGCTGGTCACCTTCATGAAGGAGGCAGCCGAGGGGCCCTTCGCCCGGGGAGAGGAGAAGAACGCTCCCAAAATGGCCGAAAAGTGAGTCAAAAGCTGGGTTGGTTGGTTATTTTAAGCTCTGAGAATAAGGGACTGCTTTCCCTCTTCTCCAGCTCTGAAAAGAAGGTCTATCTTTCTATCTATAAGGCCTGTCTTCCTTCTCTGGCTCTGAGATCTATCTGTCTATCTATCTGGCCTGCTTTCCCCCCTTCCCTGGCTCTGAGAAGGTCTATCTATCTATTGATCTGCCCTGCTTCCTCCCTTCTCCAGCTTTGAGAAGAAGAATATCTCTATCATTATTATAACTAGATAATAATTACTATAACTAGCTAGATAATCAAGTAGGCTGAAGAAGAGAGAAAGTAGGTCTTATAGATATATAGGTTTTCCATCAGAAAAGGCTAATGGAGACAGATTTCCCACGAAAAAGGCTAAAGGAGGGAGGTTTTCCCTCAGAAAAGGCCTCTTTTCCCTCAGAAAAGGCTAAAGGAGACCATTTTCCCCTCAGGAGAGGCCCCCTTTCCCCCAGAAGAGACTTCTTTGACCACCTCCTTTTCTTTCTAGGGAAAAGCTGCTTCTGGCGGACGACGACTCGGGCTCCTCCTCTTCTGGGACGGTGGCTCCGGGGCCAGGGACCTCCTCTTCCTCTTCCTCCTCTGGCCCAGGTCTGACTTCCCCTCCTTACACCGCCACTCCGGTTGACCACGATTACGTCAAATGTAAAAAAAGCCGCCCGCAGGCCGCTACGGATGGTACAGTTCTCAAACCACACAGAGCCACCAAATCTAGATATATATATGCTTATTTCTCTCTCCTTGGCTTGCTTGCTCGAGCGACGCACCCCAAAGGCTTGCTTTATTTATTTTTTTCCTCCTCCTCCTCCCACCAAGGCTTTAGATAATGTTGTTGTTGCTTCTGTGTGTTGTCATTACGATATCGGGATAATCAAAATGATATTCTGAAAGCTTCCGGAATGTTATTCCTTTTGCTCTGATTTAGCCAGCTTTCCCCTTCCACCAAAGGCTGTTTAATAATATTGCCATTGCTGCTTTTGTGTGTTGTCATTTTTGCCATTGTCATTATTAAAATTATTAATATATTATATTTATGTATTATATATTATTATACTTATTTATTACATCTGTTATTTTTATTTTATTATATTTATTATGTTTATTTAAAATATTATATTTATTAAAATCAGTATATTTAATACTAACTATATAATTAATATTGTTTAATTATATATATATATATATATATATATATATGAAATTTTTGGAATGATTATTTCGTTATTAATATGTTTATATATTTACATACATATACTTATTGTGTTTATTATATTTAATATTAATATAGTATATAATGAATTATATTAGTAAATAGTTTTTATTATTGTTATTATTATTATTATTATTATTATTAAAAAGATATTCCGGAAGTTTCTGGAATATTCCTTCCTTCTCATTTAGCCACCATTCTCCTCTTTTTACCAAGGATTTTAAATAATGTCGTTGTCATTTTGTGTTGCTGTTATTGCAATTGTCATTATTAAAATTAATATTTTCTTATTAGTACGATTTTATTTGTTTAATTATTTATTATATTTAATACTAACAGCATATATAATAAATATAAATATTATTTGATAATATTTAAAACATAAATTGATATTCCGGAAGCTTCCGGAATGTTCTTCCTTCCACTCCAGTCGAGCCTCCATCTTGCTTTCCCTGCTTTGTTTGCTTTCCACTGCAATTGTTGCTGTTACAGTTTTGAAATGATATAAAAATTACATTCCGGAAGCTTTTGGAATATTGTATATTTTGTATTTATTTATTTATATTTTAAAATGATTTCATCTATTTAATATTAATATAATATATAATAAATAATAGCAATTAATAATATTAAAAATGATATTTAGGAAACTTCCGGAATGTTCTTCCTATCACTCTGGTTGAACCGCCATCTTACTTTTCCTGCTTCTTTTAAAAAAAAAAGTTAATCTGGAAACCTCTGGAATGTTCTTCCTTTTGCCATATATAGCTTAACATATTTCAATGATTATCCCGTATTATTTTCCCTCTAATTTCTGTCCCACTGCAGAACGGAGCCAGGACAGCAACACGGCAGTTGTTCTCTCGGATTCGAACTCGACACAAGATGTCTTTGCAGGACCTGCTTCCTCCTCGGATGGACCCAGTGCCACTCCTCTTGCTGAGGAGGAAAGGGGTAGGGATTGCCAGGAGGAGAGAGAGATCTTTTGGGGACTTGGGGCCTACAGGCCTTCTTTCTCCCTTCTCCAGCTCTGGGAAGGAGGCCTACCTCTCTAGCATCTATCTATCTATCTATCTATCTATCTATCTATCTATCTATCTATCAACTCTCTATCGTCTCTCTATCTACATGTAATTTTGAGAAGACCTACTTTCTCTCTTTTCCAGCTCGGGGAAGGCCTACTTCTATCTATCCATCCATCCATCTACCCATCCATGTATCTATCTATTCCTCCATCTATCAATCTAGCTATGTATCCATCCATTTATATATCTCTCTCTCCATCTCTCTCTGTGTGTATCCTTATGACAAGGCCTTCTTCTCGTCCTCCTTGTCCACTGCAGGGAAGCCTGAGGGCCCCCCATCGGAGCCCCCCCCACAGAAGCCTCCCCCTCCTCCTGCCCTCCCACTCCTCCCTGCGGATCCGGTGGGCCGGGTGTGGGCCCTGTGTGTGGGGGCCCTGCGCCTGTGCCTCTCCCGCTTCCCCCAGCACTACAAGAGCCTCTACCGCCTGGCCGCCCTCTATGCCTATGGCCCCGCCCACAAGGTCAGCAATGGGGTCATAGACAGGGGAGGGGGTGATTATAGGGGAAGGGGCAGGAAGGGTCACATGGCAGTCGGGGAGGGGGAGTGATGGGAGGGGCCATGTGTGAGGGGGTGGGTCATAATTTATGAAAGAGGGGCATTTAGGGGTCCTGGGAGGGAAGGGGGGAGGAGGAGGAAGAACCGGGCCACATGTGGAGAAGAGGGGGGCCGAGAGAGGGCCACATGGAGGTCCATGGTATTAGGTGCACCCCATAGGGGTAGGAGGTTCATTCAGGGGGGAGGAGGGGTCGTATCATGAGGGTAAGGTTCAGGGGAAAGGGGTCGACGGGGGGGTCCTGAGGGGGGTGTTATAGGAGGGGCCTGAAGGGTGGGTCCATGGGGGAAGGGTCCAGGAAAGAGAGGCCACATGGGGAGGAAGGGGGGGAAGATGAAGACAGAATCTTAGGGAGGAAGGGTCTCAAGGGGAAGGAAAGAGATCATGTGACCTTAAAAGGGTTGCAGAGAGGGGAGGGGTGTAGAAAGGGGCGGGGCAGAAGGTAGGAGTCCCATGACCTCAAGGGAAGGGAGGAGTCTTGGGAGGGGCCAGGAGGGAGGGGTCCTTCCCCTCCCAGACTTCCCCTACAGAACCCTCCCCAGAGGGCAGAGGTCGACATTCCCCTTTCTTGCCTTCCAGAACCTTCTTTGGGCCCGAGATGTCCTCCTGGGGACCCCGCTGCCTTGGACCCAGCTGCCGCACATGCCGGCCCAGGGCCTCTTCTGCGAGCGGAACAAGACCAACTTCTTCAACGTGAGGATTATTAGTATGATTATTTTTATGTGTACATTATTTTATATTCTATTTATATTATGGTTTGGATATTTTATATTATATTCAATATTTCATATACTTTATATTCTATTTATCATTCTTTTATTTATTTTCTTTCATAGTCTATTATTTTATTATGTGTATATTTTATTTCTTTCTGTAGAATATCCTGTTCATTGTTGTTATTATTTTATTGTTTATTTTATATTGCACTTATTACTTTATTATTCTTGTGATTTGTACATTTCAAATTGTATTATATTCAATCATTTGAATATTTTGTTTCGTATTTTTTATATTCATATTTTATGATAGTTTATGATGTAGCTTATTTTATATTCTATTTAATATTTTGTTATCAGTATTGTTTATTTTACTTTTTATTTTATATTCTGTTTTATTTATTATTATAGTTTACTTTATATTCTATTGATTTATTATAGTTTATTTTATATTCTGGGTTGTTGTAGGTTTTTCGGGCTGTATGGCCATGTTCTAGAAGCATTTTCCAACAAACCTCTCAACTACTGAGGATGCCTGCCACAGATGCAGGTGAAACATCAGGAGAGAATGCTTCTAGAACATGGCCATACAGCCCGAAAAACCTACAACAACCCAGTAGTTCTGGCCATGAAAGCCTTCGACAATACCATTTTATATTCTGTTGATTTACTAGCCGTCCCCTGCCACACGTTGCTGTGGCCCAGTCTGTGTATATGTGTTTTGTGTGTGTATATATGTGTATGTGTGTGTGTGTGTATTTATATTTGTGTATATATGTGTGTTTGCGTATATATATATGTGATTTTGTGCATGTGTTGTAATGTATTTTTTTATTTTTTGGCTTTTTAAGTCTCTTTTGCTTTGTGTCTTTTTAAGTCTTTTTGGCTTTTTAAGTCTCTTCCACTGTGTTTTTTAGTGTTTTTATGAGTGATCGTCACTTGTTGGCCTGATAGGTGTCTTGTGTCCAAACTTGGTGTCAATTCGTCCAGTGGTTTTTGGGTTATGTTAATCCCACAGACTACCATTACATTTTATTTATATAGATTATATTCTGTTAAAGTTTATTTTATAGTCTATTTATTATAGTTTATTTTATAGTCAATTGATTTATTATAGGTTATATTATATTCTATTGATTTAGTATAGTCTATTATTATAGTTTTATAGTCTATTGATTTGTTGTAGTTTATTTTATAAAGTATTTTTATAGTTTATAGTCTATTGACTTTTTATTCTATTTATATATTATATGAGAAGAAGATATATATCTATATAAATAAAAATGTAATGTTTGTTTGTGGGATTAACATAACTCAAAAACCACTGGACGAATTGACTCCAAATTTGGACACAATACATCTATCAGGCCAACGAGTGACCATCACTCAAAAGCCTCCCAAAAAACATCAGAAAGGACTTAAAAAACCAAAAAAGCTAAATGAAGAAAAGTTAAATGACAATACAGAAAAAAGGGAAGGAAGAGAGAAGGAAGGAAGGGGAGAGAGAGAGAAAGAAAGAAAGAAAGAAAGAAAGAAAGAAAGAAAGAAAGAAAGCAAGAAAGAAAGCAAGAAAGAAAGGGAGGGAGGGAGGGTGGAAAGAAGAAGGAAGCATGGAAGCAAAGAGCGAAGGAAGGAAGGAAAGAGGTAGAGAAGGAAGAAAGGAGAGAAAGAGGGCAAAGAAGATATTTAAGTAAATAATAAGGTCGAAAGTAAGAAGACAGAGAATGATTAATAGTGAGCGAATATAATTGTTAATAAAGGAGATATGAGTCCGTAAAACTTATTATGGAGCAAAAAACTCATTTAATGTATAAATAGTTAGAAAGTAATGAAAGTGAGAAATAATGGTGTATTTATTTCATTCCAGACATGTAATTATAATTAACAAAGTGACGTAATTACATAGTTAGAAGATGAGTGAATGATATAATTAAAGAGGTGAATGAAAATATGGATTAAGCAAAAGATTTAAATATACTAATGATTGAATCAAAAATGCAATGTATTGAAATATTTATCGAAATTAGATAAATATAATAACAAAAATGTGGATTTAAATAAATTTTAATACTGAAGAATAGATAAATTAATTAAAGAGTGACTGAATGAATAAGTAAAGGATATAGATATGTAATAAATTAAATATTAAAATATAAGTAATGATTTAAAGCAAAATCAAATTAAGGTAATATTTAAGAAGTAATTAAAGGTGGTTAAAGGAGAAAGAAAAATTTGAAGTCATATTTTAATAATTAAGTAATTATATATATTAAATAATAAACGGAAAGGCAGAGGGAAATAAAACGATGGATGGTAGGTTGGCCCAACAGCACATGTGACTGGATTATTTTAATGTGTTTTAATTTTATGTCTATGTCTTTTAATATGTAGTCGTGTGTGTGTGTGTATACATACATACATACATCTATATAAATAAAAATGTAATGTTCGTTTGTGGGATTAACAGAACTCAAAAACCACTGGACGAATTGACACCAAATTTGGACACAAGATACCTAACAACCCAATGTATGTCCACTCAAAAAATTGATTTTGTCATTTGGGAGTTGTAGTTGCTGGGATTTATAGTTCACCTACAATCAAAGAGCATTCTGAACCCCACCAACGATGGAATTGAACCAAACTTGGCACACAGTTCTCCCATGACCAACAGAAAATACTGGAAGGGTTTGGTGGGCAGTGTCCTTTGGTTTTGGAGTTGTAGTTCACCTACATCCAGAGATCACTGTGGACTCAAACAATGATGGATCTGGACCAAACTCTACATGAATACTCAATATGCCCAAATGTGAACACTGGTGGAGTTTAGGGGAAATAGAATCTTGACATGTGGGAGTTGTAGTTGCTGGGATTTATAGTTCACCTACAATCACAGAGCATTCTGAACCCCACCAATGATAGAATTGGACCAAACCTCCCACACAGAACCCCCATGTGGGCCACAGCAACGCGTGGCAGGGGACAGCTAGTATAATAATAATAATGTATTGGTGGAGTTCAGAATGCTCTTTGATTGTAGGAACTATAAATCCCAGCAACTACAACTCCCAAATGACAAAATCATTTTTTGAGTGAAGGATATACATTGGGTTGTTAGGTGTCTTGTGTCCAAATTTTTCATATTGATCACTAGCCGTCCCCTGCCACGCGTTGCTGTGACCCACATGGGGCTTCCGTGTGGGAGGTCTGGCCCAATTCTATCATTGGTGGGGTTCAGAATGCTCTGTGATTGTAGGTGAACTATAAATCCCAGCAACTACAACTCCCAAATGTCAAGATTCTATTTTCTCCAAACTCCACCAGTGTTCACATTTGGGCATATTGAGTATTTGTGTAGAGTTTGGTCCAGATCCATCATAGTTTTTGTAAAGATAGGTTCTTGTGGGTTTTTTCAGGCTATAGGGCCATGTTCTAGAGGCATTTCTCCTGACGTTTCGCTTGCATCTATGGCAAGCATCCTCAGAGGTAGTGAGGTCTGTTGGAATTAGGACAATGGGTTTATATATCTGTGGAATGGCTGGGGTGGGGCAAAGAGCTCTTCTCTGCTGGAGCTAGGTGTGAATGTTTCAACTGACCACCTTCATTAGCATTTGAAGGCCTGGCTGAGCCTGGGAAAATCTTTTGGTTTTTTTTTTTTTGTTGAGAGGTGTTAAGATGTGCCTGGTTGTTTCCTCTCTGCTGTTTTGCTGTTGTAATTTTAGAGTTTTTTAATACTGGTAGCCAGATTTTGTTCATTTTCATGGTCTCTTCCATTCTGTTGAAATTGTCCACATCAGTGTTTCTCAACCTGGGGGTCGGGACCCCTGAGGGGGTCGCAAAGGGGTGTCAGAGGGGTCGCCAAAGACCATCAGAAAACACAGTATTTTCTGATGGCCATGTGGATTCCATGTGGAAAGTTTGAGCCAATTCTATCGTTGGTGGAGTTCAGAATGTTCTTTGATTGTAATGAACTATAAATCCCAGCAACTACAACTCCCAAAAGTCAAGGTCTATTTTCCCCAGGCTCCACCAGTGTTCACATTTGTGCATATTGAATATTTGTGCCAAGTTTATTCCAGATCCACCATTGCGTGAGTCCACAGTGCTCTCTGAATATAGGTGAACTACAACTCCCAAACTCAAGGTCAATACCCACCAAACCTTTCCAGTGTTTTCTGTTGGTCATGGGAGTTCTGTGTGGCAAATTACGTTACAAATCCATTGCTGGTGGAGTTCAGAATGCTCTTTAATTATAGGTGAACTATAAATCCCAGCAACTACAACTCCCAAATTACAAAATCAATCCTCCCCCAACCCCACTATCATTTACATGTGGGTGCATTGGGTATTTATGCTCAGTTTGATCCAGTGAATGAAAATACATCTTGCATATCTGATATGTACATTTTAATTTATAACAGTAGTAAAATGACTGTTATGAAGTAGCAACAAAAACAATGTTATGTTTGGGGGTCACCACAACATGAGGGACTCTATTAAGGGGTCACGGGATTAGGAAGGTTGAGAACCACTGGTCCACATGCTTGTGGATTTCAATGGCTTCTCTGTGTAGTCTGAGGTGGTGGTTGTTGGTGTGGTCCAGCATTTCTGTGTTCTCAAATAATATGCTGTGTCCAGGCTGGTTCATCAGGTGCTCTGTTATGGCTGACTTCTCTGGTTGAAGTAGTCTGCAGTGCCTTCCATGTTCCTTGATTCGTGTTTGGGCAATGCTGCGTTTGGTGGTCCCTATGTAGACTTGTCCACAGCTGCATGACAAGCTGGAATGTGTCCAGAGGGGGGCAACTAAAATGATCAAGGGTCTGGAGAACAAGCCCTATGAGGAGCGGCTTAGGGAACTGGGCATGTTTAGCCTGAAGAAGAGAAGGCTGAGAGGAGATATGATAGCCATGTATAAACATGTGAGACATCAGACTGTGGACATCAGACTGGCGCTCTCCCTTATGACATTCCACAAGAGACTAAAGATGTGGTTGTTTGAGAAGGCATTTGAGTAAGTGCTGCAACAATTGGCAATTGACGATCGGAACGAAACATGGATAACGGGATTCGGATTGTGATTCAACAATGAGACGTTGCGAATGATTTAGTGTAATTGTATTATTGATAGTGATGTTGTTTAGTGTTGTGATTTTGCTTATGTTGTAATTTGTACCTGTTTTTACATGTTGTACACCGCCGTGAGTCGCCCTAGGGCTGAGAACGGCGGTCTACAAGTGCAGTAAATAAATAAATAAATAAGCCACAGGGAGGAGGGAGCAAGCTTGTTTTCTGCTTCCTTGGAGACTAGGACGCGGAGCAATGGCTTCAAACTACAAGAGAGGAGATTCCATCTGAACATTAGGAAGAACTTCCTGACTGTGAGAGCCGTTCAGCAGTGGAACTCTCTGCCCCGGAGTGTGGTGGAGGCTCCTTCTTTGGAAGCTTTTAAGCAGAGGCTGGATGGCCATTTGTCAGGGGTGATTTGAATGCAATATTCCTGCTTCTTGGCAGGGGGTTGGACTGGATGGCCCATGAGGTCTCCTCCAACTCTTTGATTCTATGATTCTATGTATGTATCGTCTGAGGCGCTCTCTGGACATGCGCAGAAGGCAGACTTTCTTCCTGCTGCTCAAATTCCCCTCTCTCTCTTTGCCCGATTGGGGCATGCGCAGAACGCGGCGCCCCTTAGTCCCGCCCCATCTCGTTCTGTAATAAGGCAGTGGGAGGAGGCGAGGGAGCGAGGACACGCCCTTTGCCATAATAGGGAGCCAATGGAAAGAGGCCTCGCTCTGCCCCTCCTTTCCCCGTCCGTAATAGCGAGGCAGTAAGGGGAAGCCTCTCTCCTCCTGTCGTCACCTCCGTAGCCTCCATCTCCCCGAAGCCCCCGCTGACGCGTCCAATGGCGAGCAACTCGGGGAGTTGGGAGTCCTGGGAGAGGGAAGCCCCGCCCTGTTTTTTGCCCCTCGCTGTGATTAGGCGGGCCCTGGTGGTGGGCGGGGCTTTGGGGGAGACGCCGGAAGAGGCGGCGGAGGCGAAGGAGGAGGCAGCTTGTGGGCGTCATGGTGAGGCAGGAAGAGAACTGGGTAGACTGGGAGGGAATGGGGATACTGGGAAGGGGCTCGGGCCCCCGAAGTCCCTCCCTTTATTCCTTCTTTCCGGTTTCCCTCTTCCCCTTTGCATTTTGGGATACACTGCTGAGGAGGCCTCCTCCTCTCAGTCGCCTTCGTTTTCTCATCTCGAGTTGTGTCTAATATACACAACAGATATATATATATATATATTGTGTAGCATATATGTGTTTATAACCTATGTATATTTACAGTGTCCATAAATATTTAAGTCAGTAGTTGATTTCTATTTATATCTGTGTTCTGATTTTATATATATGTATTTGTATACACTTACTTAGGCGATCCCTCGTTTTCCGAGGAGGATTGTCTTCCAGTATTCTTGTGGGTCCGTATGTGGCTGTGGAGCCCTATTCTTGCTCTGCATCTTCTTCCGCAGTGAGGGCATTGGTTTCCAGGTGGAAGGCGGTTTCGGTTGGGGTTGGCTTGACGCGCCTTCCTCCTGGCACGTTTCTCTTTTTCACCCTCCACTCGTGCCTCCTCAAATTCTGCAGCACTGCTGGTCACAGCTGACCTCCAGCTGGAGCGGTCAAGGGCCAGGGCTTCCCAGTTCTCACTGTCTATGCCAGAGTTTTTAAGGTTGGCTTTGAGCCCATCTTTAAATCTCTTTTCCTGCCCTCCAACATTCCGTTTTCCGTTCTTGAGTTCGGAGTAGAGCAACTGCTTTGGGAGACGGTGGTCGGGCATCCGGACAACATGGCCGGTCCAGCGGAGTTGGTGGCGGAGCACCATCGCTTCAATGCTGGTGGTCTTTGCTTCTTCCAACATGCTGATGTTTGTCTGCCTGTCTTCCCAAGAGATTTGCAGTATTTTCCGGAGGCAGCGCTGATGGAATTGTTCCAGGAGTTGCATGTGACGTCTGTAGACAGTCCACGTCTCACAGGCATATAGCAGGGTTGGGAGGACAATAGCTTTATAAACAAGCACCTTGGTATCCCTACGGATGTCCCGGTCCTCAAACACTCTCTGCTTCATTTGGAAAAATGCTGCGCTTGCAGAGCTCAGGTGGTGTTGTATTTCGGTGTCGATGTTGATTTTGGTGGAGAGGTGGCTGCCAAGGTAGCGGAAATGGTCAACATTTTCTAATGTTACACAATTAAGTTGTATCTCTGGCATTGGGGAGGGGATGGCTGGTGACTGCTGGAACAGCACTTTGGTTTTCTCGATGTTCAGTGACAGGCCAAGCTTCTCGTATGCTTTGTATACACACACACACATATATATAGTGCATGTGGGTAAGAATATAAGTATGTATATTAATTGATAGATATATACATCAATATCTATCAATAATTATATCAAACTAGATGTAGATGATATCTGTCATCAGGGAAAATAATAGTTACCCAAAGAGACAATCACTTTGTGTGTGTGTGTGTGTGTGTGTGTGTGTGTGTGTGTATTCTTCTGTGACATAACTTCCTTCCCTCAGAAAAAGCTCAAACGGGGCATTTTTACCTCAGAAAAAGTATTCTTCACCTCAGAAAAGGCCAAAGGAGACGGGTTTTCCCTCAGAAGAAGACTCTTTTTCCCTCAGAAAAAGCCAAAAGAGACAGGTTTCTCCTCCAAAAAGGCCAAAGGAGGCGGGATTTCCCTCAGTAAATGCCGCTTTTATCCTGGAAAAGACCAAAGGAGGCAGGTTTTAGCTCAGAAGAGGCAAAAGGAGGCATGTTTTGTCTCAGAAAATGCCTCTTTTATCCCATAAAAGGTGAAAGGAGGTATGTTTTCCCCCAGAAGAGGCCTCTTTCCCCCCAGAAAAAGTCAAAGGGTGAAGGATTTCCCTCAGAAGAGGCAAAAGGAGGCAGATTTCCCTCCAGAAAAGGCCAAAGAAGGCAGGTTTTCCCTCAGAAGAGGCCAAAAAGAAGCAGGTTTCCCCTTAGAGAAAAAACCTCTTTACCTCAGAAAAGGTCCAAAGGAGACCCTGAGCTGACTTCCTGCTTCCCTTCTTGGGGTCGCAGGGCATCTGGCGCATCCCGGTGGATGAGATTGACCGCCCAGGGAGCTTTTCGTGGCACATGAACCGTTCTATCGTCCTCCTCCTGGAGGTCCTTTCTCAACTGAAGGACCACGGAACCCTTCTCAAGGTCTGCTCCATGCTCCAGAGGACCCCCGACCAGGGAAAGTGAGTCCCATAGGATGTATATTATATTATTATTATATTATACTGTCATATTTATATTATATTATTCCACTTCATATTAGTTGTTATATTTTATGTATTTTATCATGGTTGTATTATATTTATATTAGTATTCTAATTATGTTGGTATTTTATATTATATTCAAATATTATATAATAGTTTTATATTTTGTTATATTCTGTATTATTATGTTATAATTTTATATTATTATTTTTGTAAGGTTTTATGTTATATAATTATAGTTTCTATAATTATAATATATTATAGTGTCATATTATTATATGATGTAATATACTTTACATTAGTTTTATTATACTATAGCTTATATTTATATTTTATCATTGGGCACACTCATTTTATGGGATAAAATGAGGAACAATAAGCAAAATGGATTTATTTTATTTTGTTATTTGAGTGTGTATCTAAATTAATTTATACATACATATAAGATATAATTTATGTTTATTTTTCAAAGGTATTGCTACAAAAGGATAACAAAACTTAACAGTTGTCATTAGGCACTTGTTATTATCTACTTTACATTAATTATATGTAATTTATTTAATTATATATATAAAGATAGATTTATATCATTAATAATTATGTAATTGGAATTTATATATTTCTACCATTTATAAAGTTATATTTATGTCTGATTGATATTATATATATATATATATATATATATATATAATTTATATAAATGTGTGTGTAATTTATATGTGATGGTTTGTATCTAATACAATTTATAAAACATCTATGTGAAGAATCTGACAAGGCACAAAACACTTAATGACAGTCAGAGGTCAGCGAATAGCAGCTGGCAAAGCAAAAGGGGAGGAGTACAAACAACTTTGCAATGAAATTCAAAAGAGCCTTCAGACTGTGACGAATATCAGATTATGCAATTAAGAGAGGCAGCAGAGAACAGGAAAAGTCTTAAAATGAGGAAAAGCAGTTGCAAATGAAGAAAAAGCTACCAATTGCACTAAAAGATTGAAACGGAATGCGTGTAACAAATAGATTGGAAATTAAACAGTTACGAGAAGACATAAGTGCAGGTAGTCGAAGTCAAACCACATGTTGATACAGAAGAAATCCCAATAGTATTTTAAAGTAAGGTAGATGCGACCATAAGTAAAATGAAGTCAGATAAATGCCCAGGAAAGGACAGAATAAGAATAGACACCTAAAGGCAAGAGGTTGGTAACCTTCAAAAGGTGATCACAGAATATTTTACACAATCCTTGCTAAGTGCCATCTTACTTAAAGATTGGACGACTGAAACCATACTTCTAATGAAGAAAGGAGACACAGAAAACCTTAGCCACTATTGTCCTGTTACACTCCTCTCAACTGTATAAACTGTTCACAAGGATCCTGCTACAAAGAATATCTCAAGATGTGGAAATCAACGGGGAACAAGTGGGCTTCAGACATGGCTACTCTATCCTCGATCATATCCACGTAGCTACTGGAGAAAAACAAAGAATATCAAATCCAGTTTGTCTTGCTTTTGTTGATTACCAAAAGGCCTTCCATTCTGTTGAGATCAGTGCTATCCTTAACGCTCTGCACCAAACTGGTGTAAATCCAGCGTATGTGAATATAATAAAAAAGTATTAATACAAGATGCACAATGAATATAAAACTCTTGTCAGAATTGTATCACATCATAATAAATAAAGGAGTGTGTCAAGGGGACACAATATCGCCAAAACTGTTTGTGGTGACTTTAGAAAACCTCTTCTGAAAAATCAAATTTAAAGGCAGGATTTCAATTGATGTGAACAAATTTCTCATCTCCTCTTCGCAGGTTATGTGTCTTTTTTGCCAAAAATCCAGAAGATTTACAACATGATCTTCAATAACTAGCTCGACTCTCAAAATCAGTAGGACTGCAAATGAAGAAAATGAAATGGATGAAAAATGAGCTGTGTGCCCACGTCGCATCCGTTATAAATGGAGATGAAATTGAGGAAGTGACCAAATATGTATATCTTGGACATCAAGTACAGTTGCATGAATGGCAGATGGGCAAGAAGATGCAAGACTGCTTGAATAGCTTTTAATCGAAACTGGACAGTGCTAACAGATGCTAAGCTGCCAGTGAAGGTCAGAGCAGATATCTTCAACACTACACTTCTACTGACAATGTTATGCGCATCTGAAATATGGGCAACTACAAAGTTAGAGGAGGAAAAACTGGCAGTGACTCAGAGAGTAATGGGAAAAAAGCAGGATGTGTAGTGTGATAATAAGAGAGAAATCCTGCAACAAAGAGCTGCATCAAGGGACCGAGGTACGAAACGTGGTCAATGACATCTATGAGGCGAAAAGGAGATGGGCAGGGCATAGAGCACGAATCAAAGGCAACCGAAAAAGGACATGTCGACTCACAAACTGGAGACCAAGAGACCACAAGCGGCTCTTGGGCAGACCTCGCACTTGATGGGACGAACCCATGGTCAAGCTATTCAGCCTGAAATGGAAAAGAAAAGCACAGGATCATAGATTTTGGCAAAGGGTAGATTTGCATGAAGCCCAAAGGAGTTGCTCAATGATAAATAGAATAAATTTGTGTATAAAATATTTATTATATGTATATATATATGTATATAAACATACATACATTTGTTTCCAAAATAGGATGGATTCAGGAGTGATTTTGGACTATATATATATATATATATATATAAAATCCCTCACAACCATAACTTCCTCTTTTCCTCCCAACAGAAAGTACCTCCGGGATGCTGACCGGCAAGTCCTGGCCCAGCACGCCTTTGCTCTCACAGTCCTGGCCCTTGAGGAGATGCTGAACGACATAACAGAGGTGAGAGGTCACTGTGATTTCAGAGGGGTGAGGGGTCACACACACAGTGTCATCCCGATTCAACCCTCCCCTTTTCTCAGGACGCCGACGACCCTTGCGGGGGGGACAAGAAGGTAGCTGACCCCACGGCTGAAGAGGAGCCCAAGATGACTGTTGAGAAGGCCCTACCCCCTTCCAAAATGGCCGCTGAGGCGATGGATGTGGAGGTCCGGACCCCAGAGCTCTCCCTCGAGGAGCTGAGTATCAGCTCTCGACTTCCTGTTCCAAAAATGACCCCGAGGGTGAACCGGAAGCGGAAGTTGACACAGGACCCTGAGTCCGGAAAGAGGCTGCTCCTGGATGCCTACCGGGTCTGGCAGCAGGGTCAGAAGGTTGTGACCTACGACCTGGGCAGGATTGAGAAGATCATGTCTGAGACCTACATGCTGATCAAGCAGGTGGGCCACTGGCTTCAATGGAGACAAAACATAATCATCCAAGATGCCCTCCCGAAGATCACCTCATTGGTCACAGTGGCCTCTAGGGGTCCTCCCATGTGGTGGCCATTCTGTTTCTTTGACATAATATCATTTATGTTTAAAATTTATTATAATTTAAATACTGTATTATATTGTATAAAAATGTATATTTGTATTATTATATTTCATTGCGTTAACATGTATATATCATTTTTATATTACATTTTAATTTATATGCTATCATAATGCAGTCATGCCAGCCACATGACCAATGGAGGCGTCAGTGGACAACACCAGCTCTTTAGCTTAGAAATGGAAATGAGCACCACCTCCCAGTCGGACATGACTAGACTTAATGTCAAGGGGAAACTTTTTACCTTTTTAAAACTAATTCATGTTATATTCTCAAGGTGGATGAGGAGGCTGCTTTGGAGCAAGCAGTGAAGTTCTGCCAGGTCCATGTTGGAGCCGCGGCCCAAAAACAGGTGAGTTGAGCCCCCACTTCCTGTAGGAGCTCACCTGCTTCCTGTTGAACACTCACCCATTTCCTACTGTTTTCCACAGAACATGGGGGAGACCCCTTCCACCCCAAAGCCCCCCAAGGAGGGAGCCTTCCCTCTGATGTCAACCCCCTTGATGACCTCCGACCCCCGCCTCCCCAAGGAGAGCAAGATGGCCACCCCAACCTCAGCTGTAACCCCGACCCCTTTGTTGCTCCTTCTGCCGACTACCTCCACCCGGACACCTGAGGCGACCACTTCGTCCGGCACCAAGCCCTCCATTGGCGGCCAAAGAGGTAAGACAAACCAACGATAATAATAATCATAGTAATCATATTATTCTATAATATAATATTACAATATGTAATAGAAATTGAATATAATGATAGTATAATACATATTACATTATATTATAATGAATTACTGTTATATTGCGTTATTATTTTGTATGATAGTAATACAAGATAAGAATAATACAGTATAACAGCAATAATAGAATAAAATCATAATATAATATAAGACTAGTAAAATATAATGATATTATTATGCGATAATATAATACAAGCTAGTATAATGCAAGATAATAATAATTTAACAATAACAGTAATGCAATATAATACATGCTAGATAATGCAATATAACAATACAATCAAATAATATAATACATCTGTGTAATACAAGATAAGAATAAAACAATAAAATAATAGAATGTAATAAAATAATATATTACAATATAACTATACAATAATAGGATAGTATAGTAATATAATAGTGCAATAGAAGAATGGAATAATAATAGAATAGAATCAACTAACATAATACAATGTTATGAAAATATAATTTAATAATATAATTTTAATACAATATAATAGATTGGAATTATAATATAATTTAATAATAAACCTATTTGTTTCCATATTGGTCAACATTCTGGATGTGTGTGTGTATATATATGTTTTGGAAGGATGGATCAAACTGATTTTTGATGAAATATGTATATCATAAAATGCACAAAATTAATTATATGTATATATATATATATATATATATACACACACACACACACACTATATAAAATACAACACATATATATTATATAAATCCATAAATTATATATATATATATATATATAAAATATGTATGAATATACAAACATTAAATATTGATATTATGTGTATATATATGCTTAAATATACAAATATATATATATATATATATATATATACACACACACAAACATATACATATAGAATACTCTCTATGAGTAAAATTTAAAAATACATGTAAATATAGAAAAATTGAATATAGGTAATATAACAATGATTTTATTTCTTATCCACCTGTCCGCTCGAGGTGTGTTTCAGAATAGTTAATAAACACAAACATTGTAAAAATACCACTAGCACACATATTAAAATGTATTTATATTAAAGATACATATTAAAACGTATTTCTATAAGATATGTATTTATTTATTGTATTGAGCGAACCAAGGGTACACTTGTAATGTATTTTAAAAAACACAAAGTTTAAAAACTTGGCATTATATTAGAAGTCCTTTGACCAGTAGCTGGCCACTTGGAGTGCCTCTCCGATGATGAGATAAGAAGGTCCTCCATTGTGCATGCAACAGGGCTCAGGCTGCATTGTAGTAGGTAGTCAGTGGTTTGCTCTTCTCCACACTTGCACATCGAAAATATGTATTAAAATACACTGAACAGATTAAACAAAGGCATATAAATATGTATGCATACAAATGTATAAATATTAAAAATATAATTTATAAAAAATATTTGTATATATGAATGTATATGATTTAGATGTATGTACATTTTATATCTATTATTCTGTGTGTGTGTGTTCCCATCTCTTGCATAACGAGGGAAAGAGGGTTGCCATGGAAACGTGAGCCAACGAGAAGCATTATATTTATTTATTTTTATGTTTACTTGCTTCGAAAGAAAAGGAAGGAGGAAGAAAGGTAGATAAAGGAGAAGGGTTTTATTATAGATTATTATATTCATGGTTTAGTCAGGGATATATTTCTATAGATAATAAGAGATTTAGATTTGTTGTCTATATTTGTGATGTGTTTCTGATGCTAATAGAGGGCTGTTATTGTCAAAGGACACATTTGCATATTCAATTAAAGGTTTTTAAAAGGGGAAAGATAATTATTCCAGAAAACAATGGGAAAATTAGGATTTCTTGAATTTTGGAATGTTCTTATTTCATTTATTTATTTGATTTGAATATTTTGGTTATATATTTTATTTATTTTATATGTTTTGTTGATATAATTTATTTTAAGTTCCATGTTTTGTTTTAGTCATATATTATATTTTGTTCATATATTTGTTTTATTCATATAGTTTATTTTATATAGTTTAACATTTTATTTATATAGTTTTATTTAATTTGTATATTCATATATTTTGTGTTATTTATATATTTCATATATATTTGCTTTATCTTATATATTTTAGTTAATGTTTAAACATTTTGTTTCATGTTTATAGTTTGTTTTATTTACTAGCTTGGGGACCCGGTGGTGCCCGGGTTATTTGAGATAGGCATTGTCTGTGCTCCAGTTTTAGTCTAGATCCAATATTAGGGTTCAGTGGGTGCGGGTGAACTACAACTCCCATACGCAAGTCCCATTGTCCATGGTCCATCCTCCTCCAAACTGCACCAGGATGTAGAGTGGGTCACGGGGGCTCTGTGTGCCAAGTGCGATCTTGATCTGTCATTGGTGAGGGTCACAGTGGTCTCATGATGTGTGTAAAGGTATTGCAAGTCCCATCATCCATTGTCCGCCCTCCTCCACGCTGCACCAGGATATAGAGTGGGTCATGGGGGCTCTGTATGCCATGTTTGATCTTGATCAGACATTGGTGTGGGTCGGAATGGTCTCAAGAAGTGAGTGAAGATACTGCAATTCTCATCATCCATGCTCCAAAGTCTTCCAAACCACACCAGGATGTAGAGTGGGTTATGGGGGCTCTGTGTGCCAAGTGCGATCTTGATCTGTCATTGGTGAAGGTCACAGTGGCCTCATGATGTGTGTGAAGGTATTGCAAATCCCATCATCCATGGTCCGTTCCCCTTAAAACTGCACCAGGATGTAGAGTGGGTCATGAGTGCTCTGTGTGGCAAGTTTGGACCTGGTCTGTAATTTATCGGGGCCACAGTGTTCTTTGGGAAGTGAAGCGGGTGAAGGTACTGCAAATCCCATAGTCGGTGGTCCATCCTGCCCCAAACCGCACCAGGTTGTAAAGTGGGCCCTTGGGCCTCTGTGTGTCAAGTTTGGACCTGATCCATCATTGGTGTGGGTAACAGTGCTCTAAGGAAGTGAGTGAAGGTACTGTAAGTCCCATTATCCATGGTCTATCCTCACCCAAACTGCGACAGGACTTAAAGTGGGTCTGTGTGCCAAGTTTGGTCTTTATCGGTCTTTGTTGGGGGGCACAGTGGTCTGTGGGAACTGAAGTGTTTTAAAGTACTACAAATCCCATCATCCGTTGTCCATCCTCCCCCAATCCTCACCAGGACGTAAAGGGGGTCATGGGTTATGTGTGCCAAGTTTGGTCCAGGTCTGTCATCCATGCTGGTCACAGTGGTCTGTGAAAGTGGCAACCAGTCAGAAAGCTGTCACATACATACACACAATCATACAGACATTCACTTATATTATAGACTAGCTTGGGGACCCGGCGGTGCCTGGGTTATTTGAGAAAGGCATTGCGTGCCAAGTTGGTCTTTTTCAGTTATTTATATGGCTCGCAGTGCTCTCAGGAAGTTAGTGAAGGTACTTCAAGTCCCATCATCCGTGGTCTATCTTCCATCAAACTGCACCAGGATGTAGAGTAGGTCATGGAGTCTCTGCGTGTCAAGTTTGGTCTTTATCGGTCATTGGATGATGGTCGCAGTGCTCTCAAGAAGTGAGTTTAGGTACTTCAAGTCCCATCATCCATGGTCCGTCCGCCCCCAAACCACACCAGGATGTAGTCATGGGGGTTCTGTCTGCCAAGTTTGGCTTTGATCTGTCATTGGTGGGGGCTACAGTGGTCTGTGGGTGCCCATGCGTTTTAAAGTACTGCAGATCCCATAATCCATGGTCCACCTCCCCCAAATCGCACCAGGACATAAAGTAGGTCATAGGGGTTATGTGTGCCAAGTTTGGTCCAGGTCCATCATTCGTGCAGGTCACAGTGGCCTGTGAATAGCAGCCAATCAGAAAGGTGCCACATACATACATTTACTTTTATTATATACTAGTTTGGTTTTTATCGTTGCCCAGGGGACGCAAGGATGTTTTGATGTTTTGCCATCCTTGTGGGAGGCTTCTCTCATGTCCCCGCTTCTCTCATTAACCATATTCGCCACCAGGGGCTCCTGTTGAAGCTGGCCAATTAGAGACCATATGCAAATAGCACCACAGTGGCAGCCAATCAGAAAGCTGCCACACACTCCTCCACTCTACATCCTCCCTCTGTCCTCCCTCACACACAAACTTTGACTTTTACTATATACTTGCTTGGGGACCCGGCGCTGCCCGGGTTATTTGAGAAAGGAATTGTGTATCAAGGGTGGTCTTTATCAGTTATTTATATAGCTCGCAGTGGTCTCAGGAAGTAAGTGAAGGTACTGTGAGTCCCATCATCCATGGTCCGTCCTCCTCCAAACAGCACCAGGATGTAGGGTGGGTCCTGGGGGCTCTGTGTGCCAAGTTTGGTCTTGATTGGTCATTAGATGAGGGTTGCAGCAGTCTTGGGAAGTGAGTGGAGGTACTTGAAGTCCCATCATCCATGCTCTGTTCTCCCCCAAACCTCACCAGAATGTTGAGTTGGCCATGGGGGCTCTGTGTGTCAAGTTTGGTCTTCATCAGTCATTGGCTGAGGGTCGCAGTGGTTTCACTAAGTGAGTGAAGGTACTGCAAGTCCCATCGTCCATGGTGCATCGTCCTCCAAACCGCAGCAGGATGTAGAGTGCATCATGGAGACTCTGTGTGCCAAGTTTGGTCTTTATCGGTAAGTGGATGATGGTTGCAGTGGTCTCCGGAATTGAGCGAAGGTACTGCAAGTCCCATAATCCATGCCAAACCTCACCAGGGCGTAAAGAGGTCTATGTGCCAAGTTTGGTGTTGTTCAGTCATTGTTGAGGGTCGCAGCAGTCTCAGAAAGCGAGTAGAGGTACTTCAAGTCCCGTCATCCATGGACTGCCCTACTCCAAACCACAGTAGGATGTAGAGTGGGTCATGGGGGCTCTGTGTGCCAAGTTTGGTCTTTATCGGTGTTTGTTGGGGGCCACAGTGATGCGTGGAACCAAACCATTTGAAAGTACTACAAAACCCATAATCCATGGCCCACCTCCCCCTATCCTCACCAGGATGTAAAGGGGGTCATGGGGGTTATATGTGCCAAGTTTGGTGCAGGTGCGTCACCCGTGTTGGTCACAGTGGCCTGTGAAAGTGGCAGCCAAACCTGGCACACATGTTTTGATGTTTTACCATCCTTGTGGGAGGCTTCTCTCATGTCCCCACTTCTTTCATTAACCCTCTTCACCACCAGGGGGTCCTGTTGAGGCTGGCCAATCAGAGACCATATTCAAATTTCCTTTCCTTAGCGCTGTGTGCTAAGTTTGGTAATGATCAGTCATTGGATTAGGGTCGCAGTGGTTTCAGTAAGTGAGTGAAGGTACTGCAAGTCCCATCATCCATGATCCACTCGCCTCCAAACTGAAACAGGATGTAGATAGGGTCATGGGGGCTCTGTGTGCCAATTTGGTCTTGATTGGTCATTGGATGAGAGTTGCAGTGGTTTCAGTAAGTGAGTAAAGATACTGCAAGTCCCATCATCCATGGTCCACCTCCCTTAGAACTGCATCAGGATGTAGCGTGGGCCATGAGTACTCTGTGTGCTAAGTTTGGGCCCGGTCTGTGATTTGTAGGGGCTACAATGTTCTGTGGGAAGTGAATCGGGTGAAGGGACTGCAAACCCCGTCTTTAGTGGCCCATCGTGCCCTGAACCGCACGAGGTTTTAAAGTGGGCCATTGGGCCGCTGTGTGCCAAGTTTGGTCTTGTTCTGTCATTGTTGGGGGCCAGAAGGTGTTTTGGACTTCAATTGCAACCATTCCTGACAGCTTCAGGCCCCTTTCCTGTTCCCTTTGCTGCCTCGGAATGTTCAGGGTGGCCAGTCAGAGACCATATGCAAATCGTACCACAGTGGCAGCCAATCGGAATCTTGGAACTTTCAGGCTGGCCAATCAGAGACCATATGCAGATAGCACCACAGTGGCAGCCCATCGGAAAGCTGGCACATACCACTCCGGTTGCACTGCCGCATACAAACTTTGACTTTTATTATATAGATATAGATATTGATTATGTCATTTCAGTTATATATTTTCATTTATTTATATGTTTTGTTTTATCCATATATATATTGTATTTATAAATTTGCACCATGTGACCAGATTGTTGTCTATTTCCCTATTGATTTTTCTTGTGATATACCTTAGCGCCTACAAATAATATAAACATTTAGTACTACAGTATATTTTATTTATATATATTATAAATTTAATAATATATTGTATTAAAAGTATATTTAATTGATGATACTTTATTTGTATAATAATAAAAGGATATATTTTAATATTTTATTTCTACAATATGTTAACTTAGTAACTATATTTTATTTATATTATAAAAGGATATTTTATTTGTGTACTATTTCCATTTACGAGTGTATTTTGTTTATTTATTTTAATATATTTAATTTTATTTAGTGACACTATATTTTAATTACAATTTCATACTATGTGTTATTTCTATAAAATTTTAACTGATACTATATTGATATATGGAATATAGTGTACTGTTTCAAAAATATTATGTTTTAATATATTTTATTCATATAGTATTTTAATTTAGTAATAGTATCTTTTAGTTATATTGTATTTTAATAGTAATATAGTTTATATTTTAATAATATATTTTATCTATCCTGTAGAGGACGAAGAGGAGGAGGAGGAGGAAGAGGAAGGGGAGCTGGACCCACCCTCCAAGATGGCCACTGCCACAATGGGTGAGCAATGGGCAAGGTGATTCAGGACAATCCCACAATGCAACACTTTTGGTATTATTATTTACCCATTTCCTCCTCCTTCAGGGATTGTGGCCCCAGAGGTTGACCCTGGGAAGGTTGAAGGGGTCCCACGGCCGAAGCCCCGCCCCCCTCCTGGGGTCCCCAGACTCTTCATCCCCTCCTTGACCGCCTCATCGACGACAGCAATGACCCCCAAGTTCCCCCCGGAGATCACAGTGACCCCGCCAACCCCAACCCTCCTCTCCCCAAAGGGCAGCGTCTCTGAGGAAACCAAGCAGAAGCTCAAGGTGGGACAAGATGGCCACCATTCCAAGATGGGTCACCCTTGAATGAGATTTGGGTGGAATCCAAGATGGCAACCTTGAAATGGGCTGAGCCCTTATAAATATTTATTAAATATAATGTAGGCAGTAAATATTACTTAAAATGTTATTGATATATATAATTTTAATATATATTCAGCAACGTGAGATATAAATATGTATAAGAATAAGAATAAACAACAACAACAACTTTATTCTAACATCCTGCCTCTATCTCCCCGAAGGGACCAAGCCCAATATAAACAAAGATTACAAAGTAACACAATTAAAACATATAACAGTAAAATATATTGAAACAACAAAACCAATAAAATATAATACATCATAAAACCTGAACGAAACATCAAACAACCAGTAGCCGAGAAAAGTGTGGATTTGAGTCTAATAGGGCAGGACAAGGACTTTTGCAAACACAAACTGTAGGGTCAGGGCTGGGACTAAAGTCTTAGAGATCCAACCAAAAGATTAGGGTTAGGCAGACTTAATCAGTCGCTAAACCATTATTCAAAGGCACATTGGAACATCCAATACATATTATAACTAAATATAATAAAATTATAAAATATACGTAATCCAAGATGACAGTGGGAGATTATGTGTGAGTCTTCATTTTGAAATGGGATTCCTTTGTGAGTGTTGTTAATATTAGTAGTAGTAGTATTCCTTTGTGAGTGTTGTTAATATTATTAGAATGTTAATATTACTATATATTATTAATATATTGTTATGTTAATATACCAAGACTCACAAGGGAATCCCATTTTATATTATAATATCATTGTATAATATATTATTTTATAATATAAGATTAGTGTATTACAGTGGTTCTCGACCTGGGGTCCCCAGATGTTTTTGGCCTTCAACTCCCAGCTGGTAAACTGGCTGGGATTTCTGGGAGTTGTAGGCCAAAAACATCTGGGGACCCCAGGTTGAGAAACACTGGTGTATTATAATACACTATTCTAATATAATGTTCTTTCATAATATTGCATTATAATAGTCGTTACATTGTAATGTAATTTTATGATATAATATTACAAAATTATAATATAATCTATTATAACACTAGCTGTATCCAGCCACGCATTGCTGTGGCCCATTGTGGAGAAATGGGAAAGAAAGAAAAGAGGAAGAACTAGTTTCTAAGCTATCAATACACAACGGAAGTGTCAACCTAATACAGGCCCATTTCAGTCTCCTTGAGGCCAAAGGGTTATATGGATGTGTGGAAGGGCCCTGGGTTACCTGAGTCCACACTGCCATATAACCCAGTTCAAAGATATTATATAGGTATTATTGTTGTTGTTGTCATTATAGACATATATATATTATTATTATATACACAAATATTATTATTAAAGCTATAAAGGTATTAGTATTATAGATGTTATTTATTTATTTCATATCAAAAGCATTGCATAAATTAGAATAAATTGATAAAAATTAGAATGAGCAAAGGGCTCAATATCGTTCGAGCAAAAACGGGCAACAGATGTATGGATATTATTACAGACCTATAGATATTATTATAGGCATATAGATGTTATTATAGTTATTATTATATATTTTATATAGCTATTATTATAGATGTATACATATTTTATATGTGTATATAAATATTATTATTATAGACATATGGATATTATTATAGACCTAGGCATATAGACTTATTACAGACATACAGATATTATGATAGAAATGTAGATATTATTGTTATAGACATATAGATATCATAGACATATATATTATTATAGATTGATCGATATTATTATTGTAGATATATTATAGCCCTGGGTTGCTGTAAAGTAAAAATGGATGGCCATCTTTTAGGAGTGTTTTGATTGTGCCTTCCTGGACAGCCTTTCTGAACTCACAGACCATGCGTTTTTGTCCTTTGAATACTGGACTTCATTTCCCAGAATTCCTTCCCATAACTCAGTACGGGTGAGCTTTCTGGGCACACACACACACACACACAGAATCCCTCCCGTGTGAGTTCCCAGCAGCCCAGCGGAGGCAGCTCCATGCTGTCGAGAGGCAAGAAGGAAAGGAAAGGAAAGGAAAGGAAAGGAAAGGAAAGGAAAGGAAAGGAAAGGAAAGGAAAGGAAAGGAAAGGGAAGGGGGGAGATCTGGAGGAGGGTGTTCCCCCCCCTCTCTGTCCCTCCTTCCCTCCCTCTTCTCTTTCTTAATCCTTTGGGAAGAGAGAGGCAGGGGGTAGCCAGAGGGATAGACCGGTCACCTTTCCCTCCCTCTCTCATTCCACCTCTCTCTCTCTCTTAGCTGTTGGGTTTTTTCCCCTCGTGCAGGAGTGAGGGGTGGGGAGAGTGTTCTTTTAACGCATGCTCTGTATAGGCATTTAGCTTTGTGGGGGTAAGTTCTTTCCGGTTAATAATAATAATAATTATTATTATTATGCGCAAAGAACATAAATTGGTTTGGTTGGAGTCTTGTGTCCAAATTTGGCCGCAATTCACCCAGTGGTTTTTGAGTTCTGTTAATCCCACAAACAAACATTACATTTTTATTTGTATAAGATAGTATTATAATATTGTGGCATGATTACAATATTCTGAAATGGGGTTATTTTGTGAATCATATTTTGAAAAAATATTTTGCCGTTTTCTCATTTATTTGAAGAAATAGAGTAGTCCGGTTATAGATTAGACTCCCTCTTTCTCCAAACAAAGACAGGAGGGCCATCAGTCAGGAGGGATCAAATGGTGTAATGGCTGAATGGGGATTGAATATCCCTTCCAACACTAGGATTCTACATGATCCTCTAGAACGGGATGATGGCTTACCTTGTGTTTCCTATCTCTCTCGTTTCCTGTTGGCCATGTTGCGCCAGTCGGCTATCTTGTCCTCCCAGTCAGCTGCTAACGTCAAGAAGGAGGCACTCCGCCAACCGGCCCTCGAGATCCTAGAGACATCCAGCCAGGAGTCCTCTCTGGAGAGTGAGGATGATGATGATGAAGAAGAGGAAGAGGAAGACTATATGGATGCCTGAGGAACACCTTCCACCATCTTGGATTCCAGCCAAAAGGGGGATCAACAAAACATCCCGATCCTTTTCCATCTGTTTGTTCCAATTTGTTCCAATTTTGGGATCCCAGAATAATATTTTCTCGTCTTTTTGTCACCATGGTGTTAACAAATATCGACAACTTTTCCAATTTTTTGTTTATTTTTTTCTATTTTTTCTCACATTTTTTTTAACGTCGCCCATCTTTAAAATAAAACCGTTTTCTTGTTATTCGTTCTTGTTATTTTTATGTAATTGGGGGGATAAAATACATTTTATTATTATTTCCTTGTTATTTTTATATTTTTTGTAGGTCATTCCTCGCAATTTCTGAAATTTTGGTCAGCCATCTTTTTTGGATTGAAATATTTTATTCTTATTTTTATTTATCTCATGTTTTAATTTTTTGTTTCTTGCAATTCCCTAAATTTTGGGTCAACCATCTTGTTAGAATTGTTAGAAATCGTTTCCTTGTTATTATTTCTCATTTTATTTTTTTGTGGGTAGTTTCTCACAATTTCTGAAATTTTGAGTCAGCCATCTTTGGAATAAAACCATTTGCTTTATATTATTATTTTCTCGTTATTTTTTATAATTTTGAAATTTTTAGCCGGCCATCTTTGGGGTAAAAACCATTTTATTATGATTATTGTTAATTTATTTTTTTGTAGTTCATTTTTTATACTTTTCCAAATTTTGTGGTCCAGCATCTTTGGTATAAAACCATTTTCTTCTTATTTTCTCTTTATTTTTCATACTTTTTACATTTCTTTAAGTTAAAAACCGTTTTATTAATATATTCTCATTTTTGTGGGACATTTTTCGTCCTTACCAAAAATTCTGGTCAGAAGCTCTCTTTGGTGTAAAAACCATTTTTCACATCATTTTAATTTAATTTAATTTTTATGGGGAGTATATATTTTTCAAAATTTTGGCTCGGACATTTTTTAATTTTTTAATTATTTTTTTAATTTTTAAATTATTTTTCATACTTTTGAAATTTCAGGTCAGCCATCTTTGAGATAAAACCAATTTTCTCATTATTATTTCTCATTACAGTAGAGTCTTGCTTATTCAATCTTCGCTCATCCAATATTCTGTATTATCCAATGCAGTCTGCCTCGCACCCGGAATAATGTCCAGGGTGAGAGAGAGAAAGAACCCTTGTCTGTTTTGGTGCTAAATTCGTAAATATAGTAATTACTACATAATGTTACTGTGTATTGAACTGCTTTTTCTGTCGATTTGTTGTAAAATATGATGTTCTGGTGCTTAATTTGTAAAATCATAACGTAATTTGTAAAATCATAACGTTTAATAGGATTTTCCTTAATCCCTCATTATCTAACATTTTCACTTATCCAATGTTCTGCCAACCCGTTTATGTTGGATAAGTGAGACTCTACTCTATTTTTATTTTTTGTGGGACATTCCACATACTTTCCAAAAATACGGGTCGGCAGCCATCTCTGATACAAAGCCATTATTATTATTATTATTATTATTATTATTATTATTTTCTCATTATTTTTCGTACTTTTGAAATTTTGGGTTGGCCATCTTTGGGGTAAAATCCTTTTTCTCGTTGTTTTATTATTTTTTATTTTATTTGTTGGGTATTTCTTATACTTTCCTGAATTTCAGCAGGACGTCTCTGGAGATTTATATTTTGAATGTTGGTGTAATTTGTCCAGACAAGGATTACAAATTCCAGGAATATTTTGAATTTCAGCGGACTATTTCGATAAAAGGATTTGACTAAACGGCATTATTCTGGTGACATTTCAGGATATTTCCGGATTACAAATACCAATAACATTTTGGATTTTGGTGAGATTTATCCAGACAATTATTTGAAAAACAGGATTATAATTTCTGATAATATTTTGAATTTCCGTGGAATATTTCAAGACAAGGATTGACAAAATGGCATTACTCTGGTAACATTTTGGGATTCTTATGAATTTTGGCATTTTGGTGAGATGCATCCAGGTGCATATTTGAGGATTATTACAATTTCTGATAATATTTTGAATTTCAGCAGGATTGTAATTTTCAGGAATATTTTTAATTTTGGGAAAATTTATCCAGAGGTGATATCTATTTGAAGGATTATAATTCTAGTCATATTTTGAATTTTGAAGTGAGATGTATCCAGAGCTTTATAATTTCCATGAATATTTTGATTTTTTTGTGAAATATCTCCAGATGAATATTTTTGGAAGAGGATGATAATTTCTAGTAATATTTTGCGAGATAGATTCAGACAAATATTTGAGGGATTGCAGATTTTCATACATTTTGAATTTTTGGTGATATTACATATACATACATACATTTTATACACACACATATATATATCACCAAAAATTCAAAATATTAGCAGTATTTATATATATTGAGGGATATTGTGAATTTCCCGTGATATTTTGGCAGATATATCCAGATGAATATTTGAAGGATTATAATTTCTACTAATATTTTTAATTTTTCTGAAATATCTCCTCTACAGTATAGACAAGTATTTGAGGAACAGGATTTCAGATTTTTATAATATTATAAAATATATAATGCTATATATATTTTGGGGGATATTATGAATATCTGGTAATATTTCAGACATATATAAGAAAGGCCATTATGGTAAATGGGAAATTTATAGAATTTTGGGATTACCATTAATGTTTCCTTTGTGGGGGGGTTGTTTTTTTCAATGAGAAGAAAACAAAGAGTTTACATTTTATATATATACCACTTCTATTAGTTTGCTTCATTTTTGTGATAATTAAGAATGCATCGGAAATTGCATCATTCACTGCGTTATACCTGGCTTGTTGTTGTTTACTCTTGGCTTGGCACATAAACAACAACAAAAAAAGCTTTGTAATGTAAATAATTATCTTTTTCTAATAAAGTGAGAAAATTTAAATTTCTCTTCGTTTTTATTAGGAGACAAAGCATAGACGGATACAACTGTTCTGCTTATATATCTATATTGTGCTACCTTTCCTTATATCTATCTTTTAAAAATAAAAATAAAATATAAATAATACTTTTTAAAAACCATTAAATGTGAGTCTTGAAAAGGAAACTTTTTAACGGGTCTTTCTTTAGCCTTTAATTTGTCCATTTAATGACTTATTTCTGCCTTTTTTCAAGTAAAGAGCTTTTATTTACCCTTTTACTGCATCAATAATTATCGAACGGGTTTAAAAGCCTATTTGTTTTCCTTCTTGCTCTGTGTTTTTGTAAACTTGGTCCTTTGTTTATTTTTAACTTTAGTTTTTAATTTTATTATTATAACCTTTTTTTAAAAGTGCTTTGTATGTTTTGGGATTGGGAGAAAAAGATAAACTGGATGAAAAACGTATTTTTCTATTTTTTAATTACTTCATATTTTGGGGAAATTGGAAATATATATATATATATATATATATATATATATATATATTCAAAATAATATGAGTCACCTGAGGGCTGAGAAGAGCGGTATACAAGTGAAGTAAATAAATAAATAATAAATAAATAAATTTTAATGTTACATTATTAAGCGCTCTCTCTCTCTCTCTCTCTCTCTCTCTCTCTCTATATATATATATATATATATATTTGTTTTTTATTATTTTATTCTTCGAAATGCTTTGTGTTTTTTGAAAATTGGACGGAAAAAATATATCAATATATGATTTTTTAATAAACAAAATTCAGAACTAATTTTTTTTAACTTTCTTGTTATTTTATTCTTTATGTGTTTTTGGATATTGGATGGAAAAAATAGATATATATTTGTTTTAAAGTAAAAGTAAAGGTTTCCCCTGACATTAAGTCCAGTTGTATCCGAGTCTGGGAGATGGTGCTCATCTCCATTTCTAAGCCGAAGAGCCAGCGTTGTCCATAGACACCTCCAAGATAATGTGGCCGGCATGACTGCATGGCGCATCATTACCTTCCCGCCAAAGCAGTACCTATTGATCTACTCACATTTGCATGTTTTCAAAATACTAGGTTGGCAGAAGCTGAGGCTAACAGCGGGAGCTCACCCCGCTCCCCAGATTCGAACTGCCAACCTTTTGGTCAGCAGCTCAGCAGTTTAACCTGCTGCACCACCATGGGGCCCACTTTTTTGTTTTAATAAATAAAAATCAGAAATAAAAAATGTTTCTTATTTTATTATTAGTGCTTTGGAAATGAGATGGAAAAAATAAAAAGATATATATTTCTATTAATAAAAAAAATCAGAAATTATAATTAAAATACTTTTCTTATTGTTTTATTAAGTGCTTTTGGAAATGGGATGGGAAAAAATAAATCAATATATACTTCTTTTGATAAAATTCAAAAATAATAATGATTTTAATTACTTTACTTATCATTTTATTATTTTAAGTGCTTTTGGAAATGGGATAGAAAGTATATTTGTTCTAAAAAAATACAAAAATACTAATAAAATTTCATTTTATTGTTGTTATTTATATTTTACAAAAATACTAATAATACTAATATTTACTAATACTAATATTAGTACATATTTACTAATATGTACTAATATTTACAAAAATACTAATAAAATTTCATTTTATTGTTGTTATTTATATTGCTTTGTGTTTTTGGAAAACCATACAGAAAACTATATAGGTATATAGGTATTTTTAATATAAATTATGGAAATAATATTTTTAATTCTGTTTTAAGTGACAAAACAGAAGACGCCCAAAGGCTTTCTTTGGTTTAAAAAAAGAATAAAATGTAAAATATTCAGGTTTTTTAAAAAATAAATCTTTTAATGGAGTTTTAATGGGGCTTTTTCTAAAAGGATAATAAAAAGGTGAATTTCCTTGTTTTTCTATGACCCTCAAAGGGCTAATTTCCACACAAATAAAGGGAAATAAAGGCCTTAAGTGGGTTTTTATGGCTTTCAGTCTAAAAGCTTCCTTTTATTTTATCTTCTTTTAAATCCTTTTACAAAAGTCTTGAAGAGAAAATATTTTTTAAAAAATAATACAAGTATAAAATACCAAATATAATAGTAATGCATCAGATTTAATTCCATTAGATTTATTTTATAATGTCGCAATAATATATTTAAATTAAGAAAAATAAATATAAGAATAAAATATCAAATATCACAATAATAATATACATCAGATTTAATTTAATCAAACTTATTTCCTGAATGTGTTTTAATTCTTAACAGGGAGACATTAAGTTTACTCTTAGAGGAATAATAATAGAATATAATTATAGAAGCATAATGACAATGTCTTATTATTATTTATAGAGTAATAATATAATAATAGTGATTCCAGAATCTAGTCATCTCTGTTATTTCTTTGTATTAATAACAATAATAATAATAATGTCTTATTATTTTGAGAATCAGGGGACTCTATTATTACTTATAAAATAATAATCTGTCATTATTATTATTATTATTATTTTGAGAGTAGTAGAATAATAATTCCAGAATCTAGGCATTTCTGTTATTACTTTGTATTATTATTATTGTATATTATTATTGTTATTACTTTTTCAAATATAATAAAATTGTAAACGTTAGCCTGTAGAGAAGGTCCTCCTCCATTACATCCAGTGATATATATTCCTTTTCTGCAATGCAGCTAGTCACTTAAATCGACTCTGAATTAAAGCGAGGCTTTTAATTGACAAAAGGGTAATTACTCCCCCTCTCTTTTCCCCCCATGATGCCCTTTCCCCCCCCCCCCCTTTTAATCCTCTTCTATAAAAGGGGCGATTTGGACCTTTTTTTAGAGAAGAAGAAGCTAGGCTCCCATTGAATCCAATGCAGACGGAAACATGGAAGACAGCACCCAAAGTCAGGAAGAATTATTATTATTATTATTATTATTATTATTATTATGGCTTAGAAGAATCCATTTCTACTCTGTATTATATATATATTACTGCCTATCTATTATTCTTATTATGGCTTAGAAGAATCAATTCCTATAGTATATTATTGTATTATATATGTATTACTATGTTTTATTATTGTTATAACTATTATTGGCTGAGAAGCATCCATTCCTATAGTATTTATATATGTGTGTGTGCATTTATGCATTATTATTATTATTATTATGGCTTATAAGGGTCCATTCCTATATTATGTATATATTACTATATTATTATATTACTATTACGGCTTTGCAGAAACTATTCCTATATTATATTATAATTATATTTTTTTCGCTTTGTATTTATTCCAATATTATGTATTTCTCTCATTCTTGTTAGTTTGGCTTGGAAGTATCCATGCCCACCCACCCACACATGCATGCATACACACATACATACATACTTTGGTTTAGAAGCATCCATTCCTGTATTATTATTATTATTATTATTATTATTATTATTATTATGGCTTTGGAGAATTGATTCCTATATTATGTATTTTTCTCATTCTTCATAGTTTGGCTTGGAAGGACTCATAATTATTACTTTGACTTACAAGTGTCCATTCCAATATTATATATTATTATTATTATTATTATTATTATTATTATTATTATTATTATTATTTTGGTTTTGGATAACTTCCCATATTATGTATTTTTCTCATTCTTTTTTGTTTGTCTTAGAAGGATCCATCCTTATGTTATTATAACTTTGGATTAGAAGCGTCTATTCATATATTATATATAATTATTATTTTGACCGTGGATATTTTGTTCCTGTATTATGTATTTTTCTTGTTATTATTATGGCTTTGAAGGATCAATTCCTATATTACGTATTATTATCATTATCATTATCATTATTATATCCCAACATTCCCTTTTCCAAATACGGGGGTGATGAGTTGTCTTCTTGTTGTTGTTGTTATTATTTTATTACTATTTTCTTCCCCAGCATCTTCCTCTTCCATTGAGGTCACTTTGGAGGATCGGGAACTTTGGGAGAAATTCCATCAAATTGGGACTGAGATGATAATCACCAAAAATGGGAGGTGAGTTTGAGCTCCATATTATAATTTACTGTCATTTATTCACTTTTTTATTTTTTCTTAATTCATTTTTAATTTTTGTATTTTTCTTCATAATTTTTCTTAGTATATTCTTAATTTATTTTCTTATTTTTCATATTATTTTTTCTTTTTTTGTATTATTTAATTCGTTTTGTATTATTTTTCTTATTCTTATTTTTCTTGTTTTTCATATTTATGTATTTATTTATTTACCCTATTATACCCCACCTTTCTCAACCCTAAGGGGGACTCAAGGTGGCTAACATATGGCAGTTACTCAATGCCTTAAACACATACAACATTAAGCTTAAAATGTATTGAATTAAAATTAATACATATTAAAATTTTAAAAATTATATTCAATATTAAAATTATATTTCTTATTTTTCTTAATTTATTTCTTGTTTTTCATATTATTTTTCTTCAGTTTTTTAATTCTTTTCTTGTTTTTTTGTATCATTTTTTTAAAAAAATCTTTATATATTTTCCTTGTTTTTCATATTATTTTCCTCCATATTTTCTCCTAATTTATTCTTTTTCTTAATTTTTCATATTATTTTTCTTATTTTCCATTTTTCTTAATTTATTATTTTTTCTTAATTCTTATTTTTTGTATTACTTGTTTCTTAATTTATTTTTTAATTTTCCTTAGATTTTCTTCTTTCTCTGTTGTTTTTCCTTCTCAAGGCGCATGTTTCCTCAATGCAAGATCAAAGTGAGTGGATTGCTTTCTGAAGCCAAGTATCTCATGATGGTGGACTTTGTTCCTCTGGATAATTTCCGTTATAAGGTACAAAAAATAATCAGTTTTTTAACAATTTTCTGATGTATTTCATAGAAAAAAAGATTTAAAAATAATTTTATGATAAATTTCATAGAAAATACAATCTTATTTTTGATATTTTTTGTGGTATATATTATAGAAAAATATAATTGTTTTAAAATAACCCTATTTTAAATACACTGTGATATGTTTAATAGAACAGTAGTTCAGTTCTTAATAATTTTATATATTTCATGGAAAAATTAACTCAATGTTTAATAATTTTGTGATATATTTTATATATAAATAAAACTATCCTATTTTAAATAATTTTGTATATTTAATAGAAAAAAATCTGATTTTTGATCATTTTTGTGGTATATTTTATAGAAAAATAGATTTGTTTTTAATCCTATTTGAAATACATTATGTGATATATTTAATAGAAAAATAGCCCAGTTCTTAATAATTTATAATAGGAAAAATAATCCAGTTGGTAATTTTATATTTTTAATAATTTTGATATGTTTTATATTCTTATCCAATTTTATATACTTTTTGTTGTTTCATAGAAAAAACATCCAATTAATAATTTTATGATATAGAAAAAATTAAATTAAATTGATTGTGTTGTCCCCCTCTGTGTCTGTCAGTGGGCGAAGGACCAATGGGAGGTGTCTGGGAAGGCAGAGCCCCGCCCCCCACCCCGGACCTACCTGCACCCAGACTCTCCATCCCTCGGCTCCCATTGGATGAAGCAGGCTGTCTCCTTCCAGAAGCTCAAGCTCACCAACAACACCCTGGACCCCCAGGGACACGTAAGGAACCGCCCCCTTCCAAGATGGCCACCAAATAATCATGCCCCTTCCTGCCCCCCCCCCCCCGAGATGGCCGTCATGGGATCGTCAAATAGGAATCAAAATAAATGGAAATTCAAACATGGCCACAAGTAAATCATCAAATATGAATAAAATAAAATGAGTATTAAAATATTCGGTAATTCATAAAATATGAATAAAATATTATAAAACGATCATTAACATATGGCAGCCAGTAAATAATCAAATATGAATAAAGGAAAACAATATTGAAATTGACTGATTTATATGTATATTTCCCGTCCAAAGTTTCCAAGAAGGAAAAACACTTTAAAAAAACTCCACAATAAATTAAATAATAAACAATTTAATTAATTATTTAATTGCAACCAATTTCCGAAAGTACAACTTTAAAAAAATAAAGAATAAAATATAAATAAAATAATTAAAATATTATTTTTGTCTGATGAATATGTATTCACTCTCCATCCAAAAAGAGCACAATAATAATGAAATAGTAAAATATGAAATGAAATAATACTAAATAAAATAAAACAATAAAAATGAATTTGTCCCGTTTCCAAAAAATAACACACTTTAAAAAGAAATAAAAACAATAAAAACATTTGAGGAGAGATTTATTATTATTATAAATGAAATAAAATGAAATAAATAAAAATATTTTGTCCCATTTCCAAAAACACAAAAAAATGCAATAATAAAATAAAATGATAACCAATAATATCACCCAATTTTCAAAAACATGAAAAAAACAAAAATAATTAATAAATCATATGTATGTACGTGTGTGTATATATATATCTCCAATTTCCCATAAACATGAAAAAGGGACAATGAATGAATGAATAAATAATATATTTTCATCCAATTTTCAAAAACAAAAGGAACAATTAAAATCAAATAATGTAATAAAAAATTAGATCCTGCCGCCATTGAATACAGCCATCAACCCTTTCACCCCAAAATGACTGCCACAAGCCCCCCCCCCCCCCATATGGCCTCTATTTCCCTTTCCAAGATGACTGTCTCTCTTCACAGGTGATCCTCCACTCAATGCACCGCTATCAGCCCCGGTTCCATGTTCTCCGTGCAGAAGACAGTCAAGATGGCGGTCGATGGAGCTCCTTTCGAACCTTTCTATTCCCGGAGACGGCCTTCACCTCCGTCACGGCCTACCAGAACCAGGAGGTGAGGGGCAGCAACCTTTGACACAACCCCTGACCTTTCACACGACACATTACTAATGTTAATATCTTTGTTGCTTAGATCACGAAACTGAAAATATACAATAATCCGTTCGCGAAGGGCTTCAGGGATCAAGGAGGGAACGCTTCTCGGTGAGTCCGATATTTATTACTGTATGTTTATAGACATGTCTGTATTATATTTAGAACATTTATTTATTGTATTTGTACATATATTTGTTACATTTTGTATGTTTATAAAATTCTTTGATTATATTTCTAAAAATATATGTTTAGTGTATATTTATTTATTATATGTATTATATTTGTATCTTATATTTATAACATTTATTTAGCATATTTGTACATATAATATCTGTATGTTATATTATAACATTTATTTATTAATTATATTTGTATATTATCAAATTATATTTGATAATTTACAAATTTAGTGTATATACTAGCTTGGGTACCCAGCGGTGCCCAGGTTATTTGAAAAGACAATTGTTGGTTTTTGGATGTTAGGTAATATTCCCCAACCCTGCCAGTATTCACAGTTGGCCATGTTGGGTCTGTGTGCCAAGTTTCGTCTAGATCCATCGTCAGCTGGGTTCAGTGCTCTCTGATAAGGGAGAACTACAACTCCTGTATTCCAGGGTTAATCACCCCCAAAACCCGCCTGTATGCACAGTTGGCCATGTTGGGTCTGTGTATCAAGTGTGGTCCAGATCCATCATCTGCTGGGATCAATGTTCTCTGAATACGGGTGAACTACAACTCCCACGTTCGAACATCAACTCTCTTCGAACCATGCGAATATGCATATTTGGCCATGTTGAGTCTGTGCCAAGTTGGGTCGAGATTCCTCATTTGCTGGATTCAGTATTCTCTGAATACAGGTGAACTATAAGTCTGGTGCCAAGGTCAATCACCCGCAAAGCCTGCCAGTATTCACAATTGGCCATCTTGGGTCTATGTGCCAAGTTTGGTCCAGATCCACCACTTGCTGGGTTCAGTGCTCTCTGAATACAGGTGAACTATAACTCTCTGATGCCAAGGTCAGTCACCCAAAAGTCCACCAGTATGAAAAGGTAGTGTTGTGTACTAAGTTTGGTCCAGACCCGTCATTGGTGGAGTTCAGAGGGCTTACGAAGTACAGGTGAACTATAATTCCCAGTGTTAAAGGTCAACCACTCCCAAAGTCCACCAGCATTCCCAGTTGGCCATGTTGAAGTTGTGTGCCATATTTGGTCCAGATCCATCATCAGATGGGTTCAGTGTTTTCTGAACACAGGTGAACTCCTGGATGTCAAGGTCAATCAGCCACAAACTCTGCCAGTATGCCAAGTTGGCCATGTTGGGTCTGTGTGCCAAGTTAGTTCCAGGTCTATCTTGGTGGGGTTCAGAGTGCTCTTAGATTGGAGGTGAACTATACATCCCAGTACCAACAACTTCTATAAATCATGGTGAATTCTCCCCAAACCTCTCTCTCTAGTATGTTCAGTTGTTGTGTGCCATACGAAAGGGTAGGAAAGGGTTAAGGAAGAGGCAGTGGGCAAGGTCATGCAAATTCCACACCAGTGGAGAGAGAAAGGAACACTGGGACGTGGCGCCCACTGTAACCTACAATGTCAGTGGAGGGAGGGCTTTGATGTGATGTGAGTTAAAGCTGTATTTGGAGGCCAAAGATTGACTGTATAAGCGGACACCCCTGCCACATACACACATACAAATATTATTATGTGTACAGACAGATAGGTAGTATTTATCATATTTATTTACCTAATTTTTATATGGGTTTATTACATGTATCACAATATTTATATTTATATCATGTTTATTATATATTTATATTTATATCCCACTTTTATCATTTGTCATATTTATTTACGTAATATTTGTTGTATTATAAGTAAATGAAATAAGATTTTAAAAATATACTAAATGTGGGGTATAATTAAATGGAATTGTAAATATTAAAAGTAAATATAACCATAAATGATATAAAGTATAAATAAAGTATAATTAAGGATAATAATGAATATTAAAATATAATATAAAATACAGTAAATATTATAAATGAATACAATATAATATAGTAAATGTGGGGCAGTTCATACCTTCTTCTAAAGTTTTTAATGCTTCCAGCACCTGGATTGGTTGCTTAACATCAAAAATATACCAACAGTTTCCCCATCGTGGTCTCTGTGAAATCACACATATAGCATTTCCTGCGCCTGCGAAGTCAGTTTGGAATCTTCTAGAACTCTAAGATACATTTTGGCAGAAGCCCTGCCCACACTCCCCATGGAGGTATATAGCCAGTGGGAGGGGCTACCGCCTCAGTTCCTTTTATCTGCCGCCATTGCAGCACCTTAGTAATCTCTTGTTTTTAGACGAGCTTCCTTTTTACGTCATTGTGATAGACTAGGACTGCTTTTGACTATTTTTCTTGTGTTCTTCGGCTAGATATTTTTATCTCGGGCAAGTATGTCTTCTTCCTCTTTTTTGTTAACTACTTGGCTTGTGAGGGGAAGTTGTCTGACACAGAAGGGCATGTATGCACGTATTGCAATTCTCTGCTAAGGAGAAGGCCATGCAGTACAATCTGCAGCGTATGCCTTCACTCCCCAGGCTCGCAAATCGCAACTCTTGGCCCATATCACTGCTTTACAATAGAGCCCCCTCCTCAACGAAAAAGAGTCTGGCATTGGACCATTCTGTGTCTTGTTATTTGAAACTAGGGAACCACCCTTGACAATTACAGCATGGTGGTGGGCACTTAAATATTGGCTCAAGATCACAATTTTCAGTTTAGGATCTGGTCTGATTCACCATTTAGCTCAGGATGAGCATATAAGCAGCTAGTTTAAAATCAGTTCTAAGAAAGCCTCCTCCATCCGTCTTTCCGTATTCTCCTAACTCACCTGGTTTTCAATATGGCTCTTAAATCAATCAGAGACTGTGGGATATTGCCTTTTGTGCACTGTGCTCTCATTCATATGTATCTTGCTCCCCAAGTGCCCTGTCCATATAGTATATTGGGACTTTCCATGCAGCAAATCATTTCAAGAACTTGGTTGTGGCCAAATACTGCTGCCTGTTTTTCAAGGCAAGGTGAAATGTGTTCCCGTCTGAACTGCTGCGTGGGAGATTTGCTGGTATCCCATGTAATGAACGACTCTGCCTATGTAACAAGCAGGAAGTGGAATGTACCTACCATATTCTACTGTCATGCAGTTTTTATGAATAATCTCAAGCACACATCATTAGTCGCCTACTGAGAAATTTAAAGCTAGTCCAGTGAAATTTTATGTGAAGTTTTTACTTGGCGATCACCATCCTCATGTGACCCTGACTGTTACCAAGTTTCGTTCCGAGCCAGCCGGGATTAGACAATTCTCCATTTCAGACACAGGCTGAACCATTTTTGGTACCTTTTGTAGTCTTTTACCTACGCTCATAGCCATCAGATTTAATCCCCTATTTTAATCTGTTTTAACTGTTGCTAATTTGATCCAACTGTGTTAAATCAACCAGCTGTTGTTAATTTTATTATAGCAAAAAGGGTCTTTGGACCATAATAAAATGTTCTTGTTGTTGATATATAAAAATATAATATATAATAGAATAGAATACAGTAATTATAAAAATACAAATTATAACAGAAAATATTATATAAATGAAGAATTCTTAAAATTTTTGAATCTTTCAAAAGGGAGGGGAGGGTCCAACGGAAGAGGAAGAAGGAGGAGTCCAAATCGAAGATGGCTGCCAACCAGAGAGGTATTTCCTGTTGGCCGGGTTTTGGGACCCACCCTGGTGGACAAAGCGGACATCTTGGTTTTATTCCCTTCTGATTAGTAGAGCGGATGGATTCATCGATTGTTGGGAAAGTGGCGGAAGAAAACGAGGAAGAGGAGGAAGGCAGCCTTTGCCCTGACGAGTGGCCCGACGGACGCCATTTTGGGCCTTTTCCAGCAAAAATGGCCGAAGGCCCTTACAGGTAGAAGCAGCTAATAATGATGATGATGATAATAAAAATGATATGATTACAATTGATATAACCAGTTGTAAATTATGGGATTAAAATATATATTTATCGTCTATTTTATGTTTCGGCATTGAATGTTTACGGTATATATGCAGTGCTCCCCCCATCCCCCCCCCCCCGGAACATTCAGTGCCGGAACATAAAATAAACTATGAATATACAGAAACAATAAAAACACTAAAATCAATTATCTCCACTTTAAAATCAATTGTTTAAACCATCTCAGATCAGCCATACCGGATCTGGTATATATATAGTGCAATTACAAATAATTCATATGTACGTAATATAATTTATATGTGTGTGTGACTTGTCCTCTCTTCTGTTCCTTCTTTTGGCAGGTTCCTCCCGGAGACTGACGACCTTTGGCCCCGCCCCCCTCCAACAGACTTCCCCCCAAAGGTCATGACCCCTGACCCGGGCCCCTCCCCGTTCCGGCCTGCCTTTCCAGAGCAGGCCTTTGGGGCCCAATGGATGGTGGCCCCTCCCCCTTACTGCCCAGTGGCCTTCCCTGCTGAGTTCGGGGGGTCACAGGGAGGTCACGCCCCGGGGTCACCGTGTCCCTTCTTCCCTTATTGGTGATAGTAGAATCGGAAAGAATAAAAAGGGATGTTAAATGGGGATGTGATGTTGTCATTTCCTTTTGTCCTGCTTTTTCTCTCCATACGGAAACACAAAGTGGCTCACAACTAAGCATTAAAATGCAACTTAAAATATACAAATATTATTATGTTTTATATTTATTATATATTGTTTAATGTTTTATAATGTATTATTTTGTTCTATTTTTATATTTCTTTTTGTCAGTGGTTCCTCTCCAATCTGCCTATATATATATTATTTTATTGCAATATTACTTTACATTACTAAGTCATTTTATATTTATTATTGTATGGTTACATTATATTTTATTTTAGCATTACTCTATATTACTTCTATATCATTTATTATTGTATTATATTTTATATTTATTTTATACTGTATTATATGCTTTTCTATTATTGGATTATGGATAAAGTTGTTATTTTAGATGTATTACTATTAAACATTGTATTATATTTGGTTTATTATATAACAATGTATTATTTTGTTATATTTACACAAAATCAATTTTCATTATATTTATTGTTGTATGGTATTACATTTTATTATTGACATTATAATGCATGCTTTAATAAGTTAGGGAATTGTACAATTATGTCTAATTTTAAAATGAAGTATATTTATCCCTAATTTTATAGTATCAAATACCAATATTTGTAATTATTTAAGAGAATTTATTATTCAAAATATCACACAAATATTTAGAATTAAGGCAGTATTATCCTCAATTTGAAATAACACACAAATAAAAATATGTTGAGGTTATTGTGGAAATTGAGATAAATATCTAAAAATAAATAAGAAATATAATTTAAAAATTTAAAAATATATTAAGTGTGTATTAAGATCTCCAAAACCCACTTAACCTCTCTAGGAAATTTCTATGTCCTCCAAGGCAACTCTATGGTTTGCCACTGGAAATGAGGTAATTTTGATGCTGTTGCCAGCCAAAACCATCATTTTCATGCAGAAATACATACACAGATATGTCAATGGATTGGAGCAGCGAATTACCATTTTTAAGTAAACTCTCTCTCTCTCTCTCTCTCTCTCTCTATAATATTTGTACAATTTTTAAAAAGGTGCTGACCATAAGTTTTTGTTTCGAAGAATATATATTTAATACTGTTAAAAAATCTGTAGCATAGAAAATTAATAAAAATAAAAATATCACTAATCAGTGGTTTCCTCAAAAATAAGACTTTTTCCCATCTAAAATAAACCGTTAAAATACATTATTGCCTTTAAATCTGAAGGATATTTTTTCCACTCAAAACACACACATAATGAAATAAAAGGACATTACATTTTAAAAAAGAAAATTACATTTTTTTTCACATAATTATCCCTCATGTGACACACAATTTATTCAGCCATTTCCATGGCGTGGGAAAATGTATTTAAAAATGGCGAAAATTCCACCCATTTTGGAAGAACAAGAGAAATAAAGGTTATCCATCATCATCATTAAATATCCATTAACACAACAAAGCTCAGTAGTACTAATATTTTGTGAGAATTTTTCCCCTTAAAAAGTTGGAAAAAATAACATTGAAAAGAAATAACATCCATAAATGGAAGGCATTTTTTCACATTGAAAAATATCCAGAATTTTCTGTCCATTTCCGGATCAAACCACACAAAACAATGCAATTTTTCCCTCTTCATTTTACCACAAAAAAATCAATTGCCCCTTGATTTTACCACACAAAAATTATTCAAATTAAGGCACTTTCATTTGATAATACTGAGTGGAACACTTAAAATACTTGCCCCAAAATATCCAGAATAATTGTACAATTTTCTTCAATATCCAACATTCAAGTTGCTGCATAGTTTGTTATATATATATTTGTGTGTGTGTGTGTATAATTATTCCTTGTAGGTTGTATTATTTTTTTTTCTTTTCAATCATTCCTTGTTCTGAAGAAATTCTGGATTTTTTTAATGGTGGAAATTAACAATTTTAGCGATTATCAAAGCCAAAAATAAAGTGACAGCGAAAATCACTCAAAAATAGCAGAATTTTAGGCAAAATGAGCTAAAAATAATAAAAACATGATATAAATAGCGGGGGAAAAGTCACAATTATTCCTTTGTTAATAAGCAAAAGTTCCTCAAAATGCATTGTTCTTTACTTTGAAAAATTAGAAATAAAATCCATCAAGTCTTCATATATACATATATATATATATATATATATATATATATATATATATATATATAATATAATGTATAAAACATTTTTAAAAAATTGTTCTTCACTGGGGAAAAAGTTATTGGTTCCCTCCATTTGGAAAGTTGCTTTGTTTCCCATCCTTTGATGGACGAAAACGGTGGGGAAAAACGTATTAAATGATTCCGAAAACAAAGCTCTCGTTGAGAAGAAAACAAAACAGGAAGTGAAAGGGAAGGTCATTCATTCTCATCCGGGTTTTGAGGGTCGATGATTCGGACGTGCGTGAAAGGGAAGAGGCCCCTCCGGCCCTGGATCTCGCCCTCCCATTGGCCATTGATGTTCATCCGGGTCACTCTCACGAGGTCACCAACCTGAAAGAGACCCAAGGAGGCAATATGGAAAAAAAGAATCCGATTTTTATTCATTTTTATTTTATAGGAAAAATCAGATTTGTGATAATTTAAAATGGTCCCATTTTTTAATAATTTCTGTGGTACATATTTTATTGGAAAAAAATCCAATTTTTAATATTTTTGTGATATATTTCATAGGGAAAATGATCCGATTCTTAAGAGGTTTTATAGTATATTTCATAGAAATATTTTGTAGAAATAAATCATCCCATTTTTATCCATTGTTGTGGTATACTGAATAAAAATCCTATCACTATAATTATATTTTATAGAAATAAATGATCTCATTTCTAATAACTTTGTGGTATATTTAATAGTAAACTTATTAAATATTGCTACTATAGTTACTAATATATGATTATACTATTATATTATTACACTACAATTAAACATCGCTTTTATTATGTTATAGTTACTATATTATTACACTATTATATGATGATTATTATTATTATTATTATTAAGTACTAGTTTTGGGGCCCGGCAATGCCTGGGTTATTTAAAAAAGCATTATATGTGTGGGGTTGTTAGATAATATCACTTAGGTAATCTGTAACGCTATTCGAAAAAAACAGTCATTTTTTATGAATGCTTTCATTAGAAAATACATAAGGATGTGGGTGAACTACAATTCGCAGAATCATGGGTCAATCCTCCCCAAACCCTGTCAGTATTCACAGTTGGGTCTGTGTACCAGGTTTGGTCCAGATCAGTCGTTGGCTGGATTCAGTACTCTCTGGGTGCAGGTGAACTACAACCCCAAAATCAAGGTCAATTCCCACAAAGCCCTACAGTATGTTCACTTGGTCATGGGGCTTCTGTGCCAAGTTTGGTCCCGGTTCATTGTTGGTGGAGGTCAGTTTCTCTGGATGAAGGTGAACTATAACGCCCATAAATCAAGGTAAAATTTCCCCAAAAATCTCCAGTATGTTCTGTTGGTGATGGGGATTCTGTGTGCCAAGTTTGGTCCTGATTCGTCATCGGTGGGGGTCACAGTCCCCTGTGGAAGTGAGTGAAGGTACTGCAAATCCCATCATCTGTAGTCCATCCTCCCCCAAACTGCACCAGGACTTAAGGTGGGTCATGGGGGTCTGTGTGCCAAGTTTAGTCCAGGGCTGTCATTCATGGGAGTCACAGTCTGAGGGAGCCAAACTGAAGGTACTGCAAATCCCATAATCCATGGTCCATCCTCCGCCAAACCTCACCAGGATGTAAAGTGAGTCTGTGTGCCAAGTTTGGTCCAGCTCTGTTATCAGTGGGGGTCACAGTGGCCTGTAGACATGGAAGCCATCAGAATCCACATACATACATAGATTCACAAATACCGGCTTTTATTATATAGATAGAAGATAGCTATAGATGGATTTTATTATGTTGTTATTACTATATTATTATCACACAATTATATCACTCTTATTAAATATGTCTGAGTATGATGGCCTTCCAAGTGTAGGGTCTTGTCAGTGGGTCCGTAGGTGGCTGTAGAGACCAATTTTCGACCTGCATGTTCTTCCACAGTGAGGGCATCTCCCTTTCACCCTCCATTTGTGCCTCAGCGCAATTCCACAGCACTCCTGGTCATAGCTCACCTCCAGTTAGATGCTCAAGGGCCAGTGCTTCCCAGTTCTCAGTGTCTATGCCACAGTTTTTGTTATCTTTAACTCCAACTTTACATCTCTTTTCCTGTCCACCAACATTCCGTTTTCGAGTTGGGAGTAAAGTAACTGCTTTGGGAGATGGTGATCTTTGGGCATTTGGACAATGTGGCTACGAGTCCAGCGGAGTTGATAGCAGAGGATCATTGCTTCAATGGAGCCCCCGGTGGCGCAGTGGGTTAAACCCCTGTGTCGGCAGGACTGAAGACCGACAGGTCGCAGGGTCAAATCCCAGGAGAGGCGGATGAGCTCCCTCTATCAGCTCCAGCTCCCCATGCGGGGAAATGAGAGAAACCTCCCACAAGGACGATAAAAACATCAAATCATCCCCGCGTCCCCTGGGCGACGTCCTTGCACACGGCCAATTATCTCACACCAGAAGCGACTTGCAGTTTCTCAAGTCGCTCCTGACACGACAAAAAAAAAAAATTGCTTCAATGCTGGCAGTCTTTGTTTCTTCCAGAACGCTGATGATTGTCCACCTGTCTTCCCAAGAGATTTGCAGGATTTTTAGGAGACAACACTGATGGAATTGTTCCAAGCTGCCCCAAGTGTCTTTGGGGAGATGGTGGTGGAGTAGAAATAAAGATGATGATGATGAACCTGGTATCCCTATGAATATGCTGATCCTCAAACACTCTTTGCTGCATTCGCAGAGCTCAGACGATGTTGTATTTCAGTGTCAATGTTGACTTTTGTAGAGAGGTGGCTGCCAAGGTAGTGGAAATGGTCAACATTTTCTAATGTTACACCATTAAGCTATACTTCTGGCATTGCAGAAGGATTGGCTGGTACCTTTTGCTGAAAGAGCACTTTGGTTTTCTTGATGTTCAGCGAGGCTGAGCTTCTTGTATGCTTCTGCAAAGGCATTTAGAATGGCTTGTAGGTCTTCTGCATGAGCACAGACTACGTTCTCATCAGCATATTGGAGTTCTATAACAGATGTTGTTGTGACTTTGGTTTTGAGTTTCAGTCTGCTATGGTTAAATAGCTTGCCATCTGTCGGATAGATGACTTGCACTCCGGTGGGAAGCTTCCCATCAACAAGATGAAGCACCATAGCGAAGAAGGTGGAGAATAATAACACATCCCTGTTTGACACCTGATTCCACCTTAAATGGGTCACTTTGGGATCTACTGCTGTCCAAGACTGTTGCCATCATGTCATTGTGGAGGAGCCGCAGGAGGTTCATAAATTGTCAGGACGTCTGATTTTTTGGAGGATGGTCCAGAGAGCAGTGCTATTTGCTGTGTCAAATGTGTCTGCAAGGTCAATGAATGCCATGTACAGAGGCTGGTTTTGCTCCCTTCATTTTTCTTGGAGCTGTTGTGCAATGAATATCATGTTCACTATTCCTCTGGAGGGGTGGAAGCCATTCTGGGAGGGTGTCTTCTGAGACCAGTAGAAGGTGGTTTACAAGGATTCTTGCAAGGATTTTCCCAGCGGAGGTTAGAAGGGAGATGCCCTCGATAAGTTTCCACATTCTGTTCTTTCCTCCTTGAAAGGGGTGATGAGAGATGTTTGCTGATGTCGACGGGTGCTTTGGACATGTGCTTCACCAGGTAGTTTCTGATAGGTGCATTATTTATTCTTCTTCAGGCAGTCCCTTCCAGGTGGTGTAGCCTCCTTTTTTTTTCCTTCAGCTGCCCCTCTACTGCTCTCCAGGTCTCATGAAGTGCTGCTAGGTCGATGTTAAAGCATCCCACCTCCCTTGCAATAGTAGCAGTTCTGCATTCAGGGCATTCACAGTCTGTGTTGTCCAACAGTGTTCCAAAGTTCTTTTTTTTTGTTTTGGCCGCAAGGTGGTGACCCGTCTGGACTCAGTAGTTCAGTCAGGGATGAGAGAGACAGGCTATGTTTAGGGCACCTTTTCTAGCCCCTTTCCCTGTGAGGTGAGCAGAGTGGATCCTAAACAGGGCTGCTCAGTTACTCAACTGCCTCGGACCTTGAGGTAGAATGACTGAATCCACATCCACCACCCATGTGCCAGTCTGACTTGGGGCTTCCAGATTTAAGAGTCTTGCTCCCACTGTCACTCGTTGATCACCATAGAAGTTTTGTTGGTTTTTTTTTCTTGGAGGATGCCTGTACATGAGTTTTTATATGTGGAGGTCAATGCACAGCTGATCACCGGAGTCTTCAAAGAATGAATGTCCCAACCAGTGGGATGGTTAACACAATGATGGTGACTTCTCAATCTGTTGCAACCTCCTTCCGCCTTCACAGCTGTTGTAATATTTATCATGTTGTTTTCTGCCTGATCTATCATTGAGGTCTTCAGATTGCGGCCCCTCCTGGGAGTACATAACTCCAACAGTTACGCCTGCAGGTTCAATGGAACATGCAATCCCCTTTACCACAAAGTGGGAATCCATTGAGAGAATTATTACTGCACTATATTATTATTACACCATTGCCCTCGGTGGTGCAGTGGGTTAAAGCACTGTGCTGGCAGGACTGAAGACTGACAGGTTGCAGGTTCGAATCCGGAGAGAGGCAGATGAGCTCCCTCTATTAGCTCCAGCTCCTCATGCGGGGACATGAGAGAAGCCTCCCACAAGGATGATAAAACATCAAAAAATCATCCAGGCGTCCCCTGGGCAACGTCCTTGAAGACGGCCAATTCTCTCACAACAGGAGCGGTTGCTCCTGACACAACAAAAAAAAATTACACCATTATATGATCATTATTATTAAATATGGTTTTTATTATATTGTTATTAGTATTACTATATTATATAATTACACTGATATAATATATTATTGAGTGCATACCTCGAGGGCGAGGGCAGACTTGTCATAGGCGCAGGGAACCCTCCTCTGGACAGCTTTTGCGAAGACGGGGCCCTTCTGGGTGGCGGGGGAGGCATGTCCCTGGGGCTGGGCATAGGCATGGGCAGGCTCTGGGAGGCTATAGCGCCCACCTGCAGCCACGGCCCCTTTGCTGGCCAGCCTGTGGACGTAGGGGACGGGGATCATGCCCCGGCGGCCCTCCTTGTTACGGGCACGCCACCACTGCTCCTCCGGCTTCTCTTCAATGGACAGCACTTCCCCCTTCTTGAACGGGAGGTCCTCTGCATCATTCCCGGCGAAGTCATACAGTGTCCGCACCAGCTCTGTGGCCCCTTCCAATGGGAAAGAGGGGGGTTGGCCAGGGGCTGGCAGGGTAGCAGCACACCTGAGGAGGGGGAGAAGGGGGCCATCATCCTAAGAATGCCTCTGCCACTGGCTGGGCTGCACCCCTCTCTGCTCCCCCCTGCCTGCCTGGAAAACTCACCTGGGGAGTGGTTCTCGGAGGGTAGTGGTGTCAAGGTAGTGGTCCCGGTAGAAGTCCAAGAGATCAGGAAGACTCTGGAACTGCTGCTCCCCAATGCGGAAGAGGCCCTTGCCACCCCCGCTGCTGGGGAGGGAGTTGATGATGTAGTGGGAGACCCGGCCGTTCTCTGAGACCGACAGGACGTAGTCCCCGGGGCACGTGGAGGAGTCCCGCACCAGGAAGGTCCCCGGGCGCTGGCCTTGCAGCCGGGAGGCCGCTTCCCACCGCCCCAGTCGCCCCGCGTACCACAAGGAAAGCTCCCAGGACACCTCCGGGACGGAGGAGGGAGACGACGACGACGACATGCTCCCCCCAGCGGTCAGGAGTCCCCTTCCAAAAGGCACACGCAGGCACTTCTCACCTCTGAAAACCTAAAGACAGGCACCTGGTACGTCCAAAGGAGGCGGGTTTCACCTCAGAAAAGGAAGGATTTTTCTCAGATAAATCCAAGGGAGGCAATTTTCCCCACAGGAGACAAATAGGGGCACTTTTAACCTCAGAAAATGTGAAGAGTGGCAGCTTTCACATCAGAAGACACCAAAGGAGGCAGGTTTCATCTCTGAAAAGGCCAAAGGAGGTAGAAAATATGAAGAGAGGCACTTTTTACCTCAGAAAATGTGAAGAGAGGCACATTTTAAGTCAGAAAATGTAAATACTGGCACTTTCCCCCCAGAAAAGGCAGGATTTTCCTCAGAAAAATTCAAGGGAAGCCAGTTGTACCTTGGAAAAGGCAAAGGGATGCACTTTTCACCTCAGAAAATGTGAAGGGAGGCACCTTTATCTTAGAAAATGCCTTTTTCCCCCAGAAAATTCCCAACGGAGAAGGTTTTCCCTTAGGAAAATGCTTCTCTTACCTTGGAAAATGCAAATAGCGGCACTTTTGCCCCTGAAAAGGCAATGTTTACCTTGGGAAAAGCTAAAGGAGATGCTTTTTACCTCCGGAAAATCAAATGGAGGACCCTTTGCTTCAAAAAGTACACTGAGGGCAAACTTCACCTCAAAATAGCAAAAAGGACTTTTCCCTCAGAAACTCCAATATATTAAGTTTGAATACAAGGAAAGCCCCCTGAAGGCAAACGTTACCTCAGATAACCTACAAAAAATGTTTACCTCAAAAATGCTAACTTTTTCCTCAGAAAACGCCCCAAAAGTAGTTTTATCACAAAAAAAAATCCAACAGAAATAGGTTTTAATCACAGGGAACGCCCCTGAGGGCAAACTTTTAATCAGAAAACATAATTTCACCTCGGCAAATGTCAAAAAATATAAACTTACCCCAGAAAGTGCAAATTATACCTCAGAAAAAGCAATTTTGCATCGGAAAACGCAGATAAAATAACTTTTACGTCAAAAAGTCCAGCTGTAATACGTTTTAATCTCAGGGAATGCCCCTGAGGGCAAACGTCACCTCAGGAAACGTAACTTTACCCTTAGAAAACACAGGTAAACGTAACTTTCCCCTTAGGAAAACCCAGAGGGAGGCCTGGTTTCTGAGGCGAAAAGCGTAAGCCGCGGCCGTGGAGGAAGGGGAACTGGGAAGCAAAAAGGCATGGCCGCCTACCGAAGCCGACGCGCCAAGATGGCGGCCCCGGAGGCGGAACTTGAAGTGCGCACGCGCGAGAACGGCTAATACGTGGTGACGCAACGCGCAGGGCACGCAAAGTTGGGCGGGGCCTCCAGTTACACTTCCAAATCAGACTGAACTCAGAAAACAGGAATCTATCCTTCGATGTGAGCGAAAAGGGAAGAGACGTGACGTCAGCTCCGGGTCCCGTTTGGCCCCGCCCCCTATTCGCCAAATAGAAGCAACAGAGCTAGAAAAGACTCCTTGAAAAAAAAACAAAAAAAAAAAAACACCAAATCACGGATATATATTAGAAATAATATTTAAATATATTTTTGTATAAATGTTACTACATTTCCCAGCAGGCAGTGCGTCTCATGGCCGGAAGTAGCCGCATTTCCGGTCTCGGCCGGAAGCGGCCTGGCTTAGCTCTCTCTCCTCGAAAAACGGCCCGGTTCTTCCAGGGAGGGGTCCGGAAGTGAGCCTCCCGGCATGGAGGAAAACGACTGGCGAAGCAGCAACTTCCGGCAGAAGCTGGTCAGCCAAATGTGAGTCCGACGGGCAACGGAAGCCGCGAGCGGACCAGAGGGTCCCGCCAGGTCGCAAAGCAACCCTTGCCCCTCCCCAGTCGACCGCGGTGGTTTTCACTGCCATCCACAAACCATCTTGGCTTCATGCTAAGAAAAGACTCAACCATGGATGTCTATAAATACTATCGTGTGTATCTGACATATTCTTCGTATGTTTATTTATACCCCGTATTGTTATTTTCCTCTCCACAGGGAGAGGCTCACTCAAGCGGCTCGCAACGAAAAGCAGGACGATATGAATAAGAAGATATGTTTTATTATATACAGTGTTCCCTCGCTCTTTCGCAGTTCACTTACCGTGGACTTGCTATTTCGCGGGTTTTTCCCTCCCGCCGGCCATGGAGTCTGCAGGGGGCTTCTCCTTCCCAGAAGACCCCTGCGTGGCGGGAAAGTTTCCCCTCCTCAGTCCTCCCTCCCTCCAGCCTTGAAGGCTGAAGAGGAAATCCCTTCAAGGTTGGAGGGAGGGAGGACTGAGGAGGGAAAAAACGCGAGATTATCAGGTGGAGGGCGCCAAGGAGCGCACCAAAGTCGGCGTCTATTAGCCTTGCCAAAAGGGTGGGTAGTATTTCTTTGGGGGGGGGGGGGTAGGAGGCCCAGGTCGTCCTTCTCTCCATAACGAGAGACAGTTTAGAGCCCTCCTGGAGTAGAGAAGGGAAGGTCAAAGGGGGAAGGAAAGCTTGGAAGCCGGAGGAGGAAAGAGGCTGGAGGGAGGGAGGAACTTTCCCGCCATGGAGTCTGCAGGGGGCTTCTTTCCAGCCTTGAAGCGCCTTTCCTTTCTTTCCTTCAGAGGAGGGAGAAGAGGAGAGGCAAGGCCCATTGCGGTGGTGGGCGCCCTCCCGCCGGTCATGGAGTCTGCAGGGGGCGTCTTTCCAGAAACCCCCCGCGTGGCAGCTTTAAAGGCACCGTGCCTGCTTCAACTAAAGGAGTCTTCCCCGGCAGCGAATTTGGGCGGCAGCGCAGCGGCGAGCGACGGCGACAGGGCCCGTTTTGCTTTTTTTTTTTTTTTTTGGCGGCCCAATCAGGCCACCCAGCCCTGGTAGAGCCTGCAGATTCTAGGCCGCGTCGAGGCCTCTAGCGGGGCTTCTCACCCCTCCTTGCCCTCATGAGAGAGGGCTTGGGCCTTCTTTTCCTTCGGCCCCTCAGCCGACGGACTTCTGCCTCATTCCAACCCCTTGAGGGACTGAGCAAGCGGCCGCCGCCATGCGCCCCGTGCCCTCTTCCTGCTGCCAGTGTCCGGAGTGTGTGAGACAGACAGGGAGGGGGAGAGAGTAGGGGGCGTTTCTACTTCGCAGAGGGAACACTGTATATAATAAAAAGGTGATCGTATGATTGCTGGGTCTGGCAGCTCCGAGCGTTACGCACATTCCGCCACAGCGGTTGTGAATAAGGGAAGGGGAGAGCGGCACACTGAGGGCGGGAATACACTTCAATTTGGTGGAAGGGTAGAAAGGAGGGGTTAGGATAAAGTTTAGGGTAACGTTTAGGGTTAGAATTAGGCTTAGGGGTTAGAGTAAGGTTTAAGGTTTGGGGTAGGGTTAGAATTAGGCTTAGGGGTTAGAGTAGGGTTTGGGTTAGGGTTAGATTTAGGCTTAGGGGTTAGGGCAGGCCCGTAGCCAGGATTTTGATTCGGGAGGGGCTGAGTTTGGTTCGGGGGGGGGGGCTGAGTCTGAGTGAAGGAGGGTCTACCCTAGCAAACTTTTTTTTTTGTATTGTTACCCCAATACCCCCATGCATATGGGATATATTGAGTATGGTGATCAGATCATGATATGAATAAACATAACAGTTTAAATAATGCACCAGTAAGGCCTTTTCGCAGACCACCATGAGAATTTGGGGTGAAGCCCCTCAAGCCCCCCCCCCCCCCCGGCTACATGCCTGGGTTAGGGTTTGGGATAGGGTTAGAATTAGGCTTAGGGGTTAAGGTTACAATTAAGCTTAGGGGTTAGGGTTAGAGTAAGGTTTAGGGTTTGGGTTAGGTTTGGGGGTTAGGGTAAGGTTTAGGGTTTGGGGTAGGGTTAGAATTAGGCCTAGGGGTTAGAGTAGGGTTTGGGGTAGGGTTAAAATTAGGCTTAGGGTAAGGTTTAGGGTTTGGGTTAGGGTTAGAATTAGGCATAGGGGTTAGGGTAGGGTTAGAATTATGCTTAGGGGTTAGGGTACGGTTTAGGGTTTGGCGTAAGGTTTAGGGTTTGGGATAGGGTTAGAATTAGGCTTAGCAGTTAGGGTAAGGTTTTGGGTTAGGGTTAGGGTAAGGTTTAGGGTAGGGTTAGAATTAGGCTTAGCAGTTAGGGTAAGGTTTTGGGTTAGGGTAAGGTTTAGGGTAGGGTTAGAATTAGGCTTAGCAGTTAGGGTAAGGTTTAGGGTTAGGGTTTGGGATAGGTTTAGGGTTTGGGTTAGAATTAGGCTTAGGGGTTAGGGTAAGGTTTAGGGTTTGGGGTAGGATTTTACCATTAAAGAATTCTTACATTCCTTCTATAATATCTGTGTTCCATTCTGCGTTGCGCAAACAGCGCTCTTGAAGGAGCGAAGCAGAAAGAGCGTAAGGCTCAGAGCTTCCGGACCCAGCTTTCATACTATTACCAAAAATAATATATTTATAGAATAGACTTATGATGATTATGCTTTTATGTATACCCTGCTTTTTCTCTCCACACGATATGAATAGAATGTGTATATGAGTGTAACATAATAAAAAATAATATATTTACAGAATAGAATTCTTATTACACCGCTTATTTTCATCCTCCCCCCTTTCTTCCTCTCTGCCCTTCTTTCTTTTCTTCCATCTTTTCACCCTTCTTTCCTTCTTTCCTCCCTCCTTTCCTTCTCTTTAATCTTCCTTCTTTTCTTCCTTCCTTCTTTTGGCTCTTCCTCTCATCTTTCTTTTTGGCTTCCTTCCCTTCTTCCCTCCCTCCCTTCCAGAGAGGAGGCCATGCGGAAGGCTGGCGTGGCCCACAACAAGTCCAGCAAAGACATGGAAAATCACGTCTTCATGAAGGCCAAGACCAGGGTCAGTGAGCTGTTCCCATCCTCCCAAATAATAACAACAGTATTGGTAATTAACACAAATACATACATAACATACTTTAATGTATTGTTCACCTTCAGGAGGAATACCTTTCCCTGGTGGCCCGCTTAATCATCCACTTCCGGGACATCCGTAAGTATCTATATCGATCAGTCTCTCTCTTTCTATCCATCTCTGTATCTATCCATCTACCTCTCTCTTTCTCTCTCTCCATCTCTGTCTATCTATTCATATGTCTATATATCTATCCAGCCATCTAAATCTTCATCTATATCTATCTTTATATTAATTCATTAAAGGCAATTATCCTTCAACTTGGCATGTTCTTTGTAATTTCTGAATTCTATTTGATTCCCAGACAATAAAAAGTCCATGGCTTCCGCTGCAGCTGCTGGTAAGAGCCTTCCTCTCCACCGTTCCTTCTTTGCTTCCTTTCTTCCATCCCTTCCTTTCCTTTTCATTGGTTGTCTTCTCCCCTCCCTTTTTGCTTTCCCTTTCGTCCCATCCCTCATGTCTCCCTTTCCTTCCCTCTTCCCTTCTTTCCTCTCCTCTATTTCCTTCATATCCTCCCTCCTTTTCTTCCTCCCTTTGCTTCCTTTTCTTCTTTGCTTCCATTCACTCTTCCCTCCCGTTATTTCTTTTTCCATTCATCTTTCCATTCTATCTTTTCACCCATCTCTTCCTTTCCCTCTTCCCTCCTTCCATTTCTTCTTCCCCTTCCACCTTTTCTCCTCTTTCCTTCCTTTCCCTCTTCTCTCCCTTTCTTTCCTCTATTATCCCTTCCTCTTCTTTCCCCTTCCAGCTTCACTCTTATCTCTTTTCTACCTTTCCCTCTTTCTTTCTCTCCTCTATTTTCCTCCTTTCATTTCCTTTTCCTTTCCTCCTTCCTCTTCCTTTCTTTCCTTCCTCAACTTTCTTTTCATTTATTCTTTTGCTTTCCTTTTCTTCTCTTTCCTTTCCCTCTTCCCTCCCTTCTTTCCTCTATTATCCCTTCATTTCCTTGTCCTTTCCTCCTTCTCCTTCCCCCTTTCTTTCCTTTCTCCACTTTTGTTTTTTCCATTTCTTCTTCCTCTTCCATCTTTTCTCCTCTATCCTTCCATTCCTTCCCTTTCTTTTCTTTATTATCCTTTCATTTCTTTCCCCTCCTATCTTTCCTTCCCTTTCTCTCCATTCCCTCTTCCTGGCCTTTCTTTCCTCTTCACTTTGTTTTCTTCTTTCCTCATTTCCCTTCTATCTTCCCTCCTGTCTCCTTCCTTCCTTTCACTCTTCCCTCCTTTTCTTCCTTTCCCGTTTTCCTCCTTTCCATCTCTTTCCTCCCTTTCACTCTTCCCATTTTTTTCATTTCTCCTTCTCTCTTTCCTGCCTTCCCTTTCCCTTCCAACTTTCCTCTTTCCTTCCTTTCCTCCTTCTTTCCCTCTTTTCATTTTTTCTATTGTTCCTTTCCTCCATTTCTTTCCTTTTAATTCTCTCCTTGTCCCTTCTGTTATCCCCCTTTTCCAATCTCTTCTTACCTTCCTTTGCCTCTTTCCCCCTGCCTCTTCCCTTCCTTTCACTCCTTTCCTTCCTTCTTCCACTCTTTCTCCCTTCTTTTATTTCCTTCCCCCCTTCTGGAGCTCTCCCTCCTTCTCTTACTTGAAGAGCATCCTCTGAGCAAGTTAGAAGTGCCATCTTGTTGTCTTGACAACCAAGCAGAGATGACCGACCTTTGGGCCGGTCAGTTTGTGACCTTTAGACCAGTCTGTGTTGTATTTTGGATTGGTTATTTCATGACCTTTGGACTGGACAGTGCCTTGGGCCAGAGGAGGGCGTTCCTTCCTTCCGCTTCCTTCCTTCTTCTCTTTCTCTTTGTGGACTGGTAGGTGTTGACCATTGGATTGGTCAGTTGTGACCTTTGGACTGGTCACTTGACCTCTGGACTGGTCACTGTGGAACTTTGGACTGCACAATGTTGACCTTTGCTGACCAGTGTTGACCTCTGGACTGGTCAGTGCCTTGAGACAGAGAAGGGGAATCTCTCTTCTTTCCTTTCACTCCCTCTTCCCTCCCTCCTTCCCTTTCTTTCCTTTATTATTCCTTCATTTCCTTCCTCTCCCACTTTTGGTTCTCTTTCTTCCTTCCTTCCTTCCTTCCTTCCTTCCTTCCTTCCTTCCTTCCTTCCTTCCTTCCTTCCCTCCCTCCCTCCCTCCCTCCCTCCCTCCCTCCCTCCCTCCCTCCCTCTTTCCTTCCCTCTTTCCTTCCTTCCCTCTTTCCTTCCTACCTTCCCTCTTTCCTTACTTCCTTCCTTCCTTCCTTCCTTCCTTCCTTCCTTCCTTCCTCCCTCCCTCCTCTTCTTCTCTCTCTCTCTCTGCAGACCCCATGAATGCCCTCCAGACACTGACCGGAGGCGGACCCCCGGCCGGAGGAGGAGGGGGAGGTGGTGGCGGAGGGTCATCCTCCTCGATGGGGCTGGGGCCCCGACCCCCGCCTCAAGGGGCCCCCATGGGAGGGATGGCCGGCCTCCCTTTGGGACAGCAGATGGGTCCCCTTCCCGGACAGCAGCAGCCCTCAGGCCCCGGGGCCAACCCCATGGGGCCCCACGGCATCCCTGGCATCGGCCCTCCCTCTGGGCAGCCAAGTAAGTCCATCGCCCTGGAAATAATGGTCAAGAAAAGAAAGGGACCCCACATTCCCATGGTTCCTGGTATTCGGGGCCCCAACTCCCATTATTCTGGATGTAAGGGCAGTCAAGAAAAGGGCTCCGACTCCCATCATCCCTAGTATCATCTGTTCCCCAGACGTGCATTGTTCCTAGTATCTGGGCCCCCGACTCACCTGCTTCTTCCTGCTTCCTCTTGCAGCCCAGCTCCAGCTGCAGCAAATGGCACAACAACAGCAACAACAACAACAACAGGCAGCCGCAGCAGCCTTGCAGCAACAGCAGCAACAGCAGGCACAGCAGCAGTTCCAGCAGGCGCAGCAGACCGCACTGCAGCAGCAATTCCAGGCGCAGCAGCAGCAACAGCAGCAGGCTGCCGCAGCTGCTGCTGCCGCCCAACAGCAGCAGCAGGCACAGCAGCAACAGCAGCAGATGCAGGCAGTGCAGCAGCAGCAGCATATGCTGAAGATGCAGCTGCACCAGCAGAGCCAGCAGCAGGTAAAGGGGGTCTCAAGAATCGGGGGTCTGCAATTGAAATATGAGACCCAACTCTGGGTCTGAGCATCTAGTTCTATATATGAGACCCAACTATGAGGCCCATCTATGAGTCCAAGTGTTGAGTCCCATATACAAGGCTCAACTACAAGCCTGAAATTTGAGTCCAAACTACAAGTCCCATCTATAAGACCCAACTACAATACCCATATACAAGGCTCGGGTTCAAACTTGATACTCAACTACAAGTCTCATAGATGATACTCAACTACAAGTTCCAACTTTGAATCCCATATATAAGTCCCATGTTGTATATACAAGCCCCAACTTCAAGTCCCAGATGCAAGACCCAACAATGAGTCTCATATATGAGTCTGAACCCTAACTATGAGTCCCATACACGTCCCATCTATGAGCTTGAATTTTGAATCCGAACTATGAGTCTTAAAACACAAGGCCCAACTACAAGTCTGAACTTTGAGTCCTATATATGAGAGTAAACTTCAAGACCCAACTATGGGTCTCATATGTCCCACCTAGTAGTCCCAACTACAAGTCCCATATGCAAGACCCAACTACAAGTTCGACCATTGAGTCCCATATACGAATCCAAACAGTGAAACTCAAATACAAGTCCCAACTCTAACTCACAAGTCCCATATACAGGATCCAACTGCAAGTCTGAACTTCGAATCCCATCTGCAAGACTCAACTATGAGTTTGACCATTGAGTCCCATATATGAGCCCCAATTCCAAGTCCCATATATCTCACAAATATGAGTCTGAACTTCGAGTCCAAACTCACAACTCAGCTAGAATCCCATGTAAGGGATAGGGGATAGGGAAGAGGCAGAACCACTTAATGCCTTCTTTGCCTCGGTCTTCTCACAAGAAGAAAGTCATCTTCAACCTCAGCAAGATGGAGTGGATGAGGGATTAGAGGACATCCAACCCCAAATTGGAAAACAAGTCATCCAGGAATACCTGGCCGCTATAAATGAGTTCAAGTCCCCAGGGCCAGATCAACTACACCCAAGGTATTGAAGGAACTAGTGGAAGTCATCTCGGAACCATTGGCAATCATCCTTGAGAGTTCTTGGAGAACGGGAGAAGTTCCAGCAGATTGGAGGAGGGCCAATGTGGTCCCAATCTTCAAGAAGGGAAAAAAGGACGACCCAAACAATTACCGTCCGGTCAGCCTCACGTCGATACCAGGCAAGAATCTGGAAAAGATTGTTAAGGAAGCGGTCTGCAAACACTTAGAAACAAATGTGGTCATCGCTAATAGCCAACATGGATTTATCAAAAACAAGTCATGCCAGACTAATCCGATCTCTTTTTTCAATAGAGTTACAAGCTGGGTAGATGCGGGGAATGCCGTGGATGTAGCATACCTGGATTTCAGTAAGGCCTTCAACAAGGTCCCCCATGACCTTCTGGCAAACAAACTAGTCCAATGTGGGCTAGGCAAAACTACGGTGAGGTGGCTCTGTAATTGGTTAAATGGACGAACCCAGAGGGTGATTCTCCCCAATGTTTCCTCTTCATCCTGGAAAGAAGTGACGAGCGGAGTGCCACAAGCAGGGTTCCGTCCTGGGCCCGGTCCTGTTCAACATCTTTATTAATGACTTAGATGAAGGGTTAGAAGGCACGATCCTCAAGTTTGCAGACGACACCAAATTGGGAGGGATAGCCAATACTCCAGAGGACAGGAGCAGGATTCAAAACGATCTTGACAGATTAGAGAGATGGGCCAAAACTAACAAAATGAAGTTCAACAGGGACAAATGCAAGATACTCCACTTTGGCAGGAAAAACGAAATGCAAAGATACAGAATGGGGGACAATGCCCGGCTCGAGAGCAGTACGTGTGAAAAAGATCTTGGAGTCCTTGTACACAACAAGTTAAACATGAGCCAACAATGTGATGTGGCGGCAAAAAAAGCTAATGGGATTTTGGCCTGCATCAATAGGAGCATAGTGTCTCTAAATCCAGGGAAGTAATGCTACCCCTCTATTCCGCTTTGGTTAGACCACACCTGGAATATTGTGTCCAGTTCTGGGCACCACAATTCAAGAGAGATATTGATAAGCTGGAATGTGTCCAGAGGAGGGCCACTAAAATGATCAAGGGTCTGGAGAACAAGCCCTATGAGGAGCGGCTTAAGGAGCTGGGCATGTTTAGCGTGAAGAAGAGAAGGCTTGAGAGGAGATATGATAGCCATGTATAAATATGTGAGGGGAAGTCACGGGGAGGAGGGAGCAAGCTTGTTTTCTGCTTCCCTGGAGACTAGGACGTGGAACCGTGGCTTCAAACTACAAGAAAGGAGATTCCATCTGGACACGAGGAAGAACTTCCTGACTGTGAGAGCCGTTCAGCAGTGGAACTCTCTGCCCCGGAGTGTGGTGGAGGCTCCTTCTTTGGAAGCTTTTAAACAGAGGCTGGATGGCCATCTGTCAGGGGTGATTTGAATGCAGTATTCCTGGTTCTTGGCATGAGGTTGGACTGGATGGCCCAACTCTTTGATTCTATGATTCTAAGGGTCCCAACAATGAGACCCAACTACGAGTCCTAAGTGAGTATCGAGTCTCATCTACAAGTCTTGAGGAGGAAGCTTGGATTTGGAGTCCAGACCCACATCTCTTCCCTTTCCCCTACAGATGCAGCAGCAGCAGCAACAGCTCCAGCGCATCGCCCAGATGCAGCAGCAGCTCCAGCAGCAGGCCGTCCAAGTGCAACAACAACAACAACAGCAGCAGCAACAGCAGCAGCAACAACAGCCTCCTCCTCCAGCCTCTGCCCAACAAGTCATGCAGCAGCAGATCCAACAGATGCAGCAGCAGCAGCAGCAAGTTTCAGCTGCCCAGGCTTCCCAAATCCCTCCGCAGCCCATGGTCTCACAGGCACAGAACCTTCCAGGTCAGATTCCGGGACAAGTCATGCCCGTGGCCCTGACCCCACAGCACCTGAAAGCCATGCAGGTGAGTCCTGTCCTTGGAGCCTGATGGGAGACATGTTGGCAGCTATATTGAATCCCTCCTTGCTTTGACACTGGTTTCCATATTGGACCTTTCCCTTTCCTGGCCATACCGTTGATGGTGGCCATATTGAATCTGTCGTTTATAGACTATATTGTAGGTGGCGGCCATATTGAAGCTGTCCTTGCTTTGCCACTGGCGGCCATATTGGACTTTTACCTTTTCTGGCCATACTGTAGATGGCGGCCATAGTAAATCTGTCCTTTCTTGACTATATTGTAGCTGGCAGCCCATATTGTTGACAATTCTGTAGATGCAGCCACATTGATTCTGTCTTTTCCTGACAGTATTGTAGATGACAGCTGTCTTTCCTTGGAAAGACTGTGATTGGCAGTCATATTGAACCTGTCCTTTCTTGACAATGGCGACCATATTGAATCCTTCCTTTCTTGGAAATATTGTAGATTTTGGCCATATCGAATCCATTCTTTCTTGACAATAGTGGCCATATTGAACATCTCCTTTCTTGAAGATACTGTAGATGTCAGCCATATTGAACCCACACTTTCTTTAATGATGGCTATATTGAATCTGTCCTTCCTTGATTATATTGTCACTGGCGGCCATACTGAATCCATCCTGTCCTGACAATGGCGGCCATATTGAACCTGCCCTTTTTTTCAAATAATGTTTATTGCAGAATATTATCACAAAAATCTTTTTAAAAAGAGAAAGTGGTATAATGTGGGAGGGGAAGGTATAGGGAGATGCGGAACAACGGAGAAAAGGGGGGAAAACAGGAGGAAAAACTTGAAGGAAATGAGGAGTGGGGATGGGTGTAGGAAAAAAGTTGACTTCCATTCTTCCCCACAATCTGTTGTCAGTGTGCTTTTCTCTCTTGTTCGTTATTCTTGTTGTTTCCTCTTTGACTCACCTCTGGAGGCCAACTTTTAGATTTACAGATAAGTCCTTTCTGTCCAGTTTATTTTTTTCTTGTTTCCTATATTGTAATAGCAGTGATCTGTTGCTTTCTTCCCCCTCGGGATATTTTGACTTAATAATTGAGTTAATTTATCCATTTTCATTATGTCTATTAGTTTTAAATTTCATTTTTTATTATTAGTATTTCTTCCATTTTTGAGCATATATTATTCTGCTGCTGTTACTGGGTATGTAAATAATTTATCTTTTTGATTATGTATTTCAAGGTCTATTATTGTTAATAGAAACGATTCTGGTTTAAATTGAATTATGATGTCTACTTTTCTTTCATTTTTCCTTGTATTGCTCTCCAGTATGTCTTTGCTAACAAAAGTTCACCATATACGGAACAAAGTTCCCATTTGTTGTTCACATTTCCAACATTTGTATTTTAAGTTTGGATAAAATTTTGATAATTTTGTGGTGTCAAATACCATTAATACATCATCTTGTACCAATTTTCTTTAAGGTCACAAGGGTATGTATATTTTAGCTTTTTACTCCAGATTTTTTCCCATTCTTCTAATTTTATTGTATGTCCTGTATTCACAGCCCATTTCACCATGCAGTCTTTTACTTGTTCTTCCTCTGTCGACTACTCCAGCTGTTTTTCGTAGATTTTGGTGATTAACTTTGTCTCTGTATTCATTACTGTGTCCCAGAAGATGTTTTTCTCTATAAAACCTTTTTTCTTATCTTTATTTAAGCTTTCTTTTATATTGGAACCATGAGATGTTTTATCTATTTCTTTAATGTCTTCTTATGATTTAAGTATAACTTCTTCATTTTGTTTTTTTTTTTAAATTATTATTATTATTATTATTATTATTAATTGCTTATTGGTAAGCCAACTGTCTTGACTTAATTCTCTCTTATGTAAGGCTTCTATAGGTGAGATCCATAATAGTGTTTTTGGATACATTCTATTCTTGTATTTCTCCCAAATTTTTTATTAAGGATGCGCTAATATAATGATTTCCCATTTTTTCCCTCTATTTTTGTTTTCTCATACCATAAATATACATGCCATCCAGCTCTTAAGTCAAAGCCTTCTAATGTTAAAATCCTTGTATTTTTTAACATTGTCCATTCTTTGACCCAGGCCAATTCACATTCTTCATAATATATTCTTAAGTCTGATAGGCTAAATCCTCCCCCCATTTTTGTCTGTTAAATTCTTAAACTTGATCCTAGGTTTTTTCCCTTGCCAAATAAATTTAGTCAAATCTTTATTCCATATTTTGAAGTAGTAATTATTTCTTATTACTGGTACTGTTTGAAACAGGAAAAGCATTTTTGGCAGTATATTCATTTTGATTATTGCAATTCTGCCCATTAATGATAGAATTCAAGTGGTTCCATTCTTCCAAATCTTGTTTTAATTCTTTCCATTCTTTCCATTTTATTTCATAGTTGTTTTTCAAAAATTGTGCATTGCTTGGTGTAATTGTTAATCCTAAATATTTTATTTTGTTTGATACACTCAACCTGGATTTTTCTTCTACTTCTTCGATTTCATTTTTTGTCATTTTTGTTTTCGTTTTATTTATTTTAAAACTGGATGGCTTTCCAAATTCTTCAGTCTTTTCAGTCCATTTTTGTATATTATAAATCGGGTCCTGTATTATACGTACTAAATCATCTGCGAAGGCTCTTATTTTATAATTTTCTTTTCTTATTTTGGTCCCGATAATTTCATTGTCTCTCCTTATAGAGTTAAGTAGTATTTCTAATACTAATATAAATAATAGTGGAGATAATGGGCATCCTTGTCTTGTCCCTTTATTTATTTATTTTGAAACTTGTCAATTTATTAAGACGTTTGCTTCTTGTGTTTTGTATATTGCTTTAATTGTTTGGGGTTTTTTTAAATTATTGTTTTTTTTTTCCTGCTAAAAAGTAAAAAGGGAGGGGGCTTGGAAAGGTACAAAGGTTTTGCATGTGGGGAGGGTTTGGGGGAGCAGTACAAAGTAAAGTGGGGGGGGGGGCTTGGGATATTTACACATTTTCCTTTCTCTTGATTGTGGGTTTGAAATGTTTGGGTTCTTTGTTGTCACTTAGTATATTGCTTCCTTGTCAGTTCCAAAGAATTGGAATACTCTTTATTTCTTCTTTTATAACAAAAACTTTGCCTTCTCTTGTTTTGGCTATGAGATAGTTGTTGTGTTAGAATGTCAATTTTCATCTCTACCATTTTTGCCATCCACTCTTGTTTCTTGGGGTTTCTTTGGTTTTCCAGTATCTTGCGAATACGATTTTCACTTCCGTTGTCAGGTAGGTGAAGAGGATGTCTTTTTTTCCATTTTGTGTCTGTAATTCCCAGCAGAAAGTGTTCTGGTTTAAAGTTTATCCATTCTTGTAAGATTTTCTGGGTGGTATCATGGATCATTTTCCAATACTTTCTTCCTATAGTGCAATTCCACCACATGTGGAGGAAGATGCCTGTATTCTTTTTGCATTTCCAGCATTTGGCATCTGAATTTTTATATTTCACCAATTTTTCCAATGTTAGGTACCATTAATACTGCATTTTATACCAGTTTTCCTGTAGTTCATGTGAGTGTGTTTTAATTTGGTGTTCCATATTGTTCCCCACTCATTCAGTCCAATTGTATGCCCTATGTTTGAAGTCCATTTCACCATGCACTCTTTGACCGTTTCTTTTTCCTGTGCCCACTCCAATAATGTCTGATAATTTTTAGTAATATTTTTGTTTTGAGAGTACATTATTTTGTCCCTTAGCATCTTCTTTTCCATTAAACCTCTTTTTTGTGTTCAAATTGTAACATTCTCTAATTTGTCTGTATTGGAACCATGAGATGCCTTTATATTTTTCATTTAGGTCCTCTTGAGTTAAGAAATTCCCATTTTGTTTCTTTAAAATTTCTTTGCATGAAGGCCATACCTCCCCTCCGGTTTCCCTTCTTTGGTCTGCTTCCAACGGATTAATCCATAGTGGGGTCTTCTTATAAAAGAAATCTTTATGTTTTTCCCATATTTTGATCAGGGCTGCTCTGATTAAGTGATTTGTGAAGTTTTATTCTTTCTTTCTTTTATCGTAACAGACATAGGCATGCCAGCCTAGTCTGAGGTCAAACTCTTCCAATGTCAGCAGTTTTCATTTTTTGAGGGTTATCCAGTCTCTTATCCAGTCTAGCGCAACACCTCATAGCACAACTTTAAGTCAGGGAGCCCCAGGCCTCCCCTGCTCCTTTAGTCAGTAAAATTCTTGAATTTGATCCTTGCTTTTTTCCCCAGCCAGATAAATCTTGATAGGTTTGAATTCCAGATTTTGAAAATTTGGAGCCTTCTTAGAAATGGTATTTGTTTGAAAAAGATACAGCATTTTTGGTAATATGGTCATTTTTACTGCCGTTATCCTGCCTAGGAGTGATAGTCCTAGGTTTTTCCAACTTTCCAGGTCCTTTTTTATATCTTTCCATTTTTTTCTTAATTGTTCTTTAGCAGCTGCAAATTAGTTGGCACTATGTTGATTCCTAGGTATTTTATCTTATTTATGACTTGTATTCCAGACAGATCTTTTAATATTTCTTGTCTTGCCTTTGGTATATTTTTGTCAGGATCATAATTTTCTTTTTATTTATCTTAAATCCTAATACCCTTCCAAATTCTTGAAATTTTCTGTAGCCAATGCATTGTTTTCTATTGGATTTTCGATTATACAAATTAGGTCGTCCGCGAAAGCTCACACTTTGAAATGTTCTTTTTAAATCCTGGTTCCTTTCAGGTTGTTGTCTTCTCTAATATCTTTTTACAATATTTCCAGAGCTAATATATATAGTAGAGGAGACAAAGGGCATCCTTGTCTTGTTCCTCTGCTTATATTTATGCTTTTAGTGTACTGATCATTTATTATTATCTTTGCCTCCTGCTTATTATATATTGATTTTGTAGCATACATAAATTTAAATTCTTCATTGAATAGTAGAAAGAAGTCCCAGTTTAGTCTGTCAAATGCTTTCTCCGCGCCTAATGCCAGTAGCGCCAATTCTTTTTGGTTATTCTTGTCATAATATTCAATTAGATTTATTATAGTTCTCACATTGTCTTTTATATGTCGCTGGGGTAGGAAGCCCGCTTGGTTCTCGTGTATCCAGTCTTTCAGGAATGTTTTGAGAAGATCTGCTAAAATATTCATATAACTTATAATCAACATTTTAATTGCATTTGTAAAACAGAAGCCAAAATCCATTTCTTTTAATAACAGGAATATAAAATCCCAGTTTATGTAGTCAAAGGCTTTTTCAGTATCCAAAAATACTAATGCTATTTTAAGAATTATTTTTATTATAGTATTCTATTATGTTGAATATATTCCTTATATTTTCTTTTATTTGGCGTTGTGGTAAAAAACCTGTTTGATCTCTTTCTATCCAGTCTTTTAGAAAATTCTTTAGTCTGCCAGCCAGTATATTTGTGAGGATCTTATAGTCTATATTTAATATTGAGATTGGTCTATAGTTTTTCACATCTGTAGGGTCAGTATTTATGTATCATAGTAATGTTGGCTCCTTTCCTTGTATCTGGGATTATTTGTTCCTTTAGTGCTTTATTCATCACTTCCCTTAAATGGTGTATTATTTCTTCCTCATATACGTTATAATATAGTGCCGCGAATCCATCCTGTCCTGGTGCTTGTTGTTGTTCAACTTTTTTATTGAGTTTTGTATTTCTTCTGTTGTTATTGGTATATTAAGTACTCTTCTTTGTTCTTCTGATAGTCTATCCTTTGACAATGGCACCCTTATTGAATCCTTCCTTTCTTGGAAAAATTGTAGCTGTCAGCCATATTAAACCTGTCCTTTCTTGACAATAGTTGCAGCCATATTGAACCTATCCTTTCCCCGACTCCCAGGCCAGAGCCATACAGCAGCAGCAGCAACAGCAGCAGGCCGCGGCCCAGGCAGCCCAAATGGGGGCCTCCAACCAGGTGAGGGGGGCATGCATTTGGACAAACAGGTAGTGCGAGCTGATTGGCCAATGTCTGCATCAATGACCTTTGACCTCCCTTCCTTCCAAGATGATGACTGCAGCGATGGCCAGAGGCGGGATGCAGATCCGGCCACGCTTCCCACCGGCCGCTGCCGTCTCCGCTGCTGCTGCCCCACCACCAAATTCTATGCAGATGCCACCTCAGGTATTTCTGGGGAAGAGGTGATCCAAAGTCAAGGGTCATCAAGGGTCGTCCTTCATTGTTCTTGCTTCCTCCACAGGTCACAATGATGTCTTCCCCGTCGCCAGTCCAGCAGCAGGCCCAGACCCCGCAACCTCCGCCGCCGCCAATGCCCCCTCCACCGCCACAGCCCTCTCCGCAGCCCACCTCCCAGCCCAACTCCAACGTCAGGTGCTATCCTTTCTCCCTTCTCCAACTCTGTAAAAGAGGGCCTACTTTCTCTCTACATATGCTTAGGGAAGGCCTACTTCCTCCTGATCTGGGAACATCTACTTTGTCCAATTATGAGGCCTGCTTCCTCCAGCTCTGAGATGGTCTTTCCCCCTTCTCCAGCTCTAAGAGCCGTCGCAAACTAGCCTCCTGCGGGAGCAAACTGTGCAAGCACGTCCTTGACGTCATGAGACTGCGCCTCTCTCTCCGCCCCTTTCTCCGCCTCTTTCTCCGTGCCAGAGTGGTTTTTCCTTTGCTAGGGCAGCATTGCCAGCGTACTCTCTCAGTTGGCAGAATTCAACTGAGAGAATACGCTGGCAATGCTGCCCTAGCAAAGGAAAAACCACTCTGGCACGGAGAAAGAGGCAGAGAAAGGGGCGGAGAGAGAGGCGGAGTCTCATGACGTCAAGGACGTGCTCGCACAGTTTGCTCCCGCAGGAGGCTAGTTTGCGATGGGTCTAAGACCTACTTTCTTTAGCTTTGAGAAACAATTTTCCCCTTTCTCCAGCTCTGAGAACATCTACTTTCCCCCTTCTCCAGCTCTGAGGGCCTGCTTTCTCCAGAGCAGAATCCAACTTTCTCTTATCTCCAGCTCTGAGAAGGCCTGCTTTTTCCCTTCTCCAGCTCTTCCTGATGTTCTTCTCTTCTTTCTCCTTGCAGCTCAGGCCCTGCTCCATCCCCTGGTGGCTTCCTGCCCAGCCCTTCCCCACAACCGTCTTCTCAGAGTCCAGCGGCTGCAAGGACCCCCCAGAACTTCAGTGTACCTTCGCCAGGACCCCTCAACACCCCAGGTACTTCCATTCCTTCTTCCAGTTGTATCTTTGCTCTCTTCCTCCTTTCTTGCGCCCCCTCTCCTTCTTATCTCCTTCTTTCCTTCCTTTTCCCTCCACTTGTATCTTCTTCACTCTCTTCTTCCTACTGCCTGTTTCTTTTGCATTTCTTCTCCTTGCCTCAGGCTCTCTTTCCTCTTCTCCTCTTCTCTTCCTCATACTTGTTCTTTGTCCTCATTATTTCTCTCTCTCCTTTTTTCTCTTCCTTCCCCCCCTTCCTCTCCCTCAATTTTCCTCCCCATCCTCCTTTCTTTCTCTCCCTTCCTCCCTCTTCTTCCTCATATTCCATTTCTTTTCCTCCTATCCTTATTCTCTCCAATCTTCCCTTCTATTTTTTTCTTTTCTTTTTCCTCCTCCTTTCCTCCTTTCTCCCTGCTTTCTCCTCCATCCCTCATTTTCTTTCTCCCTTCTGTCCTGTTCTTCTTCATATTTCTTTTTCTGCTTCATACTCCCATCTTCATTGTCTCTTCCTCCTCTTTCCATTCTTTCCTTTTCTTCTTCCTCATTCCATTCTTTCCTTCTCTCGTCTTCCTCTTCCACCTCTCTTGTCTTCCTCCTCTCCTTGTTCTTTTTACTCTTCTATTTTCTTTCTACTCATTATTATTTTCTTCTCTTCTTCTCTCCCTTCCACTTCTCTTCCTTCTACCCTTCTCGCTCCCCTTACCTTAGTTTTCTTTCTCTTCCACCTCTCGTCTTTCTCTTTTTCTTCCTCTCCTTCCTTTTTTCTTTGTTCTCATCCCATCCCTTCCTTCTCTCTTTTCCCTACTTCCCATCTTAAACCTTCCATTTTGCTCTCTGAAGGCAATCCCAGTTCCGTCATGAGTCCAGCCAGTTCAAACCAGTCTGAGGAGCAGCAGTACCTGGAGAAGCTCAAGCAGCTCTCCAAGTACATCGACCCCTTGAGGCGGATGATCAACAAGATTGACAAGAATGAAGGTCATATATTGAATTATTCATTTCCTGGTCATATTCTCGGCGTAGTGATTTATCAGATTATTACTATTATATCTATTAGTATCATATTGTTGATGTAGAGGTTTATTTATCCATCTATTAGTATTATTATTGTATCTATCAACATCATTATATCTATTAGTATCATACTGTCGATGTAGCTATTTGTTTATCCGTTTACTATTATTATCATATATATTAGTATCATATCGTCAACATAAAGGTTTATTTATCCATCTATTAATGCTATTGTATCATTGACATAGGGGTTTGTTTATCCTTTTATTTTTATATTTCCTTATTTAGACAGGAAGAAAGATTTGAGCAAAATGAAGAGCTTGCTCGATATCCTGACGGACCCTTCCAAACGGTAACAAGAAATAAAATTTATTATTATTATTATTATTATTATTATTATTATTGTCGAGCAAACATTGATACAAATATGATCATTATTATTACTATTTCTATTATTACTATTATTATTCCTAAATATATTATTTCTAAGTGTTCCTATATTATAATAATTATTGCATAATTATATGGAGCTTCCGGTGGCGCAGTGGGTTAAACCGCTGGGCTGCTGAACTTGCTGACTGAAAGGTCACCGGTTCGAATCCGGGGAGTGGGGTGAGCTCCCGCTGTTAGCCCCAGCTTCTGCCAACTTAGCAGTTTGAAAACATGCAAATGTGAGTAGATCAATAGGTTCCACTTTGGCAGGAAGGTAATGGTGCTCCATGTAGTCATGCTGGCCACATGACCTTGGAGTTGTCTATGGACAATGCCGGCTCTTCAGCTTAAAAATGGAGATGAGCACCAACCCTCAGTGTCAGACATAAATGAAATTAATATCAGGGGAAAGCCTTTCCTTAATTATTATTATTATATTATTATTATTATTATTATTTTAGGTGTCCACTGAAGACCTTGCAGAAGTGTGAAATTGCTCTGGAGAAGCTCAAGGATGACATGGGGGCAGTAAGAGCCGTACGGCTGCGCTGACATCCTAAGAGCGGCCATGATTTGATTCCCACATTTTAATTTTAATGGTGTCACCTCGTAATGGGTTCACTCTCCTCTCTCTCTCTCTCTATATATATACACACACATACATACATCATGGCTGTTTCAAAATTAATACGGCAAACATACTATTCGAAAAACCCCAGGATAAGTTAGAGTGGAATTATATTATTATTATTATTATTATTATTATTATTATATTAGTAGTATTATTATTATATAGTATTACATAATAATACATTATAATAACATGTATTAATATATAATAATAAATCATTCTTTTAATTATATCATGTTAATATATTAATTTACATTATATTACAGATATCATGTTTTATATAAATTATATATTAGAATGTGATGTTAATTATATAAGATTATATAACTTGAATACAATATAGCAATACATTAATATAATATATAATTGATATAAATATAATGTAATAATAGATAGATTATATTATATAAATGATGTTCTATTAATAATTTGAATTATAAAATATATAATTTTAATACCCTATAATATATTGAATATCATATAAGGACAATATATATTATAATAATAATAATTAATATGGGGAATGTACCTTTTGAAATAACTTGCAGTATTTTTGTGTGATATCTGGGATGCGTTAGAGCTGAACTCTATTATTATTTAATATATTATTAGAATGTAATAAAATAATATGTTAACAAATTAGAATAATAATGTAACATAGAATATAACAATGTAATATAATCTATTCTTATATTCTATTAATATATTAATATAACATTAATACATAAAATTATAGTAATTAATATTAACTTTATAATTTATTTTCCGTTTAGCCAACCCCTCCGCCACCAGTAGTCCCTCCAACAAAACAGCAATATCTCTGTCAGCCGCTCCTGGACGCTGTTTTGGCAAATATCCGGTCACCAGTCTTCAACCATTCTCTTTACCGGACTTTCATGCCAGCCATGACGGCCATTCACGGTCCATCCATTGTGTGAGTAAATTCTGCTTTTGTCCTCTTTGTCGTCTTTTTGGGGTCTCATTTTGTCTTTTCATTATAAATTCATACTCATCTGTTTTCACTTTATTATTTTTTTCAGGTCTTCTATTGTCTCCTTTTCTTGTCTTTTCGGGTCTCTATTCGACATCTTTTCTGGTCTTGTTTCTTTGCCTTTTTGGATCTCATTTCCTTGTCTTTCCGGGCCTCATTCCATTATCTTTTAGGGTCTTATTTTCTTGTCTTTTTGGTCTCGTTTTGTCATCTTTTTCCGGTCTTGTTTCCTTGCCTTTTTGTTGTCTAATAATAATAAGTTTTATTTATTTATTTATCCTGCCACCATCTCCACAAGGGAACTTGGGGCGGCTTACAAAGGCACTCCAAGGTGCAGTATATGTTGCGGTTTGTTAGTTTATATTGAATCTACACAGCAGTCCTCCCAGCTCCAGATCCCAAGTTGATTTGCACAGAGTATAAAGGAAAATGTCTTTACTCTGGAGTAGTTAATACATGTAGCTTTATAAAGAAAAATACAGTAGCCTTGAAAACACATTGTCCATATTGTCCATTGCAGAAGGAAAAAAACACTTACAAAATAATGCATTAATCTGCTTCTTTCCAGCAAACCTTGTAGCATAGTTCCATCTCTGATTACTTCATTTCACCCACTACCTGCATCAAGAAAACCTCACCTGATATACATCCTAATCAGGGAGTGGTTCTTCCTCAACACACACATATAAGCAAGAGATGATTCTTGTCAAGACTTACAAAATCATATACTGTAACAGTATATAACATAAACGGTACATGAGCAGCAAACAATATCACATAGAAATGGTAAAACAACCGTTATCAACAAATATAATATAAAATAAAATAGTACAATTTAAAATGCAGACCAACTATAGATAAAACATTGTGAACACATAGGTTTTTACATCATTTTTTCAGGTCTCTGGTTTTTGTTTTTTTTTTTTTTTTTCATTTTCTAGTCCTTCCAGGTCTTGTTTTGCCATCTTTTCAGGTCTCATTTTGTCATCTTTTCGGGTTTTGTTTTGCCATCTTTCTGGGTCTCGATTTGTTGTCTTTTCATTATGAACACAGGTTTTAATGTCATTTTTTGAGGTCTACTTTTTTCTCATTTTCTCATCTTTCCAGGTCTCACTTTGCCATCTATTCGTTTTGTTTTGTCATCTTTTGGGGTCTGGTTTGATCATCTTTCCTGGGCTCCATTTTTTGTCTTTTCAGGTCTCATTCCATTGTCTCTTAGGGTCTCCTTTTCTTGTCTTTCGTGCTCTCAATTTTCTTTTTTTCTCTTTTCAGGTGTCATTTTCTCATATTTCCTTGTCTCCTTTTCTCTTATTTCCGGGTCTTGTTTTTTCATCTTTTTGGATCTTTCTGTTGTCTTTTCATTATTAACTTGAACATATCAAATGATCTCGTTTTTTGGGTGAATGAGGAATTCCTGTTAAGCCATCTCCATTATTTTCTATCAAATTCCTGAGAGTCCAAAATGGGTCCTGCTTTCACGTCTTGCTTATTAACTTCTCAGTCTTTAACTTGTATGTTTTTACTGCAGTGAAATGATCCCGTTTTCACCCCATTCTGATTTAGGGACTAGTTTAACTCTTGATTCATCCTTTTTATGGTGATGAAATCATCCTGTCATTTTGCCTGGGTTCCTTTCTGTCATCCTGTGTTCTCTCTCTGTTCTTGGATTCTGTGTTTGTTTCTGTGGTTTGGTCCTGGTAATGGAGCTGAGCTAGCTGGCCTGTCCTTCTCCTCTCTTTGCAGGACCCCGGTGCCATCACCCCGGAAGCGGAAGTTCGAGGAGGACGACCGGCAGACCATCCCCAATGTCCTCCAGGGAGAAGTGGCCCGGCTCAACCCCAAGTTCTTGGTCAACCTGGACCCCTCCCACTGCAGCAACAATGGCACTGTCCACCTCATCTGCAAGATAGGTCAGCTCTGAGGGGGAGAAAGGCCTGCTTCCTCCCTCCCTCCTCCAGCTCTGAGGAGAAAAAAGGCCTCCCTTCTCCCTTGCTACTTTCTCCCTCCTCCAGCTCTGATAAGGCCTCCTTTCTCCCTTCTTCATCTCTACTGTCTCCCTTCTCCCAGCCTATGTATCTCCCTTCTCAGCTCTTAGGAAGGCCTACTCTCTCTCAGCTTTGACAAGGCCTCTCAGACTTCCTCCTACAGTCTCCCTTCTTCAGCTCTGCTTTCCTCCCTTCTTTAGCTCTGAGGACATGCTTTCTTCCTTCTTCCAGCCTACATTCTCCCATAGCCTACTTCTCCTTCTGCAGCTCCACGTCTGACAAGAAGAGCCTACTTTCTCTCAACTTTGAAAGGCCTTTCTTCTCCAGTCCTTTCTCCCATCCCAGCTCTGAAAAAGAAGGCCTGTTAAGGCCTGTTTCCTCCCAGCTCTGAGGAGGAGGGGCTACTTTCGCCTTTCTCCAAACTCTTAAGAAGACCCACTTTTCCTCTTCTCCAGCTCTAAGAAAGGCCTACTCACTCCTTTCTTCAGACTCCAAGAAGGTAACAGAGATCCTCTCAGGTTGGTCTTCTTTCTCAGAGCTGTAGAAGGGAGAAGGTAGAACTTTCCAGAGCTGGAGAAGAGAGAAAGTAGACAAGCAGCTACATTCATATTCCATATTTTCCTCTCGTTTTCCTCCAGATGACAAAAACCTTCCAAACGTCCCTCCGCTGCAGCTGAGTGTCCCAGCTGACTATCCCGAGCAGAGTCCACTGTGGGTTGACAACCGCCAGCAATACGGTAAGGAAAATGAAGGGAAGGCAGACGTTTTGGATTCCATGGTGGGAGGAATTCGGGACTCGGCATCACTTCCTGTTTCCTGTTTCAGAGGCCAACCCTTTCCTGCAGTCGGTCCACCGCGCCATGATGTCTAAGCTGCTCCAGCTGCCGGACAAGCATTCAGTGACCGCTCTACTCCAGACCTGGGCCCAGAGCATCCGTCAGGCTTCCCTCTCTGCTGCCTGAGGATCAATGCCGCCATATTTGATTTTCTCCATTCGATGGAGAGATAGCCTTCCAGAACCTTCCACAGACTTCCATATACTTCCACAGACTTCCATAGACTTCCAGAGCCTTCCAGAACCTTCTACCGCTCAGAAATCACACAGAGATGCTGCCATCCCGTTCTGTTCCTGTTTTCTCCCCCCGGGGGGGGGGGGGGGTAAAAAAAAAGATGAGGCGGACACCTCATCCAATTTTTTTTGCTATTTTTTCCTCTCCTATTTTAATTTTATTAATTTTTTTAATTTAATATTTTCCCAGATATTTTAAAATTTAAATCCCCCCTCCCCAGTTATTTTTCAAATTCCTTTTCCCCCCAGTTTAAATATTTTCCCAGTATTATTTTATTTTAAAATTTAAATATATATCAGAAACTTGATGGAGATAAGAATTAACTAATTAACTGACATTTCAGATGTTTTTTGTTTTCTGATATTAAAAAATAAAAAGAGCCTGCTTTCTCTCAACTTTGAAAGGCCTTTCTTCTCCAGTCTTTTCTCCCATCCCCAGCTCTGAAAAACAAGAATTTTTGTTTTTAATTCTCAACCAGAGTGACTCAATAGAATAAAATATTTTAGTTTCTCCTTTTTACTATATTTTAATACTTGTTATTATATTTGGAAATATATTTTATAGTCAATATTATAAAACAATATTTAAATATATCCACCTTCAATCACTTTATTTGGGAGAGAGAATTAAAACTAATAAATTAATATTAATTTAATATTAAATTTAATTGTATTTTAATTTATATTTATATTGTATCATAAAAATACAATACAAAATAGTATACCATTAAATACAATATATATATAAACTAAAATAATATAATATATATAAAAAACAATAGACTAGAATATAAAAGAGTAAGACATTATATATATATATATATATATATATATATATATATATATAAAAGTGTTGTAGTAGAGCCTGCGAGTAACGATGCTAAAATATAGTATGAAAAATATAAAATATGGAAAAATATATAAAATACAATATATATAATATAAATAATGGAATCCTGAGACATGGGAGCAGGAGGCTATTTTTAGCAGAAAGGTTGTGTCAGTGCATGGCACGACATTGTCATAGTGAATCATAATAGGGCTCATCCGCCCAAAGCATGAGAAGCTCACTTGCATGACGCACCAAAATAATGGCACTAATAAGCCGCTTCCATGAGAGATAGAGGCCAGGACCCCACTTTGAAGTTTAGTCAACGAGAAAGCACTATATCCAAGCTCCAAGACAGGGCCAAGAGGGCAAAGGAAGATTCATATTCCTGAACGCTCGACGAAATAGACTAACAGAGATCCAAGAACATGACAGAAAAATCCGCTTTTCTCTTAAACCAAAGATTGAAAGCGGTTTAAATGATAGAGAGCTTGGTAGGCTATTTGGGCTGTCTCTATGATAGCCCTCGCTGGCTGTGCCAAGGGTAAAGAAGGTTCTAACCTCATTGGTCGGCCATATCGGGGTGGGGGACTCAGCCCTCTTGGGGTGTGAGGAGATCTGAGTGATTGGAGAGGTGCACTTGCTCGTCCCAAGGCATCTTGAGAAGCACAGCTGGTGCGATGAGGATTCAGTCCACATTCTCTACTTGCGGTTCGGACACCACCTGATTGCGAAGAGAACCAATAGATATGCATAGAGGAATCGATGGGTGCAAGACAATGAGGAGCACCCCCTTAAACAGCCCCGTGCTTGGTTGTGGAGCGGACTCATGCAGAGCAAAGGGATTGTGTGACTAGAGCTATCTCCAGATTGCTTCACAGTCTGAATAATGACCGCACCTCATCAGGACGGGGAGACCACTTGTGATGGGAGAACAGTGCCTTGCCCAGGTGGCTGACGTATTTACATCACCAGTAAGATGTACCGCCAAAAGGTGGATCCTTTTGTCAATGCAGCAGTCCCACAGATGAAGGGTTAATGAGAGAAAAGGTCTGTTTGACCATTAGCTTTCTGAAGTAATTTATTTGTCTGGAGGGCTTTGTCCCAGGCCAGGTCTCAGGCATTAAAGCCCTTTGAACGTGTATCCCCAACTCCGAAGGAAGGAATCCAGAGTTAGAATTCTGGAGATATTCCATTGTCGGAAGGGCAAACCGCACAGATGTTGCTTGAAGGGCCGACCACCAATGAGGTTGTGAGGATTATCCCTGAGGTAATCGAACAAATAGAAAAACATGCCTGCATGGGCTGGAGTGGGGCCATGCGTGAGGTATTGCAGTCATAGTTGAAGTCATTTGAGGAGATACTGCGTAAAGCAGATATGAGAAGGAAGGAGAAGTTTTGATTTAGCTGCTAGTGGCTAGTTATCGATACGCAGATAGGGTGTAATGTTACTGAGGTGAAAATGGGCTGCAACGGCTGCCCTACATTTGTTGAAAGCATGAAGCGCAGTCTTGAGTTCCCACAGAAGTTGAGGAAGCAAGAAGCCATCTTTGCTGCCTTTGCTTCAGGTAAGCCTTGCCTTAGAGTGCATCTGACTGTGTGTTTAAGACTAGCTGCTCTGGGTGTTTGTTTTGTTTGGAAGGCGAGGGTAAATTCTTTAGCCAGCAGTGATTGACAGTTTCAGGTCAGCAATTAGTGACTTATTGTTCCCTGTTCTTTGAAGCTATCTGGGGAGGTTATTAGCAGTCTGCAAATGGAACAAACAAAACCTTCCTGTGGCATGCACAAACTGTGGCATGTTCAGCTTCTTCACGCAACAACTACTCAATTACATCTGCACCAAGTGTAAACAGATGACTCGCATGGAACAGGATCCAACAACTCGAGGACCGTATTAAGACCCTTAAGGACATTGAGGAACTCAAAGCTGTTCTTGGACACCACACAGCACACTGTTTTAGACATGCAACCCACATCACACCAACATTATGGAGAGGCTTATGAGATCACTTCAGATGTCGACAACCCAATGGCTTGGAGGAATGTCACCCTTAGAAAGAGACATAGGACCAGGAAGCCTCCTCAGAGTACTTCTGTTCAGCTGCAGTTACACAATAGATTCCAAATTGTTACACAAATAACACCTGACCAGGAAACACAACATCTTGGGGAAGACCACAATTACTTAGATACTGCTCAGTGGATCGTCCTTGATCAGTGTGCAGGGGATAGCCCTGATTTGGACACTTCACAATATTCACACACAATCACGCAGATGTTCCATCCCCAATCATAGACCAGGTACAACAGGAACACACTCAGGAGAATTATAGGCTCTTGGACAAATCTCAATGGATTGTCCTTGATGAATGCACTGGGGATGTCAAGGAGGACAACACTTTACACCTACACAATCCACTTCAATAGGATGTTTTCTGGCGACCTACGCACTACATTGCACAAAAGGGACCCTGTCAATCCTCAAAGGAAACAGGTCTTGGTAGTAGACAACTCCCTCCTTAGAGGAACGGAAGCCATAATTTCCAGACCAGATGGGATGGCTCAAGAAATATGCTACCTCCCGGGGGCAAAAATACACCATGTCACTCAGAGGCTTACTAGGCTCCTCAAGCCCCATCACCGTCCCCTCCCCCTCATGTTGATTCATGTAGAAACCAATGATACTGCTAGGCATACTTTTCAAAAGATCATAAATGATTTTTTAGCTCTTGGAACAAAGCTAAAACAGTGTAATGTACAGGTGGTATTTTCATCCCTCCTCCCAGTTGTAAGACATGGCCCTACAAGGGTCAGAAAAATAGTACAGGCAAATAACTGGCTTAGAAAATGGTGTCAGGAGGAACGCTTTGGCTTCCTCAACCATGGCCTGCTTTCCAGGAGGATGGCCTACTGACAAGGGATGGGGTGCATCTCACACAAGTAGGAAAATACCTTTTTGCTCAGACTCGCAAACCTCATTAGGCGCACTTTAAACTAGGTCCACCGGAGGAAGAGGACAACAGCCTTGCGAACACTACTTTACCCACAATGTCAGGTAACCGCCAGAAGGCTAAATGGAGGGTTGCACAAACACAACAAGGACCAAGTAGCTAAAGCACAATAACCCCAAATAAACAGTTCAGGGGAAGATCTCAGGGGCTCACATGTCTTTACATTAATCCACAAAGCATGGGAAATAAACAAGACAAACTCCCAACTTTTAGCATAACACCACAATTATGATGTCACAGGCATCACTGAAACCTGGTGAGATGGCTCCTATCTAGAATGTAGACATTGAGGGCTATAACCCTCTTTCAGAGACCGAACAAAGTGGAGAGGAGGCGGAGTAGCCTTATATGTCAAAAACTTTGTCCATTGTGGTCAACTGAATTTTACATATGGTATTGCCTGCGCAGTCAGTTCAGAATCTTCTAGAACTCTTAAAATTTATTTTGGCGGAAGCCCTGCCCACACTCCCCCTGGAGGTATATAGCCAGTGGAGGGGGCTACTGCCTCAGTTCTCCTTGTCCACCGCTTTAGCAGCAGCTAGGAATCTCTTGCTCTTCAGACTAGCATATTCTCTTGACTTTTTTCTTCATGGCTTTTTTCCTCTCTCTTTGTACCAATGGGTATGTTCTCTACAACCTCCTTTGAAGTGCTGGGCTTGTGGGAGAATGCTACCAGAAACAGATGGGCATGCTTGGTGCCTACTCTGTCTGGGGGAGGTCTACATACCCCCCAATCTCGCATATTGTGATACCTGGCTTTGGTGTCTTCTCGTGAGCAAGCCCCCTTTTCCCTGATCAGCCCAAGATTCAATCGGTGCCAGAGCCACCTCTCCTCATCATAAAAGCCTCCTTACCTTCGGCTGGGAGCCTATCACCTTACAGGCAGTCTCCTCATAGTCAGCCAGCCCCCTTCAAGCCATCCACTATGGCCTATATCTTCCGAGTTTTCTACCATCTGGGAAGGGCTGGAGTGGTAAATGGCGGGAGAAACAGAAAGGCGGGAAACCCAGAGCTCTCCCCACTGCTAACTCCTCAGGTGCCTCAGCACTGCCCCTTGTCACCGCTTGGCAAATATTAGTGATGACGAAGGCTTTTTGTTCAAGCGCTGCTCGAAAACACTCACTACCTGGCTGGAGATAATGTATGGCACAGACCACTCATTGGCTCCTCTGCCTCCCTGGGGGAAGGCATGAGCTCTCCCGAATGAGGGAGGAACGCAGGACCAGTCCCCCCTTCCCTCAACTCCTGTCTCCAGGGAAAGGCATGAGCTCTCGCACATGAGGGAGGTACACAGCCCCAGTCCTGTCCTCCTTTGGTTCCTCTGCCCACTCCGAGGGAAGGTATGAGCCTCTGCGCGTGAGAGGAATGCGGGCTCAACCCGTCCTCCCTCGCTCTTTTGTCTCTCTCTGGGTGAAGGCATAAGCTTCTGCAATTAAGTGGTGCTCCATCGCATGGCACCGCCACCTGGAAAGGGGAGTGTGGCAATCTTGGATTCCCTGGTTGCTATGGAGCTCTCGGTACCTTCTTCTGCACACTCAATGCCGGCACTGGAGTGC